GTGCCTGGATCTATCGTGGCGTCAGACTTGCCGTGACAAATGCCGTCTGCGATCGATACAAATTATCCATGGCCAGGTCCAATACCGCCTGGAACGAACGTGCCACGGGGCAGCAGCTGGACTATCGATGATTCCCACTGAAGGACCGGGAGGGACGATGGTAGGCGGGGAATCAACCGAACAGGTTCCTAGGAAATTACGCGAAGACGGTCCGTCAAGGCCAATTCATCCGGCGTTACGTTGTGGTCGGCACAAGCCGAACGGTTGAATACTGTAACGACCTTGTCCATTCACCTGGGAGCTGGAAAATGAGTGAGTGGTGATTTGCGAGAGGCGTTCAAGACAGGGAGCGAGTGCGAAGAACCCCACAGTTTCTCCAGCACCTGGAGAATCTCTCTTTAAAAGTCCGCCAATGAGAGTGCTCGGATTTGAGCCCATGCTCTGTTCGTGCAGATCTGATGGGGGGCCGATGCGCTAAAAGCTGGGGCAAGGACCGCTAAAAGGGCCCTTTCCCAGGGATTCCTGCACCCACTGAAGATCTTCGTCCACTCCTCCAACTTTGATTCAATCAGCACCCTTCTCCGACACCCAACAACCCAACAACCTGGGTTCATGCGGGCAACACCATGAACCATATCTGATACATTGGGTGGGCAGTGTCTAATTTTCCGTAAATCATCTGCCTCTATCTCGCTATCTCGTTCCGGAATGCTTACTTCCATCCACTCCCTCAGCCCTAAGCGCAGCTGACTGTCGACCATAAGTTGAGGTCGTCACCGTTATGGAAGATTGATTCCCCTTCCTGAAACGGGCAACTCACAACATGGCCCTGCTCCCGTTTCACCCAAGGATCGCCTTTCCCGACTTCAGGCTGAATAGACCCAAACTTCCGTCAAAGGCAAATTCCGTGTGGGATGGTACTATAGTGATTGCTTCAACCTTACCAGCTGTGGGGAGCCAAGCTGGGTAGAAGTTCGCATCGTTTCAATGGGAAGACAGGCCGTCGAGATCTACCCGGTTTCTTTCCCACAGATTACCTTGCATCGAGACGGTCCGCGAATTGTACATGACGAATAATACTCCGAGGCATCAAACGCCCAGCATGCTAGCGTGACATGATGATAGCTTCACCTGTGTTATCTTGTGGATAAGTAATCCATCTTCCTGGTCTGCAGGGCATGAATTTAGATTCCTCGTGGCAAATGTTGCTTTGTTGGCTTCCAAGCATTCCGACTGCTGGAAAATCTCGGCGTTGTTCGCTACCAGTTTGTCAATTTTCATGGGGGTCAACGTCTCGGCCCGAGATATCGCGACGTTATGCGACGCAGGTCTGGACTGGGCCATGCAGAAAGAGGCCGAACAGCTTATTCGACAATTTGTCATGCCACGTCTAGTTGTCATCATATCACGTTCACTTGAGGACATGTGATGATAAGGCCCGAGGTATTCAGCTCAAAATAGAGTGACAATGAAAGACATTGTATCAGAGTCTTGTTACGTCGTGAAGCTGTCCTCAAAATGAGAGCCTCATGTAGCAGGTCTTACGATGAAGAAGGTAGAGCTCAGCTTTACATACCTTATTAGACTGGGTCACACATTAAGGTTTTACAGTGTGACCTTGATAAAATTGTATTTCTGTTTCATAGAAACACAACAAGTTGGCCCACCGGTCAAAAGAATTTCAGATACATCACTCCTCTCAAAACCATTCCTCTTCGCGCTATCCGAAAGCCTTCCAGTTCCCTCCCACCTCCATTCTTCCTAAACAAAATCACCACCCCCCCTTCAATCCCTTCTCAATCTCCTCAAAAACCTCAACTCCTTTCACCCCTAAAGCAGTACCCACCCCAACAACCCCCGCCCCAGCAGCCCTCATCCTCTTGTACCCCTTCTCATCCTCCACACCTCCAATCCCAATTACAGTGATATGCTTCAAACTCGGTCTCTCATCCAACATCCTCCGAATAGTAGCCACATTCCCCAGGGCCAGCGGGTGCAGCGCCGCCCCGGCCATCCCCCCAATCCCGTTACCTGGCAGAACAGGGTCGCCCTCGGGTGAGAGAACGAGACATGACCCTAGGGTGTTGGTGCATGTTATGAAGGAGACTTGATCACCTTCCTCTTCGAGGGCAGAGATGAGTTCGTTGTATTCGGAGGCGTGGGTGTAGGGTGGTGTTTTGATGCCGAAGGGCAGGCGTGGTAAGTCTGGTCTGAGTTTATCACGCATCGCGAACCGCAGGCGGCGAAAGTACTCGACCAGTGCGTCTTTAGAGTACGCGGGAGGAGGTTTGTTGGGTATGTTGGGGCAGGAGAGATTGATTTCCATGTAGATGTGACCGGCGGTTATATACTCGGACAGGTAATCGGCGATGCATGTATAGCATTCACTGACCTCGGTCGGGGTGCCCGTGACTGAGATGATGAAGGGTTTGATGGGCTGAGTACCAGAGCAAGTAGTATAGATCTTGCATATCCATTGCATATATTGAAGTAGAGCGTAAGGGCTGTAGCCTAGTGTGTTCAAGCTTGCTTTTTGAGCAGGAGCTTTGCTGGCTTCTTGGGGGGTTGGGTTGGTGGATTTTGAGGTTTCGGGATTAGAGGGATCGAAGAAGGTGTATCGATGAATAGCGTCATCGTGCTTGAAGCCGTCCAAAGTAGCGGTTCGAGTTGTAACTGCGCCTGTGGAAGGGCAAAGATACAGCCGCTCTAAGTCCACATCGCCGGATGCCCATGGGTTAGCCGAGTTGATCAATGGCGGGTTGATTTTGATGGGCGGTGGTAGTTCCGACATGGTTGATCGCTGAATATATGTTGGAGTTCTGTCTGCTGGGTGTAGTTGAAAGTTGTTGTCTTGAATTCGGCGGGGTTAGATGGATAACTTGAAGATAAGAGCTGCACCCCGCATCAAGTGTGTGGGGTCATCACAGCAGTATGAAGACATCAAACGAGCTTCAAGTCAACCACGGCGAGAAGTTGGTGGTCAAAAGTAATTTTATATATTTTTTTTCTCATTCATATCATCGACTAGAGCATATCATCAATGCCCTTGTCAGCATCTTTCTTGATCAACTCGACCATGCCCTGTCAACAGTCAGCATGTTATCCAATGAACCTTCAGAAGTCCACTCACCTCAGGCATAATGGGTTTTCCATCCTCAGTCTTAACGTAACGGAATGGCATCTCTGTGCTCTCATACTCGTTGAACTTGAGTTCGGGAAAGTCGACGTAGGGAATGTCTTTCAACGGTGCTGTGGAAACGTTAGTAAAGGTCATTGTGTAGAAGAGAGGGTTTCATACTCTTGCCCTCAACCACCAGACGAGTTACACGGACTGCAGTGTCTGTGGTCATCTGGACGGGCCCGAGACGACGGCCCTCAAAGCCCTTGGCCCGCAACTCGGATGTTCTGTCTGTAACCGAGTTAGACAAGGCATTATCGATCCTTTAGCAACTGTGGCAAATACCTCTAGGGGGGTCATCACCTATTATTTTATTAGCAAGTATTTTGATGTCAAGCTTGGCTCATAACATACCAAGAATTCCTCCAAACAGGAAAACATCAAAGTTGTCCGCATCTTCAGGGGCAAGATCACTCTTCCCCTGAGGGTCAAGAAGGCATACTCTAGACTTCTTGTCCGCATACAACTCCTCCACACCCCGCCTCTCAGCTGTGAACGAGGGGATGGCAGCCAAGGCGTCTGGGACCTTGAACTGTGGGTGGAGAGACGAAAGGAAGAACTTGGACCCAGTCTCTTGCGACTCGCGCGCGATGGTGATATACTCGAGTTCTGACCAGGGTCCAAGCTCCTCGTCCAGGTGCTCAACGATGTACGTTTTTCCGGCCATAGCGCTGAAACTTGAATCAAACCCTCACAAGATGCTCAGTTAGGAGATAAAATGGTGGAAAGTACACAAGTGAAGGTCGGAAATGTGCAATTAAACGGCATCGATAATTTTTAGCTCGTGGGCGCCCGATGCCAAGAACGGAGCCGGCAGATCGGCGCGCCCCACAGAAGGTCTTCCGAAGCCACCGGCGCTCCCCTGCAGCCCCGCGCCGCTATGTCCTCCCCTCCCCTCAAGACACTGTTCCAGACTGCGCAACAACGACGCTTCTTCAGTGCCCTAGCCACCGGATAGAGCCACATACCTACACCGGATACCGTTGCGCAAAGCCTCGACGAAGAGTAGCACAGGCGCCCGGGGATATTAGAGTTGCGGGCACATTATTCAGACCCGAATCCGGGAACGTGGCACAGGGAGAGCTTTGTTGGTCTTGCGCCTGGGGCCCTGCCTGTTGGACCCGGCGCGGTGAAACACGTACCTTGACTGGGCTGCCTGCCTACTATCTCGGGCAACTTTTTTACCTTATCCACGCATTGGTTCTGTCTACTCTTGCGAAATAGCTACAACCTGTCTTCTATTACCAATTATTTCAATCCCGTGGTATTCGTGTGGGACTATTACCTCCACGTTTCTTCTTACATTCCCTTGTTTGGCCTAGGTACCAGTGATAATCAGCAACGCCAAGCTCAGCTTGCAGTCGTCAGCCCGCCCCAGCCCACTGCAACCCGCCCCTGTCTTAGGACAGATCTGTCCATCCATTGGAAAAGTATCCCGACAAACCTCCATCGTCGGTTTCGCAGAGAACCTCACGTTATTTGACTGCCTTTTTTGGTCCCCGATGACCGCCGCTGCCGTCACCAGGTAGCCAGATATACAGGCTCTCTTCAACATTCGTTGCGCCGGTCTGAGGACCCTCGCGACTGGGGAATCATGGCTGTTGGACGGTCCTTGGCGGGCTGGAGGCGTCTACCATCCATCGTTACCGCCGCCGCCGTCGCCCTCTCATGGACGGCGACACTAGCTGTCGCCGATGTCAAGGCGGCCGGTGACTACTTTGTCCATTCACTTCCAGGGGCGCCGCCAGGTCCCCTGGTGAAGATGCATGCTGGGTAAGGAGTCTTGTCTCCAGTCCAAACCAGGGATGTCCTCAACTAACATATGTGTCTGCTTGCGCGCGTTAGGCATATCGAGATAACACCCGATGTCAATGGCAACATGTTCTTCTGGCACTTCCAAAATAAACACATTGCGAACAAGCAACGAACAGTGATATGGTTGAACGGCGGCCCCGGCTGCAGCTCCGAGGACGGTGCCCTGATGGAGATTGGCCCGTATAGGTTAAAAGATAAGGACACGCTGGTGTACAACGAAGGAGCATGGAACGAGTTCGCCAATGTCCTCTTCGTCGATAACCCTGTCGGCACGGGGTTCAGCTATGTCGACACCAACGCTTATGTACGCGAACTCGACGTTATGGCTGACCAGTTTGTTACTTTCCTGGAGAAGTGGTTCAAGCTGTTCCCCGAGTATGAACACGACGATGTAAGTTGAGCTCCTGTTTTGAGCCAGAAAATATGGCTCTAATGTGTTATTCAGATATTTATTGCTGGAGAATCCTACGCCGGCCAGTACATCCCCTACATCGCCAAGGCTATCCTTGAGCGCAACAAGAAAGGCGGCGAGTCCTCCTACAAATGGAACCTCGCCGGTCTCCTCATTGGCAACGGCTGGATTTCCCCTCCCGAACAATACGAAGCCTACCTCCAGTTCGCCTACGAGAAGGGCATCGTCAAAAAGGGCTCCGACGCCGCCTCCAAGCTCGAAGTCCAACAGCGCATCTGCTCCAAGCAGCTGGCCGTCGGCCCCGCCCTCGTCGACAACACCGACTGCGAGAAGATCCTTCAGGACCTCCTCCAGCTAACCGCCACTAGCAAAGGCGGCGAGCAGCGTTGCGTGAACATGTACGACGTCCGGCTGACCGACACCTATCCGTCATGCGGCATGAACTGGCCTCCCGATCTCGACGCCGTAACCCCTTACCTCCGCCGCAACGACGTAATCCAGGCCCTGCATGTGAACCCGAACAAAGTCACCGGCTGGGTGGAATGCAACGGCCAGGTCGGCGCAAACTTCAAGCCCTCTTCCAAACCCTCGGTTGAACTCCTCCCCGACCTGCTAAAAGAAGTCCCCATCATCTTGTTCTCCGGCTCGGAAGATCTAATCTGCAACCATTTGGGCACCGAAGCGCTGATCTCCAACCTGCAATGGAACGGCGGAAAGGGCTTCGAAATCACCCCCGGCACTTGGGCCCCCAGACGTGACTGGACCTTTGAGGGCGAAGCAGCTGGCTTCTGGCAGGAGGCCCGCAACTTGACCTATGTAGTCTTTTACAACAGCAGCCACATGGTCCCGTTTGACTACCCCCGCCGCACAAGAGACATGCTAGACCGGTTCATGGGGGTGGACATCTCCTCCATCGGCGGCAAGCCCACCGACTCCCGCCTCGACGGGGAGAAAGTCCCCGAAACCACCGTCGGCGGGGTGGCCGGTAACGGCACCGACGCGCAGCAAGCAGAGAAGGAAAAGCTCGACACGGCCAGGTGGGAAGCCTATCGCAAATCAGGGGAGATCGTCCTGGTGATTGTGGCGTTTTCGGCAGCGGGATGGGGGTGGTGGGTGTGGAGGGAGAGGAAGAAGAGGAGGGGTTACATGGGGGTGTCTGGGGGGGAGAATATCTCGCCTTCTGGGGAAGCGAGGGGGAGGGAAGGGTTTAGAGACAAGCGTTCGGCGGCGGATTTGGAAGCGGGGGATTTTGACGAGAATGAGCTGGATGATTTGCACATGAGGACGCCGACGACGGTGATGGGTGGGGAGGGGAATGATCCCAGGTATAGTGTGGGCGCGGCGAGCGAGGATAGTGAGGATGAGGAGGACGTGAAGGGGAAGGGGAAGGAGAAGATGTCGGGTTGAGTCTAGGTCATATGGGGTTGGATGGGCAGAATCAAAGCCTTTTTGATACTACACAACAACTGGAACAACAGGAGTGAATCGGAAAGAAGGATTACAGAGAAAGGAAAGGCTGGTTGGTCGGTTGGTTTCCTGGTGTTTCAGGCGGGGGGTTTAACAAATGTCAATTTGAGCTCGTCTTTGCGCACGGCCTTTACAGTTCACGTTGGCATAAACAGCACATATATATACACTATCACACTCGAAGGCATTGCTTGCAAGCGACTGAAACGTGAGAACAACGTGGGCATATATTGGTGGCTGTCGCCAACCTGGATAGAAACTATCAATCAAGCATATTTGTGTTTCTATCTGGAGCTTATTCTCCCGCTAAAGTGCTTCAGTTCAGACATGTGCCTTCAGAGGTCTTGCCATATTCCAGCTGTTGCTGTCCCACAATTTACAATGCCCGTCCGCTGCATCCTTTTAAGACGCCCAGTCAAGCCTGGGATTAAACCCGCCTAATAAATGTCCCAGAGTAGTTTGATGGCCTTGTGGCCGAAGCGATGTCTTCGCTCGCCAACCCTTGGTCTTACTGACGGGATATTGAACTGCGCTGTTGGGTAGGCTTTGTTTATCGTTGTTGGTTGGGGTATCATTCTTGTCATTATCGCCTTCTTCAACTCGTTCAAATCTGAGCAGTGTTGTTGAGAATCTTGACTTGTTCGCCGGGCTTGAAGGCAGGGAGGCCAATATAGGGGCAGTCTGCGCATCTGAAAGCGTCACCGAGGTAACAGCTATTGCAGGAGCCAGTCTTGCCCTGGACGGTAAAGTCAAGTTCGCTGAGATCCTCAGACTTGAGCTTCAAGGTGGCAAGACCCTTCTCGGCCTTCTCACGACGGGCCTTGTCTTCGGCGGCTATTCTCTCGGCGAGACCACACGTGCTAGCAGATGTTAGTTTATTGTGCTTCGTATTGATGTTGAAGAAATGAGAAACATACCAGTCTTTGCAGGCTCTCCTCTTTTTGCCCGGCTGAGGCGCACACTCAGGAGGCTGCTGAATGGGACGCTTCAGATCCGCCTCAGTCAAAAGAGTGTCCTCATCAATGACATCGTCGTCGTCCTCGGCATCAAGATCCAAGTCATCACTGAAATCGATGAAACCAACCCCAGCAGGACCCTTGGATACTGGTGCTGGTGCCGGTGCCGGCGCTGGGGCAGCAGCAGCCTTCTTGCCAAAGCTGAGAGGGACACTTCCATCAGCGTTCACCTTCTTCGCCCCAAACCGCAGAGGTACAACCTCCTGCTCGGCATAATCAGGCTTAGTATACCCATCATCCCCCAACACCAACCCCGCCAGAATCGCCTCCTTCTCCTCTATCGAGTTGCCCTGTCCCAAGCTGCCGTCCTCGCTCCTCAAGGTACCACCAGCCTTGAGTGCCGGTACAACCTTGCCCCAGATCTCCCTGTTGGACAAGAGAGGGGACACCTCGCTGCGGCGGCTTCCGTCGGGGTCGGTCAGGACGAGGATAAGGTCGTAGGTCTTGGCGGGGAGGCTGACTAATCCAGCAGCGAGACGGTCGAGCATCTGCAAATCGGTGGACGACCGATCATAGACGGAGAACAAGGAGGTGAGGCGGTCCTCGCGGGATGCGATCGACGGGGGCGCAAGCAGGAGGGTTCGATCGCCAGAATCGCCCTTTGCGCTGGCAGCCGCCGCAGCGTGCGCGGGGCTGAAATCAAAGTCGGGAGTTGTGTCGATCATGACGGCGGCTGGAGGCATCTCGCCGGTGTTTTCTTGGTTTCTGGAATGAAAAGAGGCTGCTCCGAGAAATGAAACAAAGTAGAACCCAGGAATAAGGAAGCAAAAAATGATTGCGGATCGTGCCTGATTTGTATTGTTAATCCTGTCGTGGGGGCGGCAGGAGGTCGAGGCAGTGGATGGAGGGGCAGTTTAAGGATGCACAATTCTCTTGACCAATAATATTGAAGCTTATAAAGCGTTGCCACTAATACATTGTGTGGACAGTGCAAAAGATTAGATCTTGCACGCCATGTGGCATGATATTCGGCGGTTACCACACAGTGTGACTCACGGCTGATTACAGTGGGTTTTCTGATTCTCCCGTTCCCGCGGAGGGGGACTTGGAGATATCGTCATCAATGTGGGAGCCGATTTCGGCCATTTGGGGTATCTAGTATCGATAAGAATTACGAATGTGCACACTAGTATAGGTAAACTTTACTTCATCAGAGGCTGTCTGTGACGGTCCTGGCAGGAAGGAAGTTAAAGTCGATGTGAGATGTCAGCCGGCACTGGTCAGGCCCGCCCCGCAATCAACCTTGGAAGCGCCGTCAGATCCGGTGAATTCAGGGACCGATGTTTGGAAGTGAGGTGGAAACAGTTCCCCGTTACTTTGTGGATATCCGGTCTGTCACAGCCTGACCTGCTGGTGACGGGACTTTCGGAGAAATGCGGTCGTCTGGTTCGCTTTCCATGGATTTCGAGAGTCTGGACCGTTGCAGCTGGCCTCAGCTGGGGCGTGTCTAATCGAGTCATGGAGTGACACCTCACAGCCGTTTGACTGGCAGACCTGGGGGGACGAATTGGATGACGAGATTGGCTGAGTCCAGCTGGCCTGATCATGTCGTTGCAGCTCTCCAAAGATGACAGCTTTCAACAATTTCCAATTCCGGTCTATCGACCAAACAGAATTGCATGTTTGTTTCACGTATCAAGGGTTCTGGAGGAGGAGAGAAGCTTCCAGCCGGCATTGGGACCTGTCATTGAATTCCGGCGGGCACCCGTCAATCAGATGGACTAGCCGTTTATGGTATGGCTTTCCCCGCATTTTGTACCAGCACAGGAGAGCACAGGGGATCGCTGAGACCTTCAAATGTGGGGACCTGACATCACAAACGTACCCTCATTGAGCACTTCACACCTCGACACCTCACAAAGAAAAGGTGAGCAAGAATAGCAGGAATAGCCTGTGTCAATTGGGAATGCAAATCCCACTATGGCTAAATGGAACGAACACCAGCCACTAGACAGCCGGGGCCCAAGACTTTGCAGAATGGCGAGCAAATCACGTAATGGCTGCTGTCCAAAGTCAGCCCAGACTCATGGCCTCTTACATGCTAATCACGCGACTCCCATACAGCGCCTCGTAGACTCCCCACCACGCACCGTACCGCGTTGCCCCCTGTTCTTTCCCTTTGAGGATGCTCGCCTGATCAATGCGAGCCGTGACTGGCTGCTCCTTTTCCTTCCACAGCTTCCCAACCACTGACCTCTCCGGACCTCTGTCGGGCCTTTAAAGTCAAGAGCTCCCATCCCTCTCCTCGACACCCCGTTTCTTTCATCCAGCATTCAGACATTAATTCATCCATTGATCATCCACCATCTCGGATACCATCATCCAACCCATCTCAACATCAACTGATAACCTTGCTCGACTCACTCGAGACTCGCCCCTGAACTGGTACACCAGCTTTAGTGACATCACAGCTCCTCACAGAGTATGTATCGCCAGCCCGTCTCCTGCAGCACAGCTCCCCTTACCCGAGCTTATCACTCTCAACCCCGCATCTCTTTGTGTGACGCTGACCCTCTGATCGTCAGAGAACAACCTCTCCACCCAACAAGTCCAATTATCTTCGAACAACTTCACTCTAGTACTCTCTACCTTTACACATCCATCACACATCATCAAGAGTAAGCTTCATCACTGGCATTGACTCTAGGATCAATAGCATCAACCATTGACAACCCTTCCTGCAGTGACTCGCTCCCACAAGTTCAATGACAAGGACCACAGCATGGTGGCCCCCGTCACGGGTCACACCCAGCAACAAGTACCCAAGTTCTTTGGCAAGCATGGCTTTGCCGATGCCGACCCCAAGAAGACCAAGAAGAACGGCGGTGGTAAGGGCAATTGGTATGTCTTATTTCACCCTACCTCCTCTTACAGCTTAGAATATCACTAACACCAATTCTTTCAGGGGCCCTGTTGGCTTAGAAGCCGAGGATGAAGAGTTCAACTTTGTCCACACCCGCCGCCGCTCCAACAGCAGCAGCGTCTCCAGTCACCCCGAGCACTTCAAGTCCAAGTTCGAGATCAACGAGCCTGAGCCTGTGTTTGAGGAGGACATCCATGGAGCCATGGAGGAGGAGGAGGAGAAGGACAGCAGCCAGTCCAGCACCTCGAGCAGCAAGCCCGAGGACATGTAAGATCACACAGGGGAAGATCATTCATGACGCGTGAGGACAGTCACCCGCGAATTCTTGCGTGCGGGAATCCATGCTTTTTGTTCAGCATGGCGGAAGGTTCGTTGATACCCTTTAGAGGTCTGATATTTAGATCTGGCGGGGAGGATGCTTGCCTTCTATCTGGCTACCACACCTTTCTCATCTCCAACGAAGGCGGCTGGGATAGCTGCGCTGTACTAGTATTTATTTATTCAATTGATTTCTAAGAGTCTTGAGATTTGTATTCTGACTCCTGGTGCCTGATATGATGACGTAGTCGTTTCGAGAAAAGATAAACCCAGATTGTTTGCACGTAGCTCATTGTCGTTCATTGGTTCAAATGATAAATACAGGGAACAGAATCAGTAACTGTATATCCTCCTCACCATCGCTCTGTTCCTCCTTCTCTTGGTCTCTTCATCCACCTCAGCATCCTCTTCCGGTCGTCTTGTAGCAGGCTGCAACGCCTTGCCAATCGGCTCCTCATCAAAGTGCATGCCTCTGTAGTCCGTCACCGTTCGTCCCAACTGTGCGGCAACATTCGCGGCTGGTCTCGTTGGCTTCCCATCCACTGTCATTTTCCCTATTCTCAACAACCCCTTCCCGCCACGAATAGGATCACGAAGATAGATCGATCCTGTCTCCGAATCGGGAAAATACGCCGTCTGGATAGACAGACGCCACTCCTTTTTCCTTTTGGGTTGTTGTTGACCCCCATCTACTCCCGCAGCAGCATCAACGGATGAAATTTCTCCCCTCTCCAGCGCAACAACCCGCTCAAACATCTCCAACGACTCTGGCTGCGGGGGGTACCACTCCGGCACTTGCTGCTCGTCGTCCCCGATCTGAAGCCACTCCAGAACAGGGACTTGCTCCTCCGCCCAGGGGTCTTCTTTGCACCTTTCCAGCGCGGAGGCCACCTCGTTTGCGACGGCGGGTGGGAGGTCGGGGGAGGTGAGGTCGAGGATGTAGGAGATGTCGTCGCAGCGGCTGGTTTATTCTGTTCTTTTTTTGGGGTGCGGACGACGAGTTTGGACCATAAGGGGCCGAGGATGTGGTGTTGGTGGGCGATGTCTTCTAGATGGGGGGCGGAGGAGGGGAGGTTGGTAGAGAGGGTTGAGATGGAGGGGGTGAGCCAGGGAATTTGTCTGGCTACTGTGCGGATTTTGGGGGCGTGTCGGATGGGATAGGGGGGTTGCCAGGAGACGTCTTTGTGGGGTGGGAGGTGGAAACCGGATGAGAGGGAGGAGACGAGCATGGAGGCGCCGAGGGGGGCGAGGAGTGAGGTGAGGGAGGTAAGGGTTGAGTTGGGCGGGATGGGGATACCCGGGAGGGGGGTTTGGGATAGGACGGTGCCGGTGTCGAAGGAGTGGGGGGAGAGGGTCTGGATGGAGACGCCGGTGTGGGTGTAGCGGTTTAGGAGGGCGTAGTGGAGGGGAGCAGGACCGCGGAGGCTGGGGAGGGGGGTTAGTAAGGGGTGGTTAAAGCGTAAGGGTGAGGGTGACATACTCGGGTAAGAGGGAAGGGTGGACGTTGAGACCGCCGTATTCTGCTTGGTTTAGGAGCCGTGGTGGGACAAAACGGCCGAATGAGACAGCGATGATGAGGTTGATGCATTTCTTCATCTATTCAAGCGGAATGATGGTTAGCTTTGAGATGTAGCAAGCTCAAACAGGGGCACTTACAAACCAATTTGTGAAAGTGTCGTGTGGTAACGTTGATAGAGGAAGACCAAGTTCCCTGGCTACTGATGCTATTGGGACTGCATATTTTTTAATTATATGACAGGTCTTCAAAAGTCATCAGGTCAGGACATACCTTCAGTCACTTGCTTCAATCCTCTCCCGGTGGGCTTCGATGGCCGAACCAGCACATCAATAGACTCGATAAGACTTGGATCATCTTTGTGCTTCTTGTGAAGAGCTTTTAGCGAGTGACAACTGAACTCATCTGAGCCACAAAACAAGATTCGTAATGGATTGCCGCGTTGTGTACTGTATGTTGCAATGCTCAGTGGTCTTGCAACAGACCGTCGAAGTGGTCGTGAAGATGCCAACCACAGCATTGTGGTGGATTTCGCTGTTTCAACAGTAAACTTATTCAAAATTCAGAGCCTCGAATATGCAGATCTCTTATTGATTGGCGGAAATATGTGTAAGCGATAACAGGTCTTGAACGACAAGTGGAAGCTGTACCTGTTGTGAGTGAGTGAGTGAGTGAGAATGCTTTAAGTGAGAGATCAAAATGAGTGGGCCACGAACTTTGAGAGCTCTGCCCCCTGCAAGCCCGGACCCTGCTGATCCACCCTTGGCATTCCATCCCCCTGGAGCTTCCTTGTGCCAGCTCAAAAGATACGGTCAACATCACCAAAGTGAAACACCCGCCATGTTTGTTTCTTATCTGCTTGTACATTTTTATAGCTATGACCATGGCCTCAAGGAGCTTTCTAACCGACCGGCAGGCTGAAGAGCTGTGTGTTTCCCCCCACCAATAAACCCTCTATTATCTCTATCCCAGAAAAAACATGACATAGATAGCTAACCAAAATCCAGACACAAATCCATCATCGCCTACCTCACCTCCCTCAACCTCGCCACCACAGCCAACACCCTCCGCGCCGAGCTCAACCTCCCCGAAGAAACCTTTGACCTCGCCAAAGCAAAACAATACGAAGGCCTCCTCGAAAAGAAATGGACCTCGGTCATCCGCCTCCAGAAAAAAGTCCTAGACCTCCAAGCAGAGAACGCCCACCTCAAGAACGAGATCGAAAATGCCGGTCCTTTAGCCCTGTCGAGAAAGAACCAGGACCCAGCCAATTGGCTCCCCAAGGGACCGCCACGATACACCCTCGAAGGCCACCGCCTGCCCATCACCTCGGTAGCCTTCCATCCTGTCTTTAGCTCTTTGGCCTCGGCATCAGAAGACAACACGATCAAAATCTGGGATTGGGAGCTCGGAGAGTTGGAAAGGACACTCAAAGGGCACACCAAGGCAGTCTTAGATGTGGATTTTGGCGGGCCGAGGGGGAATACCCTCCTTGCAAGCTGCAGTTCCGACATGAGTATTAAGCTGTGGGATCCGGCGGATCAGTACAAGAACATCAGGACACTACACGGCCATGATCATATTGTGAGCTCGGTGAGGTTTGTTCCTGCGAATGGCACTGCTGGGGCGGGAGGGAATTTGCTCGTGAGTGCGAGTAAGGATAATACGCTGAAGCTGTGGGATGTGACGACGGGGTATTGCGTCAAGACGATTGAGGGGCATAATGACTGGCCGAGGGCGGTGGCGCCGTCGGCGGATGGGAGGTGGCTGTTGAGCACCGGGAGTGATAAGGCGGCTAGGTTGTGGGATATTGGGGGGACGGAGCCGGAGTGTAGGGTTGTTATGTTTGGGCATGAGAATTTCAACGTATGTGTCCCCATTTTTGTAACCTTTCGTCTCTGATTTGATATACTGACGTGGGTCTGATAGTTGTGCTGCGAATTCGCACCCTCAACTTCATACCCCCATCTCGCCCGCCTCGCGGGACATGAAAAGGTGCCCCCGGCAAACAGTGCTGCCGAGTTCATGGCGACGGGCTCGCGTGACAAGCAAATACGGCTGTGGGACAGGAGGGGACAATGTATCAAAGTGCTAGAGGGCCATGACAACTGGGTCCGAGGTCTGGCCTTTCATCCAGCAGGCAAGTTTTTGATCTCGGTAGCAGATGACAGGACGATGCGCTGCTGGGATTTGAGCCAGGATGGGAAATGTGTTCAGACCCTCTCTGGCATGTTTGACGGGTTCGTGAGCTGTGTGAGGTGGGCGCCGGGAATCACTAAGGATGGGCTTGCTGGTGGGGATGCTGGTGATGGCACGCCGAAGAAGAAGACAGGTGCCGAGGCGAATGGCGGGGTGCAGATGCGGTGTGTGGTTGCGACTGGGAGCGTGGATGGGACGGAAGGCAAGGTGAGGATATTTGCCAATTGAGTCTTTGGGACCAATGCAGTGTCGAAGCGGGCAAATGGCCAACATAGAGTATGAATAGGGTTTCAGGCAACATCATCAGCATCATTCGCATTCAGCATATTAGGGGTATGCTATAGTAAGGTCGTTGCCGTGGGTGGCTACAAGAAAGCGTTAATGTTAATGTTTACACATTTATCGTTGTTACTCTTCCACTTTGATGTGTTGTTCCTCCACATGTTGTTCTGGTAGTGGCTCTGGTACTGGTTGTGCTGGTGGTTCTGGCTGTTTCTCGGGCACTTGCGGTTCTGGTGCGTCCTTGACAACCTGCCACCGATATGCAACCGCCCACCTCCCCAGCCCACCCTCTAGTTCAACGTCCCAAGCAGGCGGCACAACGGCCACCACCGTCCCAACAGCTAGACGCTCCTGTCCGTTTCTTTTATCCGTACTGCGCCGATCTAGACCATGATCAACTCTTTCCAAGGAGCCTATCCTCCCATCACCAGCCAAAACAGCTTGCATACCAGGTGTTCCTACTCGCGCGTTAGGTAAAGCCGCACTGATGAGACTTAACCCCTCCCCTCCTCTCTTTACATCCTCCACAGTTAGTTGGACTGCCCCTGGTGGTAATGGTTGTGGCGCGTCGGCCTCTTGTTTGACAGGGGTGTCTGTATATTCTGATGTTTTTTTCACCTCAATAAGCCAATTTTGGAGTTCAGCCGCCAATCCATTGGTGAGATACTGGCCCTGCCCCCGACGATTGCGGCCCCGGCGAGGTTTGGGTGGAGAAAAGAGATCAGGATTTATGTTCTGGATGGAAAACTTCTTCGAGTCGGAAATAGGCGAGGTGGATGTTGGTGGTGATAGGGGTTGCAAAAAGCGAGGTGGTGGGTAAAAGATTTCTTTCCTTGCAGGTCTGGTGTCTTTGTCTGGCGGTGGTTTAGCTTCTGAGTCGGACTCGCTGTCGGATTTTATGTTCAGAGGGGAAGAGTGAGGTATTGGGGGTTCGTCATCATCGTCATCAGAGTAGATGGTGATGATGTGGTCGATTTCTGGGTCATCGTTTGGGGGTAGCTCATTGTCTGAGTCCGAGTCGATCGGAAAGGCAGAGCTTGGAATCCATTCTTCCTTTGGTTCGAGGTCGGGCTCTGATGTGGCAATGGATATTCTTCTCCTTTTTGGTAAGGGGCCGGGGTCAACCTCCTCGTCATTGTCCCCTGGCTCTGGGAGAGAAGACTGTGGGACAAGAGACGAGTCTATGTCGATTGTTTCTGGTAAGTTGTCTCGGACAGCAGTTGTTCTTGATGGTGACGGCTCCTCTTCATCATGTCGACTACGCTCCTGATCTTGAACGGGAGAACTATCTTCTATAAGAAGTTCTTGTGTAGCGCGAGCTCTCGATGCCTTGGCCTTGAGAGCCAACGCAGGAGTTGAGTAGGGCGCGGCATGGCTGAGATGCGAGAGCGGTTTTGTGGTAGATGAAAATTTTGGAGTGCCGTAGAATCTATAAGGTGCAGCCGAGCTTGACTGGTTTGGTGTTCGGCCGTGAGGTTGATGTGTGCCTGGTCGTTTTGAGAGCAGGAACCGAGAGGGTGCTGGTGTCTGATTGATGTTAGTGGTCATCTCATACGCGATTGAAAGAGAACTTACTGCTGGCGATGGACCCATCTGATGAATCAATACAGGATGAACAAATCAGTCACGGGTGTACTTAGTATACGGTTCCTGAACAGATCAAAATCATTCATCATTAAGGTTGTATATCTGGAAAACTGTAACAGGCAGCACCCAGTGCTCGAGTTGATGAGTGAGCGGCCAACAGCGGTGATCCAGCCTTCCCCTAACCCTGCGCGTCGTCAGCATTGGGAACTGGCTACGGTGGGCACAACGCCAACCAGTTTGGTAACTTTTGTTTCCACTCTTGGCCCAAGCTCCCAACCCAATTTGTAAAAGCACTTTAACAACAAGCCCGACCCCACTCCGCGTCATGTTAGCGCGCCGCGTCCAGGGCGTCGCGTAAACTCTTGAAGGCTTGCCTTCAGCTGCCTGGTCTCCCCCACCAACTCATTCTTTGTCCACAGCATCCGCCAACAGACCACCGCCAAAATCGACCAAATTTGCCACTTCACCGTATACCCAAGGAAGACCCCTTCAGCTGGATGCAAGATAGAACACTTCTACCAAAAAAAAAGACAACACCAGGCGCCATGTTCGCTATGGTTGACCCAGCCGTGAACAGCGGTTTCCAAAGTTTTGGCGGTAACAATCAGCACAGCAGTTTCGTCTTTTCAAGTCCACACAAGCCAGCCAAATCATCACCTCTCTCTTATGCCCCCATGAGGATACCTTCACCGACATTGCCATCAGACGATGCCCCTGACATGATGCTTTCGTCCCCTCTTGGTCCCTCGTCAGATTCATCCCATCTTCGCATGAGCCAGTCCTCGCCAATACGGTCCTCATTTGACAATAATGAGAGCTCCGGACCACAACCAAAGTTCAGATTTGCCAATCGGAACCCAGCAAAGAACAGCAATCCTCTAGTCAAAAAGCGGAACGATGTACAAGACTCGAGACGAAGACTCTTTCTCAATAATGTACGGCAGAGGCAGGAGGACAAAAAGTTTCAGCGACGGGGTGGACAGGATGAGGTTCGTTATTTGCCTTCCACCTGTACTTTTCTCTTCTCCCAACTAACAGCCCCTGGACAGATTGCCAGATTAGAGTTCAACCGTCTCCAGAACGAACGCCTCGCCTATCTTGACCGAGAACGAGCCAAAAACCCTTATGCACTCTGGGAACAAGAGCTTGAGGACGAGCATCGCAGCTTGCAGTCACAGCAACGGCAAATGCAACAACAAAATCCAGACGAAATGATGCTGGATGCATTGGAAGAGGCAGAGATGGCCGAGATTGCCCAAGCAGAGGCGTTGCTTCACCAGGACAACAACTCCTCGAGACATATCAATCAGGATGACTCTTTCGATGATGACGAGGATTGGGATGAGTTGTTCATGGAAGCGATCCAGACTTCACAGCAACACCATATTCAAGGGCAACAATCGGGCGGGCAAGATGTGGAGATGTCTTGATTATGATACTTCACGTTGTCTTGAGTTGACGAATTACATATGGCACTGTACATTGGAAGGCATATATGCCCCGTTGTAAGAGATGGATATACCCAGCAGAGAAACGGGTTACTGAGAGTGGAACAACATATCGATGGTTTACATGTTTGGGCGCATGGCATACTGGACATCAAGGAGTTATTGGAGTCTGGAGATACTTTCATGCATTGAGAAGCGGCGTCGGCTTCCAGGTAGGCTGACTTAATTGTATTATAATAGAATAATGCTGTATCAAAAAGAAGTATGAAAGAATGGCTTTACACGACGACTGTACTCCGTACAAGTGTTCAAAATATGGTCCGTGCACTGTGATTGCGTTCGAACCCGGCGAATAGCGTGGTTCAAAATTTGGGGAACCGGGAACCGGGACCCGGCCGAACAGCTGAGGGGCACTGGGCCGCTCCGGAGTTGTCACATGCCAATGAGCCGAGAGTGCCTTACGTCTTGAGATAACTTACTTCACCTCGACTACATAGGGGAAGTACCTATCACAAGGCGCGGCGCAGGTACCTTGCGTATAAAAGCAGGCCAACTGTTTGGGAAATATGTCGGAACAGCAAACCAACAGCGCTGCGGCACCTGCCGCCGCTGCTGCTGCTGCTGCTGTCAAGCCAGATGCGACTCTCCCCACCACAACCACTACTCCGGCCGCTACTATCACCGCCCCAGTTGTTCAAGATGGGAAGAAAGCGGTAACAGTTGAAGATGTCGCCGACGACGACGACGACGTCCCCGACCCGGATGAAGACGACCTGGATGATCTGGACGGTAAGCTTCATTTACCCCTCACTTCTTCTCACTCCAACCCCGTTCACTAATACCCTCGTCAGACATGCTCGAGGAATTCAACGCCGTCAAACTTGGACCCCCCTCCAAGCCCCCAGCAGCCGCCCCATCCCTAGGCCCAGAACGCCCCCCATCCAGTGGTGATGGTGGTGACCTCCCCCTGGACGAAGATGAATTCGCCCGCCAGCTCCAAGCAGGCATGGCCGACCTTCTAGGTGAAATCGAGTCCTCCCCCGAGATGCAAGCCCAGTTCGAGTCCATCTTCAAGGAGCTCGGCGCCGCTGCCTCCGCCGCTGCCTCCCCAGATCCCAAATCCCCCTCAGCAGGAGCTGCTGCTGCTGCTGCCCCAACTCCCCCCGTTGTCCCCCCCCCTAATATTCGCCCCCCATCTAGCAGCGGCAGCGGTGCCGGCGGTGCTGAAGCCTCCTTTCAAGAAACCATCCGTCGCACCATGGAGCGGATGCAAACTTCGGGGGAGCAAGCTACTGCTGCTGCCGCCGCGGAGGGATCGGACGACTTCCTTGCGGAGCTCCTCAAGCAAATGCAGGCTGGCGGTGGCGGGCTGGGTGATCTCGGTGGGGAGGGGAGTGAAGAGGAGTTTTCCAAGATGCTTCTAGGTATGATGGAGCAGCTCACCAACAAGGAGATCCTCTACGAGCCGATGAAGGAGCTGCATGACAAGTTCCCCGAATGGCTGGAGAAGAATCGCGACAAGACGTCGGCCGAAGATCTCAAACGATATGAGGAGCAGCAGGGGCTTGTGGCGGAGATTGTGGGCAAGTTTGAGGAGGCGGGGTACAGTGATGAGAAGCCGGCGGATAGGGAGTATATTGTTGATCGGATGCAAAAGGTATGTCTTCATCTAATCGCATCCTGGACGAGGTATGATGCTGACCAAAGGGGAATAGATGCAAGCAAGTGGTCAGCCGCCAGCGGATTTGGTGGGGGATATGCCCTCTACGCAAGACGCGCTCGCCATGCCAGATGAGGGGTGTGCTCCTCAGTAGAGGTTGGGAAACGGTACTATCATAGATGGTTGATTTTCAGTTTGTCATGTTCGACCATTTGAAAGAGAGCGAGATTTGTTGTCTTTAGAACTGTTGAGCTTGTTAGATATCTAGCGCTGGGCACACATGTTTGTTTTAGTTCATCACCGAAACCCACGGGTTGTACACAAGTATATAACAGAACAGCATTATGATTCGCAAAGCTCCCCCATCCTGAACGCTGAAGTGCATTAGTCCTCCAGACCCATTCCACTGAGGCATTCCATGGCAAGCACAAACAAGAGGTCTTGCTCTAAACTCAGGAATATAGGTAGGCTGACAGGCAATATTATGACAAAACACTCAAAAACATTTTCTTTATTGGAGTATCACTTCATTACCTATTATTCGACATCACCACACCACACATTCTACAATCAAAGCGCAGTAACAAATATTTTGATCCGGTATATTTCCCAGTAGCTAGGCTTATCACAGCTGTGTTGTTTGGTATCAAAAGACTCTTGAAAAAGGAAAATCCTGTCCCTGTCCCATATCCACCCCTGACACCCACACTCCCTTTCCTTCCCTTACTCATAACATTACCCAGAGATATCCTTCATACCTCCAATGGGGGGGTATATCATCAAATGCTTCCCCATCGAAATTATACACACAAGGTGGTATCCCATCACAATCAATAAAATCATTAACCAGTATATATACCCATACTAACGGACATATACTGCGGCCCCGTGGTAGAACGCAGGCCAAAAAGTAAAGAACAAGCACATTAAGACTTGTCTTTATTCAAGCAACAGAGTCCTTCTTCTCATAAGCCTGGGGCTCGGAAGAATTGCCGCCAACATCTCCCTTAGGAAGCATGTTGAGCTCATCTTCTTGGGCATCGAGGCCACGGAATTGGAGCCAGAAGCAGAGACCACCGATGGCGGCGGCAATGGCAACGACTCCATAGTTCCAGACGAGAAGCGGGTCGCCAGCAAGGGGCACCAGCGCGAAGCCGATGGCAGACGAGATGGCATTCATGAACAGACAGACAGACTGAACCATGGAGCGCATGTTTGCGGGAGCCTTGGAATGGGCATACTCCAAGCTGGTAATGGAGGCCAGAATCTCGGAGAAGGCGATGAGAACGTAAGAGCCGGTCTGGGCCCAGACGCTGATCTCGACATTGGGGCACTTGATTGTCTTGCCGTCAGAGCCAAGCAACTCGGCACCGTCAGGACCAAGCATATTGCCGCTGGCATGGTTGCCGCACTCGCTCTTCTGGTAGAGATAGTACTGAAGAACGCAGGCCCAGATCATGGCGCTGGCAGCAACGAAGTAACCGGCAGCGATACGCTTGATGGGGGTGAAGTTGATGCGGAGCTTGCGAAGGGCGGGGAACACAAGGGTATCCATGAGGGGGATCATGATGATCAGAGCGAAGGGGTTCAAGTTGGTCAAGACGTCGTTGGGGACACCGCCGAGCTTCATGGTGGCAGCTTGCGAAATCAAGTTATTGTTAATCTGATTGTAGCAGAGCCAGAAGAGTGGGTACCACATGAACACAGCGCAGGCATTGAAGCCACGGCGAACCTCATCAACCCCTGATTTATGTTAGCTATAGTTCGAAGCAAAAGGTTGAGATGGCGACAAAACTTACAGGCGTCGTTGAAGTCCATCCACTTGGGCTTGTTCTGAATCTTGGAGGGCTTGACGTTCTCCCAGAAGGTACCGTCGTGGAGGTTCTTGTAGGTCTTGACGGGGTTGAGGGACCAGCGGCCCTTGTTGGCGAGGGCGAAGATCTTGAAGGCGCGGCCGAGAACTGAGCCAGCGGGCGGGACACGCTTGTAGCGTCTGCGACCCCAGAGCATAACCAGGGGGCAGAAGCACAACATGATGGTTGGGAGAGTGTAAGAGAGCCAGAAGCCGACATAGTGCTCGCAGTAGACCATGCTGAGCTGACCAGCGAGAGCACCGAGGTTGATGAAGAGGTAGAAGTAGTGGTAGACACGGGAAGCGGTGGCCGCAGGGTCGACGATGACGCGCTCACCAGTCGGCAGGGTGCGAATCACCATTCTCTCGAGATCAAGCTGCTCAACAATCAAGGGGTTGACGTTGGGCTTGAAACCACCGGTACCGACACCCATAGTGATGATGCCGAGAGTGAAGGCAGCCAGCGCACCATTGGGGTTCTTGATGACAGGGGGAAGACCGGAGATGATGAGAAGGATGTGACCGATGATATCGATACCGAGGGCGGCACCGATGGTTCTGTAACGACCGAGCCAGCTGTCGGCAACGTAGGCACCGAACAGAGGCATGGTGTACTGCCAGAAAGCATTGAAGGTCGTCAACGAGAACGAGGTTCTCTGACCCAAGCCGAGGGCACCGGCTTGGCCATTCTCGATGTCGTAGCTAGCACCTGTGGTGGAGTTGTCTGGCAGCTTCTGCTGAATGAAGTTGGTGAAGACGGCAGTGGTACCGTAGTAGGAGAAACGCTCGCACAACTCGACGAAGGCGATGGTGTAGATGCTCCAGGGAATCTTGTCGGGGATGCGGCGGAGGGTGTGAAGCTCCTCGTCGGTGGGAGATCTGCCATCGGCGCTGACACCGAGGTCGTCGTCCTCGACTGTGCTGCTGAGGACGGGGGCCAAGCCGGCCGCCTCCTTGTCCTTCACGATGGCCTTGACATCGTCGCTCACGGCGATGCTCGTGGGGTCGGACGCCATGGTGGGCTGTGTGGGAAGCTCTCTCTGAATGGAACACTCAGGTGTTGCCTTGTCTCGTCTTTGGAGAGCGGCCGTAAGGTCGCCGGGTGCCAGGTGGATGGAGAGAGAGAGACTTGAGCCTGCCGTGTCTGAGAAGCGAAGCAGCAGGACGGCAGGTATTATATACGACCCCGCGAGATATATTTTTCACCTTAAGCAACCAGTAGTGTGGCAAGCGAGCACCGCATGGGGTACAACTGCACCTGCCCTCCCTGCTGCCCTACCTTCCATGGGTACAATCTGGGGCAGGAGCGACCCGAGGGCTCGAGTGATGGTCGAGTCTCGGCTCTTTCTCTGCATCGTATAGTATTCCCGCTCCCGGAGGTACCAACGGAAGGAACAACGGACCATGGACAGGGAAGGAATGCCCACCTCTGGAAAGTGCTCTGTCTTGGGATGGCTTGCCACCTTCCAAGATTGACCAAGAGCGCCAAGAGATAGATGAACAACGGGTTGCCTGCCGTTTTCCCCTCCAGTCAACCACAACCCGCCCCCTCTTTCGACGAAACGGCAACATGCTACTGGCGATCCCTGGCCTGATATAGAGGGGTGGCATGTACACGAGGGTAATTGCCCCAATTGATCGAATCTAGATGCTGTTTCCGTCGAGCTCTGGTTTCCCCCCACGCATTAGGTACACATTGTGCCAGTCTGGTATGTACTTATTTGTTTTACTTTGTCGACGTCTCAGCACAAGTGCCGACATGCCGAGAAACGCCATGCCGTTCATGTTTGGGCGAAGCTTTCTCCCGCGCGCCTCTGCCGCTTGGCTGCGCGCCGCTGAGCGACACGGCGCAAAGACAAGTCGGCACAAGCTCCCGCAGGCGCCTTGGACCGTCTTGGGGGACTGGGGGATGTTGACCAGGGGTCGGGCTTTTGGTGTGAGAGGAACTTCCTAGATCGTCTATGCCCAGCCTCTTGGCACCAATGCCCGCGCCGGATCGTGTGGGGACCCACCCGGTGCCTGTCAGCGAAAAATCAACGACATGAGCACCGAGGTGTGGCAACCCTGGAGGGGAACCGGCCGACGACGACCTGATTGCCCTACGGAGAGCCCGCGGGCCGGACCAGACACCGTTATTCGACAAGTTTGAATACTGGAGGATTTAGAGCTCATCCTCACCATCACAAGCGCCGGAGCATCATCACGGGGGCCTGCTATTGGGTCCGGGAATAGCGATGGCGAGAGGGGTCCCCATACAGCTATATGGGCTGATGGAAAGATCGTCGATGGGGTAGCAGTATACAGCCAAGTACTCCAGTGTCTGAAGTCCCTTGGGCGGACGGGACAACGGTTTGCCATGTGATGTCTGTCCTCTCTCATGGGACGAACGTTTCGACACGAGCTTCGAGAACTTTTGCCTCTCATTGTTGATTGGAGCATCAAAAGACCCGAATGTTAGGGTGACGGTTCTGCCAATGCGGCTCTGGAAGCTTATTTGTGCATTCGCAGTTATCTCTCGGATTGCGCCATCTGCTCCCTTCCCACGACGATAACCAGTCAGTTCGAGCGAGATACTACGGCCATGGTGTCCCGTGGAGGCTCGACGCCGGGTATGTTTGCTTTTCGGTGTGCGCCGTCGCATCCAGGATTCCTAGGCCATTAGTTTTCCTCCTTCCTAAAGCGTGCTTCAACAACGACACACAGAAACAACCTCGGTCCACCATTGAGAAATCACGAAGAAAAGAGCATTCCAACCGTTGTCCAATGAAATGCTCACATTTCTCCAACAGCGAGGTATTTCTCGGTATTTTTGTATGGTTTAGTCCAATAGCTTCACCTGCTCACCGTTCACCGATGAGAGCAGGAGCCACGGAGCATACCTAGTGGTTGGGTGGAACGAGTACTGCGGAACCTGAAAAGTATGAGACAGGGACCTCATGATCAGGGCTGCTTGGCACAGATGGTCTAGGTATGTAACGGATGTCAGATGCGGGTGCTGTTGTTATCAAAAAGCGAGAATGCCACGCTGATGCACCTCTGCCTCTATCTTGTGCTCATGGTGCTGCCATGCAGTCGTTATCTTTTGGGGTAGTTGTTGCTCGTCGCGAGGGTGTGGTAGCGAGAGGGATCGGCTGATACATTGGCAATTACCTCGTCTTGTATGGCTGCCTTCTTCTTTCAGCGGCCGTATAATCGAAGCGTCGGTCACGCAAACAGCATGCGAGTGGTGGTGAGAATGCAACGGCTGAAGTGGTAGGGGGGAGCGGAAAAAAGGCGGGTCGTTACAGTCCAAGTCACCTTCCGCAATAGGAAGTGCCTTTTAGTCACGGTCGATGCTCCTTCGCGACAGCACAGCTGCCAACGGAATAATGGCCTGAGGATGACAATCCTCCCGATACTAAAACGTAAAGCTCGCAAAACTATGATTTTTGCGAGTCTCACCTGGGCTTCGATGTCTGCGCCGTGGGACCTACTTTATCTACTCTCGGACATGATACCGAGAAGGATTTATTTTTCGGATTGTGGGGGTTCTGGCAGTGACGTCAGACCTCCAACACAGCTCCGAATGCTTCGAGGGTTAGGGTCTATATCGACCCAACATCTGAATTGCATGATCAACAAGTCGGCCCTTTGCAACAGTCACATGCGGTGGATCGAGCCAACGACATTCTTCATCGGTCTGCCACTTCCTACCTTCTCTTCCTAGATATCGCTGCGTTGTTGATGGCAATGCTGTGGCGTTAAGATTCTCGGTTTTTTGCAACAGCTTGCCCTTTCAGGTCCTTGCGCATCAAGCCGTCAGCAGGACCTCCAACATGCAAGTTCGGTGGCCCGTCCACTTTGGGCTTGCATCAGACTTATATGCCAAGATGCTTGGAAATAGAACACAAAGTAGCGTCGGCGCTCGGCAGTTGTGCTTTCTTGAGCCGAAGTTCAGGGTTTTCATGGTGGATAAGGTAGGTCTTCTTACCTCGGTGAGCAGAGAGGTGTGGTCAGATGTCACGAGCTCGCGTTATTGGGCTAACAGTAAAAAGCTTTTGCTAATCAGCAAAATCTGATAGCATGGCATCACTTATTCCTTCTTTTCACCCAGAACGGCAACAGACCACATAGGTACTCACGAACATTGCTACCAGTCTCCATGTCCACATCACCCCAGATCTTCGCATATGCATTATGCACTGCGGCATTGTGCAGTACTTTCCTGGGACTCGGGGATCTTCCGTTACTCAATCACATCCCACAACCTACTAGCGAAAGCGAAAAACCCCAGACCAAACAGCAAAAATTCACCGTGGCATTCCCTCAGAAACTCAGGTTCCTGCCCATGAAGCCAAGACAGCTCGGGAATATTCTTGACAAACGCCAAGTATTCGAGATAATGAAGCTTGTCCTGTCGAACCCAGGCCCATCCTCGCCGGCGTTGGAGTCACAACCCTGATCCATGAGCTCGCAGTAGAACAGGGGTGCCGGTACCTGCACGAGGAACATGAGATGGCCAGAGAGAACTCCGCCAAGGCTACATACGCTTTCTCTAGAGCTCGGGATAACCTCTGTTCTTTGCTTGCTTGTTTCGATCCTAGCCTGCGCTTTGCTTTTCTTTGCCAAGATGACATGACTCTTTCTTTGCAGCTGCTTTATAGGAACTTGCCGAGAAAGCTCCATCATGTGAAAATTCATGGGGAGAACTGAGGTGACTGGTGACGATCAAGGATGGGTAAAGCTTTAGCTGACACGTGAGCCATGGAGAAATTACTGATCGGACATATGCCTATCGCGAGGGTTCCAGATCATGACACAACGACCCCATATTCAAACAAGGTGCCTCTAGTATATAAATCGTCACCTCTCATCCAGAAGGCAGAAGCCTGTGTTCGAGTACTGACATGAAGGCCGGGTATTCACGGCTTATTATCAGGCAATAACAGGTAGCATGGCATTCACTTTGAGATATGTCCTTGCTGATCTTTCATACCCATCTGATGATCTGATGGGTAGTTTATCCAGCGTCAGTTCATCGAAACTGCTTTTCGTGCTCGGCTTCAACTACAGCCAGGATTTTTACCTGTGAGGATAGCATCGATCCTTGTCATGCCTTTGCTCGGTCTCACGCTCATTCCATTCCCATCGAAGCCATCAGGCCGTGCGAGAGTGTCGAGTAGCTGCGGAGACATAAAGGGGGGGGCTATCAGTCAACATCCTGTTCAACATCCTTAGCCATTCCAGCTTAGAGGTTTGATCAGCCGTTGACTTTCAGAGTGGCTGGTTGTTGGGATGACACTGTCCAAACCTTCCCTTCCCCCGTCTGTGCTCTGGTTTAAGTCATCTTTATTTGAGAGAGCGTCTGTCACCTGGTTGACCGTGGAATGCAGGGCATTCTTTCTCATGTACCTGTTCTCATGCTATAGCTCCAATGTTCGTTCTCTGATCGTTGCCACGTTGTCATCAGGACAGTGAAGCAGTGAAGATGGACGGGCTGTCAGTAAAACGCAGGGCACCTTGAAGTCAAGAAATATGTACCTGTTCCCATGCAATCACTGGCGAGTCTGTGGGTTGGGGGTTGGGGAAAAGACAAATGGCAGTCAAGGCGTTTACATAGTGCCTCGTTGTCAGGTTGTTACCGAAGAGATGCTATGCATCTTGGGCGTGGCCAAGACGAGCAGACTGTCAGTGCGGGTGCGTTGATCTGACAGTTCTGACAACTCGGACAAGCACGGCCGAATGGGCTTCATTCAAGGTAGGAATTGTGGGCGTCTTTGTTGGTCATGTTTGTAGAAATCACAGAGGAGGTCGGGAGAATGGCAGATCTAGGTAGCCTCGTATGAGAGAGAAGCACAGGGATATTTTCAGCAGAGCATGGGGAGTTTTGATTTTGATATTCTCCAAGTGTCCTCAGTCTAGGCCCTCCCATCTCTTCAATATGCCAAAGGAGCCATGTGCTCCTCTCTCGGATACAAAATGACATTACACGGAGTGCGTCGAGGTAACGGACCGGTACTTCACATCTTTCCGACCTGTACAATATCCTGCCACGCGTCTTTCGGAGCATCCGGCGTTCGTACTGTTGGGGTAGGCCCGCGTTTCCAGTGCTCGAGCTTTTCGATGCGGTCCTCTAGCTGAAAACGCACCCAACCGTTAGCTATCAAAGCACGTCTTGCCTAAGGTAAGTGCATGAATATGCATCACCCAGTCACTTGCAAGGCAAGTGGTGGGTTTCGGAGCAGACTGGGGCGGTCGTTGTCATAAAAAAAAGAATTATTCACCCACCTTCGGGAGTGAATGTTGGAACCAATGTTCGACTACGGATAACCTGTTCGCTGTGTTTTTGTCCCTCTTCAGCCTGTCCGTCTCTTTTTTCGCTCTCCCAATTCTATCCTTCGCCAAAGCCTCCCAGAATTTTTTGTTGAAATCGTCCCTCTCCCTCTCCCTTCTGTCCTGGTTTCTCTTCCTCTTGTAAACATCAACCCCGATGCCGAGCAGCATAGAAAAGAGACCAAAACTGGCAGGTAGGGTCTGACGGATTCAAACATCTTGGAAATGTATTTTTGAAAGGAGTGTGTATGGACGCCTGGTGTGCCGGGATAGCAATGACAACGACTGAGCGAATTGGTTGGCCAGTTTGTGGGCATGCGGGAAATAAGTTTGACGGTGGCAGGATAAATATAGATAAGGCTTGAAGGGAAAGAGAGTAGATTTTGGGGGTGAAAATTGAATGGTGACCTGCATTGGTTGAAGTTAAATCGCGTTGGTGGCTTGGAAAAACTCCCCATCCCGCGAGGTATCACAATCTGAACGAAAGAAACAAGACTGACATGGAATCACCGCCTGGAAAATAATCAACACGGTACTCGACTGTTGTTCGAGGCTCCCTGACCATCTTGAGGGCCTTATTTTCGAGTAGCAACCTCCTCTTCAAATACATGGCATGGGCATGCATTGGAAACTATCACTGCAAACAGTGGCGCAATGTCAACAACGACGTGTATGCCAGGCGGGCAGACATGCTGGATCTCACAATCAGTTTTGAAACAATAATGGGGAAGAGTTCATGTCCAGTCAGAATTCCATATGTTCCACAAATCAAGCTAGGCCGGTGTTTCGCTTCAGGGCTTACAAAATTTGTGTTTGCCCTACCAGCGTCATGAAACACTGAATTGACGTGCGAGTTATTCATTGTCGGTCTCACCTAATAAGCACTCACTTTTCACAAGTCACCAAGCCATGTTTTGTAAGGCTGAAGCCATATTCGTTGCGGATGATTTCCATCGCAGCAACTCATTCCGAGTTTGAGCAGCCCAAGGAGGTGACACGAAGCCATAAAATCAGGGCTCATTATGGCTGGGAAGACTGGATGATATCCCCACTCGGCAACCCAGGTGCAAGAAGACATCTGTAACACAGACAGCGGACATCAACTAGGCGTGACCTGTACTGTCAGCCGGGCAAGCGCAGAAAAACTTCGGCCAAGGACAGAGGCTTCGGACTGAGAAAGCGAAAGTTGTATTTCTGGAAGATGATCTGCATCCTGAATATCTGATATCTGGGAAGAGAGCAGCAATGAATAAGGCGTGTTGGTGAGTTCTATTCTTAACAAGCCAGTGCGTAGGCGGCAGTGTTGTAGGTAGAGCGAACTAGAAGGCTCTTCGAAACCGACCAGCTGAGACGCGTACACAGTAGAGTCCACAATGAAACTATTGACAGACGAAGCTTTGCTGACTGGTCGGGAGAGGCCGTGAAGGGGCGAGGAAGCTTGGGTCCGGCACTGTGTGTACGTACCTGATCTAAAGATTCTCTAGTGACGGGGTGGATCTTCAAGCTGGAGTTGCTGGAGGCCGGTTTGAGATGGCCTGAGACAGTTACTACCCTCAGAGAGGCTTGTCTTTGTTGGTCTGACCCGAGACGTTGGAAACGGCCCAGGTTCTTGTGGCCCAGCGGGTTGTTGGGCTGCTACTTTCCCCGCCCCCATAAGCAACAGCTTTCCCGGTCTGAGGTGAGCGAGTCCCGGATTCCACTTGAGTCCAGAACTCTGCTGCGTTGCAACGGTCTGAAGCTTATTAAGTGGGGCGTTTCTATGTTACGTCAGCGCCCAGGCACACCCGTTGGCGGGGTGTGACCAACAACCTTCACCCACTGACAGGTTTATCACGATTATAGACAAATATTTCGAAGTCGTTTTCGACCAATGCCTTTCTCATTCAGGAACGCAGCATTGCAAACCACAGGGCTCATCATGTTGATCCGTGCTTACAAGTGTTTGGTAACGGATCTCCGTTCAGTGTTTCTGGCCACACTCGCCATGCTCCAAACCCGTCGGCTAGGAAACTGTCACGGGCCGTTGGGATGAGCTTTTCGCAGGGCTCAGACTTGGACTCATCCGATGAACTCACCCCTGGCCTTAGCTCACCGGCCTCCTTCGAAGAATGTCCCCTCGCAGCCTCTAGGCTAGCGTTGGTGGTCGGTCTGCAAGACCACCGACCTGCCGCCTAGATGGGGACCTGCTTCTTCTACGCCGATCTCACAAGGCGCGTTCCTCATAGCACACACAGTACCGTCAACAAGCTTCCAGCTGGCTGGGTGATGTTGCCGCTCGATCTTTTTTCTTCTCAATTTCCTTCTGACGTATGATCTCGTCTTCTTTAATCAGAGATATATTTCTCCGACACTTCTGGCCACTTTCGTTTGTGACACGCAGGTTGCATCTCTCGTTTGCACACCTTACCTATTTGACCCTTCACACCACACTCACTTCAATCTTTGTTTCATTGCACCTTGACTTCAAAGTATAACAGACACCTACCATCGAACCATGGGGCCGCCCTCCTTCCTTATGAGGAGCAAATCTGACGATTCCTTCTTGAGCATACTTTCCACCAAAGAGGAGAAGTCGCTTCTTCCAGCGCCAGTACACCGAAAACCAAAAATTAGAGTACGAACGCTTCTAGGCCATTGCTTATATCGTAGGGTGATATTATGGACTGCCGGCATTCTATTTCTCTTATGCTTAGCGCTTTCATCACCAGGGGGTCGCCAACGCCGCCAAAGGCTGATGGAGTTGGTGGACTTGAGCCATCAGGATGTGAGAAGCAGCGGTGGTGAGGGTGAAGCACCAACAGTTGCCAAGGACACAGAGGGTGTGGTTTTTGTGGTCTCCGCGGGAGATGCGCCACAGGTTCAAGTTCAGGGGGAGCACATGCCGACCTGGTTGCGATTTAGACAGTGAGTACTCCCTGGAAGAGGAAACATGTTGATCGCGACTTGGCGCTAACGTTCCACCAGCCTTGACGGTTTCTTCAATGGTCTCAAAGCCCTAGTGCCAGCAAACGAATACATACCGGAGTATCCCAGGAAGCCGGGTGAGGCGTCACCGTTCCCACTCACGCTATCTTACACCGGCTTGCCGACCCCGACGCCCTACGTACCTCAACCTGACTATGAATCGCCGGAATACATCTCCCAGTACCACGCCGTCGAAAAATGTTACCTCGACAAGGAACGGAGGATTCCGGTTCCCGATCTGTATGCTTACAATGGCGTTGTCCAAGGCCAGCCAGAACCCGCCATGGGCTCACGCAACTTACTGGGACTTCGTGACGATGTTTGCTTTGACAGATTCGGTCGATACGGGCCTTATGGCCTTGGATATAGCTTTGACGAGGGAGGTGCATTTGTTGGCACTGACACAGAGCAGGAAGGCAGCAGTACGGTTTGGGAAAAGACGGGCAAAATTAACTATGAAAACATGGACTGGGGCGATGCCCAGACGCGCTGCTACGAATCGAACAAGAAGCGCTTCGCCGACCCAGCAGCACCAACAAAAACTGCAGCAGTTTCAGGCCAACTTCATCCACGGTCATTTTTGCGCAACGAGCGGCAGAAGATCCCCCGGACGGCCGTGGTCATCAGGGCCTATGTTGGGTTTCAGTGGACGCAACACAACATCTTGAACTTCCGGGCCCTGATATCTGAACTGGCGCTCAAATCCGGCGGCGAATACGCCGTACACTTCCTCCTCCACGTGCGCAACAATAACGAGGCCATCTGGGCCGACCCCATGACGGCCCAGCGCATCCTGGACGAGAACATTCCCCAAGAGTTCCACGGTCTCTGCACGCTATGGTCGGAAGCCCAAATGCGCCTCTACTACCCAGGAAAGTTTGGGGGCAGCTTCCAGAACCCCAGCGGTGGTGATATTCATGGTGTTTACCGCAGCGCCCATTTCCCTCTGCAGCACTTCGCGATGCAGCACCCCGAGTATGAATACTTTTGGAACTGGGAACTCGACATGCGCTGGTTAGGGAATTACTATGAGCTCTTTGATCGCCTCAGTGCCTGGGCCAAGGAACAGCCCCGTAACGAACTGTGGGAGCGCTCTGCCAAATACTACATCCCTTCCTACCACGGCTCTTGGGAGAACTTTACCTCCTTGGTGCATAATGAGACCTTGAACAGCGGACGCGAGGCCACCTACGGCCCAGCTCAGTTCCCCGGCCGCCAACCCCTCCGATCAGAACTCCGAGGCGAGAGCTTCATGCCCTCCAATTGCGATCCAAACGACAAATCCGACACCGAGTGCGGCAAAGGCGAAGAAGCCGATCTCATCACTCTGAACCCGCTATTCGACACGGAACACTCGGGCTGGGTCTTTTCAACGGATGTCACAGGATATAAGCGCTCCTTGCCTCTGCCTCCGAGAAGATGTAGCATCATCACCGCTAGCCGGCTCTCCCGTAGATTGCTGAACACAATGCACGAGGAGACCTGGAGACTGAAGCACACCATGTTTGCCGAGATGTACCCCGCCACTATGGCACTTCACCACGGGTTGAAGGCCGTCTATGCCCCTCACCCTGTTTACTTGGACCGAGAGTGGGAGATTGAAGCGATTGACAAGGCTTTCAACGGCGGGAGGGATCACACTGCTGGCGGGCACGGTTCTCCGTTTGACTTGAACAACGAGCATAATCACAAGGGGAGCAGCTGGTACTACAATAGTGAGTTTGCCGGCTTGCTTTGGAGGAGGTGGTTGGGGTATGCGCAGTTTGATGGCCGGGGAAGGAATGGTGGACGGTCAGGGGAAGGGCAATTGAGGGGTGGGAAAGAGGAAGAGGAGAGGGCGGCTGGGACGGGCAGGTTGTGCTTGAGGAGCATGTTGGTTCATCCTATCAAGTGGGAGCATCCTAGTGAGCTGGATTGAGTTCCCAGAGCAGCATGTTTGGAGTCTTTTTTTTGATAAGGCGGGGAAGGGAGTGGCAAAGGGCTGGTTGAACCTTTGCTGTTGGGATATCCGGTAATAAGGGCTGCATAATTGGGCGGACAGGTGGCATAAAAGTAGCATTTTTTGCGGTCGTGTTTGATAATGTATATGCTTCTTTCTTTCTTTTGTTAACAAGCTAGCCTTAGTTTTGATAGGCATTGAAGCAATGTTTTCTTCCAATCGTGAAGTTGTCTAAGCAGCAGTGCTAGTGTTACAGTCTGATATCTGGGTCGGGTTGCGGCCGGCCGCCGCCATAAATGGTCCGGGCCGCCTTGTGTCTCGGGAGATGTAAAATTGGCCTTGTTGCTGTTGGCAGGCAGGCAAAGGCACAGAAGGGTTGACATGTTTCAGGCCTCACAATGCACGATGCTTTTCAAATTAAATTTAGTGATAGATGAGGGCGGCAAAATGGAAGGCAAACTTTCCAAAGAAAAGAAATTTCTTGATGTTGCACAAAACCTGGATCGCCAAGTACTTATACGATATGCAGAGTCCCTATGACAGAGATCAAGAGATATGCACCTCCGGCTGGGTCCCGTCAGCGGCGGCCCCGGAGGTCGGTGGTTCTTCCACCCCTGTCAGAATCCAAACCCAAACCCCTTCCGGAGCTCCCCCACGCTTTTCTGGTTCGCTGACGGCAGTGGGTGACAGCCGAGTTGTCAGTGCGAACGGACGGGGGAGAGAAAGGCTGGATGGGATGGATGGCACGGATGCAATGGGAGTGGTCATGTGCTCAATTAACGCCCGTATGATGTGCATATTCGGTTAGCTGTGGGATCACCAGGAGAGAAGAGGTTTTTTTTGCTCCCGTTGAAGGTTTGCTGAATGGATGGATGGATCATGGTGAGGCTTTTGAAAGTTTAAGTCTTTGGTCGGATGATGACCACCCCGCTTTCTTCCAGGGCGATTGGAACCGTGGGGTAAGCCTCTGGGGAGCGGCGAATGGGGTTGGGTAACGGTGTTAGTAGTGATTGCTCTAAAAAGATGAACAGATGGTGAACAGACAGATGAAAGCGTCTCCGGACTGTGAATAGAGATTGTCCGGCCGAAGCCGAGTCCGTTGGGTTTGTCATTGCTTGTCTCGAAGATATTGGCACATGTCAGATACCGAAACCCAATGATGGATATGGCTGCAGTGCTTCGTCATTGTGGACCCTGCTACCACTTTAACACTTTCGACTTGCCCTCCTCCACTGTTTTCAATCCACAGTGACATCGACATCGATTTCAAGGGAACACAGCATCAGGGGCATCCATCGAGGTGCAAGGTGACGCACAACAAAGAAGACCACCCCACCGGGTGTTCGCCCAAAGGGCACACGGGACGAGGTTGGCGCAAGGCTGAAGACGCCCTCATGTCCAGCTGAGGAAAACTAGATACAGATAGATAATGCATTCTATGACTGAGGCTTATCTGCTGCACCTTGGTGGTTTAGTGGCTGCTTTTTTTTCGATGACCCCGTGATCGCAGTGTTGGGACTCCCAATTTCGGACCCTCCTTGCTCCCCTGGTCGGCGGACAGGGCAGCTGTGGCACACCCACCTGCATCCGCGCCTGCAGCATAACCACCTCCACCTCCTGCCCGCACACTCCTCAACACCCAACGTAAAGGCCGCCTTGTCTGAGACGCAACCCTCTCTCAGCAACGCCGCAGCTCTTCTTCACATCATCTTCCAACCTTATCTCCTTTTCCTCTTTTTTCTTGTTCCCTTAGCCTCTCTGGGATAGAACAGACAGACGACGACAATCGAGCGAGTTCCTGCAGCAGACGGCAGCACTCAATCTGTTGTTTTAGCGTTCAGCCACTCGCATCAGAGCCCGAAGCACAAGCCAGCCCGTCCTTGTTTGCCAGAGCTCCCCCTACCTCACCTTACCTCACACCTTTCAGCAGAAGCTTGACTTCGTCTTTTGCTCCCGTCCTCTGTAATCCCTCGAGTCCTCGATACTCAAACAACGACTGCCATCATGCCCATCATCCCGACCACAGAGATTACACCACCTGCCCCGCCACCGGGCCCTCCCCGAAGCCGGGGCTCGACCGACGAGGGCGTTTTCGACGATGCCAGGACCTACTACACCGCCGATGAGCGCCATCTGAACACCCGGGCGGGTGCCAGAACCCGCACCTACTCCCAGGTATTTTCTGCTTGTGCTCATGGAGATGACCAATGTGGCTGACCAGCATTGGGCTGCAACAGAACAGCTTGTTCAAGCAAATGGAGCGGATGGGCCTGAAGGAGCCTTACCGGAGAGGCAGTCATGGTGAGTATTCTGATATTCCCCAATTTTCGAAACACATTACGAGCTGGTGCTGACAATGCTTTTCCAGACGAATCCACCATTCCACATTCTCGTCGATTCCTTATTCAAGTCGAACCTACTCTACAGAGCTTGCAGTCACAGGAGGATACCGATGGGAACATGCAAATCACCATTGAGGACAATGGTCCCAAGGTTCTTACACTCCGCACTGCGGCGTCTAATGGGCACAACAGATTCGATATTCGAGGTACATACATGTTGTCCAACCTGCTCCAGGAGCTCTCTCTCGCCAAGGAGTACGGCCGCAAGCAGATTATCCTCGATGAGGCCCGCCTGAACGAGAACCCTGTCAACCGTCTTTCGCGAATGATTCGTGATCACTTTTGGGAGGGACTCACTCGCCGCATTGATGCCTCCAGCATTGAGATTGCGGCGCGGGATCCCAAGGACTGGACAGACGACCCGAGGCCACGCATCTACGTTCCCCGGGGCGCTCCTGAGCAATACGAATACTACACCAAGGTGGCAGAGGAGAGGCCTGAGCTCCGGCTCGATGTGCAGCTCCTGCCAGAGAAGATTACCCCTGAGCTGGTTCGGGATATGAATTCCAAGCCCGGTCTGCTCGCGGTCGACATGGAGGAGGAAGTCGATCCCAAAACTGGAAAGAAGACGCTCAAGGGCCGACCATTCGTCGTGCCAGGAGGTCGCTTCAACGAGCTTTACGGCTGGGACAGCTACATGGAGTCTCTGGGTCTGCTGGTGCACGACAAGGTCGACTTGGCCAAGTCTATGGTACAGAACTTTTGCTTTTGCATCAAGCACTACGGCAAAATTCTCAATGCCACCCGATCCTACTACCTCTGCCGGTCACAACCTCCTTTCCTGACCGACATGGCGCTCCGGGTGTACGACAAGATCAAGCACGAGCCAGGTGCTCTGGAGTTCCTCCGGACGTCTATCTTGGCCGCCATCAAGGAGTATCACAGCGTATGGGTGGCTGAGCCGCGTTTAGACCCCGTCACAGGTCTTTCACGGTACAGGCCCGAGGGTCTTGGTGTTCCTCCTGAGACGGAGGCTGGCCATTTCGTTCATATTTTGGAGCCCTACGTCGAGAAACATGGCTGCACCTTTGAGGAGTTTGTTGAGGGGTACAACAATGGCAAGATCAAGGAACCCGAGCTCGACAACTACTTTATGCACGATCGTGCTGTCCGTGAGTCGGGCCACGATACGACTTACCGTTTTGAGGGTTGCTGTGCCGACCTCGCCACGATCGACTTGAACTCTCTCCTCTTCAAATACGAAACGGACATTGCGCGCACCATCCGAAATGTGTTCCACGACAAGCTTGTCATTCCTGCTGAGTATTGCGTGGGCAATATGGAGCCCAACCACGTCGAGGCGTCTGCTATCTGGGACCGCCGCGCCAAGCGGAGAAAGTTGGCCATTGACAAGTACCTTTGGAACGAGCAGGAGGGTATGTACTTTGACTACGACACTGCGAACCGCAAGCAGTGCTCGTACGAAAGCGCAACGACCTTTTGGGCACTGTGGGCTGGTGTTGCCAGCCCCAAGCAGGCCGCAGCCATGGTCACCAAAGCCCTTCCCAAGTTCGAGGCTGTGGGTGGGTTGCTGTCCGGTACTGAGGAGAGTCGTGGTGAGATTGGCCTGGAGCGACCTAACAGACAATGGGATTATCCGTATGGCTGGGCGCCACAGCAGATTTTGGCGTGGACGGGGTTGTATCGGTACAGCTTCACAGAAGAGGCCGAGAGACTGGCGTACAAGTGGCTGTTCATGATTACAAAGGCGTTTGTTGACTTCAATGGGGTGGTGGTGGAGAAGTACGATGTGACAAGGCCTATTGATCCGCACAGAGTGGACGCCGAGTATGGAAATCAGGGGCTGGACTTTAAGGGTGTTGCCAAGGAGGGGTGAGTTCTGATTCTTCCATGTTGGGGTGCTGAGTATAATGACTAACAAAATGATTAGATTTGGCTGGGTCAACGCGAGTTATGTGTACGGCCTACAGATTGTCAATGCTCACATGCGGAGAGCCCTGGGAACGCTCACGCCGTATGAGACTTTTATCAGGGCCGTGGAGGAGAATAGGGCAAAAGCATTGGCGGAGTTGGTGTAAATTCTTTAACTGTCAACAATAAGAATGGAAAGAGAGGAGGGAGCAATGGATGGGTTTTGGGGAAGAGAAAAGACGACTAGAAATTGTAGAAAGTTGCATACCTATCCTAAAATGAAGATATCCCTGAAGAGACCACCGGAATTGGCAGAGTGGCGATGATCCAGCAAGGGTTTTGGTTGTGGTCGGTGAAATGATGAGAATGGAGGCATGATGGCAAGTGTGAGAGGGCATGAGACAGCCTGGTGGACAGTGAAGTGGATGTTAGCTGAGGGTCCAAGGTGCTTTGCACGATGCCAACACCTAAAGTTATTTCAAAGTGTATTGCTTCCTAAAGAGAGCTTGATGGTATAGTAGGGTTGTTAAGTGAAAAGGACATTGGAGATGTATTCAAGCCTCTCGAAGAGGTCTTCTTGTCAGGATGTATTGTGAGCTTGATAGTTTCTATCTTTCAAAAGCTTCCTCTAAGTCATTTCACATCTCTCTCTTGTTTGCTCGGTGCTTTACCTTTATAGCTCCTATCTAGCTATATCTAGACACCTTGCGGCCTCCACTCTGTCCAGATGCACCATGGCCTCTTCATCTTCCATCCCATCATTATATAGATATCATTTGCAGCCGCTCAATCTGTTAACATCATCATCGGCAGCTGCCGACGAAATTTACATGATCGATGACAGCCAGAGATGATTTCGACTCCAGCCGCTCAACACTTCATCTGAGCTTTTATTAACTTATCCGTTATAGCGATTGCAGCCGTTCGTTGCCTCGGCGACTGTGGACGAAAATGTAAATATGCCCCCTGTTCGCTTTTCAATTGCAGGCGATAAGCTGCGATTGCGGACGATAAGCTTACGATACAATGATGCCCTCCCGGTTATTCTCACGCTTTTGGCTGCGGATAATTAATAGATTCGGTTGCAGCCGCTTCAGCAGCAAGAGCATTATGGCATCAAGACAACACACCCAGTGAAATGGAACAAAGAGTTTGAAGAAACTCTTGACGGATGCTAGTATTAACCTTACTAGGTAGCTTTCCTAAAGACAATTCTACTGCTCCTGCCTCTTCGATGTTGCCAGATGAATTTCGTCTGCAGCTGCTTAGCTGTCAGGTTGACGGCGAAGGGAAGAGGAAAGAAAGAGACATTAAGAAAACACAGCCGGAGACTTCCCTTTTCTTCTCCGATTGATGGTAGTTAGTATTTCGATTGCGGCCGCTGGTGTTTCGGTTGCAGCCGCTGATATACCTAGATAATAAATAAAGCTGGGATGAAGGACTATCTACTGTGGTACTGGGGACCGCACGCTCTCGATCGAGTGAGATTGCTGCTACCGCAGTCGAGGGCAGACGAAAAAGATGTGATGCTGCTGACGAACAATGCTAGCGCATAGGGAGAAGCAAACCTAGGGCAGTTACCTTCTCATGGAGCAGGATAGTCGGCCAAGAAGAAAAGAAGGATGTGGTATTGTTCGGGTCGGTGAACTGGAAAGCAAGAGTGGGAGAGGTCTCTGATAGAGTACTCTGGTCCACAAAGTCGCTCGAGTGGAATTGCTGCTGTTGCGCTCGAGAGCAAACGATGATGAATAATGCTAGAGCGAGGAAGGGGAGCGGGTGAGAGTAGGGGGAGGGGGGGGGTTGTATTCAAGTGCCCAACGCCACATTCCAGAGCATAAAGTGAGTGATCTTTAATGGACTTATCTTTGCAAAATAAAAAACTTAAGTTGGTCTGCTGTTAAACATTGGTATTTTAATATGGTGAACCACTATACTTTATGAAGTTATCCAAGCCCTTATCGTTTTAACCCGTTTAGATGTTTTTGCATATTTACTTAACTATTTCTAGACGTTATGCATATTTCGTTAACCGTTTGCAGACGTTTTACATATTTATTTAGCCATTCGCAAATGCCTGTCATATTTACTTAACCCGTTTGCTGGCGTTTGCATATTTGGTCAGCTGTTTGGAGACGATTCATATTATTAAGCTAACTGTTTGGAGCTGCTTAACATTCATTTGGGAATTATCTAAATAAAAATTTCAATGCGTCTGCAAATGCTTTTTTTTTCGTCTCGAGCCGCTTAGTTATTCATCTAAGCTTATATTATGCTTTCTTCTTTAAGCATCTAAGCAGACACACTTTGACCATGGCATCAACTTTTCTATCTAAGCTCAATATTGAACATGTTAGTTTGGAAAATCTCTTATTTTTAAAATGATATAGAATTGATGTCTATCAACAGCTCACTGCTATTTGCAAAATAGCGTGGTAAATACACAAGTAAATACAACGACAAAAGGCGTTAGGTCTCAAGTATTCAAGTCATGATGCAGAGAATTATCCATAGGCTCATAGATCTAAGATTGAAGCTTTGGAATGGTTTTTGCAAAATCCCAAGGATAAGCAGCATTTTCAAGAGCTTCAAACTGCAGATATAAAGGACACAGGATATGTGACGATATGTAGAAGATATGCTAGCAAGCTTTTCTGGAGGAGATAAGCTATGGAGCATAGTAAAGTTGGACTTGTAAAAAAGACTCTGTTGTTTTGTTATTGCTTCTAGTAAAAAAAGTTCAAATCTAGAAGATATCACCCACATGTGAAAAAAAAGAAAAAGGAAAAAGGTCTTCAACAGACCTCTGGAAAAAGCTATTGCTGTCACGGTCAGAAAATCGATTACTGCTGTGAAGAAAAATAGCTATTACTACGGACGTTTTCGCGATAGGTAGAAGCGCGGATGCATTCGTTGATATGGTTGCTCACTATTAAGTCAAAATTAACTTGCGATATGTTTGTGAATAAGATGCTTCTGGTATTTCCAAATAAAGTAAAAATAAGATAAGCGATTGAGGTGCGGTGTTGCTTTTGCCTCGTTCGTGGCCCAAACACTCATTGCCGTCTCGGGCACCTCCATTGGGTGCGCAGGCGAAGAATGTATCTCCCGCAGTGACTGCATTGGGCCCTGAAACCAAAAGCAGTCTCGCTAGGAGAAGGGCGGTAACCAGATTGTCTCACGTAAAGTTCACCATTACATAAGACAACTACTCCATTGTCACGAACTGTGATGCTCACAGTTAAAAGCCGGTGAAGGTCTGACCCATACAGGTAAGCAGCTCCAGGTTAAAAAGAACAACCTCATCTGAAGGGGTTCATCTCCCCAAGGTTGAACCTTGTACCTCGACACAACAGAAGGCGGTAGAGCAGATACCTAGGCGTTCATTTTCTCCCCCTTCTACCCGCGAAGAAAGCTAAATGCCTATGAGCTCATAGCTTATTGGAGGTGAGACAGATAGATTTTGAACAATCCTTGAGCCACATAACCTGAAGCTTCCTACCCAGCTTTTGATGCCTTGAAGCAGAGTTCCCTGGCGTAGCAGTCAGTTTGGCACAACATGAAGACCTTGGGCATTATCGGGATCTGAGGTTTCTCTCCTGATTTGCGTTACGACCAACGACCAGTTCTGGTCTACCATACACAGCTTGACCAGAACCAGCAATTCACTGCACCACTCACTACCTCACTCACAACCATGGCAATATTGGCGTCCACCACCACAACTAGCACCAAGGGATCTGCCCTCGCCGCGAGAGTAACCCTCCGCGGCGTGGAATTGGGACTTCAGTTGAGACTCTTCAGCTTTACAAGCACAAAGACCGCAAGAGATACCACAAGTCGAGGCCTAGAAGATTCAACAGATCCATCAGCTCGAACCAGGCCGTCAAGTCAACGAGGTACTGCAGCAGTCCCGTGAGTACCCACCCACGTCACAGACAGCACATATAACGAGGAGGACCAGGTCATCAAAGAGACCAAAGCCAGGATAGGGGCGAAGCAGCAAAAGCTGGCAGGCCTGGAGGAAAAGGACCAGCGCATGGCGGATGAAATCACCCGACAGAACATTGAAATAGGAAGAAGGCTAGCCGGACTGGAGTGTCCTGTTTATGATCGCTATTGCGGACAACCTCGAGCTCGTATCTAAGTATCGGCAGAGTACATGGGTAGGTTGCCTAACCACGCACACAGCTCTTCATTCCTTAAGCTCTTAGCTGACCATCTTTGAAGTTTCATTAGCCCCTCTCGCGGTCATAACTCACCCTCGGCGGTTCACATCCACTTCGGGGAAGAGAAGGCGCCATGATATCAACAACCCAGGCGGCGAATTGCTCAACAAAACCCATAATAAATGGACGAAACGGGGAACTTCACACATCAAAGGGATCTCGATAGCAAATAAAACAGAGTACAAGTCTGCCTGCTTTCTATTTACACCCCCTTTGACTCGATAATATTTCGTATCAATAAAAGGACAAAAAGATATCAATAATAATAAAATAAGAAAAGATCCTGCTCATAACCCGTCACAAATAAACATACTCCCTTCTGTAGGGCATCTTTCTCGATCCTCCATATCAACCCAATCTTGTTTAACCCTTCTCCAGAAAGAACCGAAGCAAGAAAAAAGAGAAACGAAGCAAAGGGGGACAGAAAGTGGTATTCAACTTGGTTACACACACACACCAAACACCAAACCCCATCAGCATACCAAACGTCCAAAGGGGTAGTAGTAATCGAATAGAAAACGACACAAACCACAAGTCCTTCTTGATCAAAATTCTCATCAAACACCCTTTCTTTCAAGAAACCAAAACAAAAACGACATGGATATCAAAAACTGCAAAGCATGAAAAAAAAAGAGAAATAAAGAGAGATTAAACCGGACTTTGCGGCAAACTAGCCCCCACCATCAACCCCCCCCTCAAATCCCCACTCCCTGTCCTCCTCAACGCCTGGCTCATCGTCTCAATACTCAACTCCCCGCTCACGGTCGGCCCCCCCGCCGCACTCAACCCCAAAGGCGGGATGCCATGTCCCATCAAACTCGTCGGGCTACCGAGCGGCTTCCTCGCCGGGCTGAGCTCCAACCCTTTCACACTTCCACTCTTACTGCCCGGATCACCCGCTGATGACGACACCGGCGACCTGATTGGGGAAGGCGACCGGTTGGCGTTGTTGTTGAGCGAGGTTAACGAGGTCAGTCCGGGGATGAGCATGCTCTCCCTGCTGCCGGCTACTCCGCCAAAAGACTGCTGCTCGGCTTGTACTACATCCGCAAACGAGATGAATGACAGCCTGCGGACATCAGTCGTGTCAAGACTGCCGTAGTTGCTTGCGCTGTCGGGGTTGGTGGGGCTGTTGCCTCGGTCAAGGGAGAAGGCCGCGAGCTCGTCGACCCATGTTGGCTCGTTGTAGCCGCCGCCGCCGCCGGTGACGGTTACGGCGGCGGGCTGATGGGAGGCGTGTGTGATGATCTCGACACTATCTGGGTTAAGGTGGGTGTCTGTGATGGCTTCGGAGGAGGCGTCAAGGACGGGCGGGATGTAGTTCTCGGTCTGAATATGGGAGGGGATCGCAGGGGAGGTCGGGAGCGCGACGGCGGACTCTTGGACGTTGCGCTCAAAGATCTGGCTGCCCGCTGGGGACGCAAGACGTGGAGAAGAGGCGAAGGGTCGGCTGGGAGAGGACGGGGTGTAATGGGTGTGTTCTGTGCGGATAGGAGAGGCAGCGGTTCGTCTTGTTGGCGAGGAGGTTTTTTCATTAGTAGACGGTGATGCGACTGTTTTGGAGGTCGATTTGATGACGTCTTCTACTTTTTTCTTGCCGAACCCAAAGAGACCGCGCTTCTTGGTCTTCTTCTCATCTCCATCCGCGCGCGGGGTCGCATCGTTTGAGCTTGGGATGGGTTGAGTGGGAAAAGGGACGGGTTCCCCAGTAGAGATGGTTGCTGAAGCTCCGGCCATGGTTGCGATTTTGCGAGTTTCGTCTTGCAGTTCGTAGAGAGTTTGGAGAATGAAGCGCAGGTCGAAGTTGGTCGCGATTCGGGGCTGTTGGCAGGTTAAACGGGGGAGCACCGGGTGGATCAATCCCAGTGGGATGGCTGCTTGGTGGAGTCAGGGACCTTGGTGGATTCGTTCGATAAAGCTTCCAAGTCTTCTCTGAGAATCTGGATGCGACGCCAAACCAGGACGTTAGCAAAACACAGCCTCAGCAAGTCGTCTGAATACGTGGTTATTGAAATTTTGTCAATCTCGGCAGAACGTTGCGGTGGGGGTAAAAAGCAAGTGTCGCGATAAAAAAAGAGACGGCCTGTGAGCAATGCGAATTTCCCGATTCGCCGCGAGTATATCGATTGTGAAGTGGTCTCCGCCGACGAGACCAATGGAGCAGGAGACAGGAGATGGGGATGCGGTCATACCTGATCACGGCTGGCGGTGCGACGCAGAAAGAAACAGCTGAGCAAGACGAGGGAGTCTAAAGCGTCTGGAATTATCTGGCGCGGCGCATTCGGGCCCAACTCTGCTCCCGTCGACCCGCTGCTATGCTGCTATGCTACCGTGCGGGTTGCGAGAGCAGCAACGAGAGCTGGAGGTTTGGGCAGCTTCTATTTGAAATGTCGGTTGGGCGCAAAAGCTGTTTTTAGCGGACGGGACGGGAAACAAGTTCAAGGGCTGACGGGTTGTCCTCGTCGTCGGGTCTGGGCCTTTTTGCCTTTGTTCTTGTGAGTCTTGGGGATTGTGATGTCGGGCGGTTGCCGAGGTGCGCTCAAATCGTGATCAGCAGGGAATGACGATGCTTGAGCTCGACGAGTCTACACAAAAAGGAGGGGAGAGCCGGACCGGGGTTTTAAGACGTAATGCCGTCCCACGCCGGCGCTGCCAAGATCTGATTGGAACCTGGAGGAATGTGTCTTCCTTCTTGTTTTGGGTCCGAGAGGGATGTGATGGGCATATCTATTTGGACTTTTTGTATCATACAAATGCGCCGACCGTCCGACCCTTTTAAGCTATCCCCTCCCTTTCCTTCTAGTAACCTACCCTTCGTGCAGTCAGTCAGCGAGCGAGCATTGAGGCCACCCCTGACCAGACTGCTGTGCATGGCCGTGGCGGCGGCTCGGCACCAGCCAAAGCAGGAACTGGAAGACTCGGTACATGATGTTCAACAGGTTTTTGGCGTGACAAAGTCAAGTGATGTTGAGTGGGCAAAAGCCCGCTAGGCCAAGTTTCCCGGCTGATGGACGAGCAGAGACCCCTCCTTCTTTGATCCCTCGACCCTTGACCCCTAACTGTCCGTGAGAAGGAAAAAGGAGTTCAAGCTGGAACCGGGCATGCCCGATTTGTCTGTCTCTGCGACATGTGCGAGGTTCAAAGACACAGGGACGGCAAGCGATTGGTGCGATCCAGCCATTGTGTTGCATAAGTCACTGTCTCTGTCCAAGCTTCCCAATGGTGGGGTTGTGACCGATAAGGGGCAGTCACAGTCAGGCAGCTTACAAGCTGGTTGCTTTTATTTGGGTCTTTTTGTTGAGATTTTGAAATGCTGGATCACTAGTATTATCTTTGTTGTAATGTGTGCGGACTTACATCAGCCGATAGAGGGTAAACAATGGTGGCTGGATATAAGGTGATGGTGATAGCCTGATGTGCCCCTCACCAGTCACATTGAGATACGGCACTCTCAGACGAGCTGGCCGGACTATTTTTGAAGGGATGAAACCAATACCCCTGAGATGAGCCGTTCGTATCAACTACAGCCCGAAGAATTCCCGTGTACAGTGAGGCAGGTGATCCTTCCCGTCAGGAGTAAGGCGCACATAAATTGAGGGACCAGATGTTTTCTGGAAGTCTGCAAACTGTGTACCAAATGTCACGTTCAACAGGTGCTATCTGAGCATCTTCGTAAGGGTACTGACATTCCCCCCCTGTCAGCCGCCGCGCCAGCTTCGCGGACGGTCATTTCCTTTTGCTTTAATTCTCTATGCGACCAGGCATCACACAAATCAGGGCCTCGGTATGCTCGGCGCCGCAACCACGCGAGTGGCTTACGTAGCTGTTGTCTTTAACCACCGGGGCGCGTATAGCGTTTTACTTCATGGGTTCTGCCTGGCAGGTAACATCATAAAATTCCGGTCTCTTCAGACTTGCGACAGCGCTGTTCTGGGAGATGAAGCTGACCGATGTTGAGCATGGTGTAAGTGGGATACGTTACCAAGTGAAATTGCTAGGATGCCTAGCTAAAGACTAATGCCGAGCCGAGACTCTATTCTTGGGCTTGTTTGCTTTGTCGAATTCTGGGCCTCAGTTACATATCCCAAGCAAACCGCTCCCGTGACTGACAGTCCGGCGGTCTCGGAGCAGGTCGACCGGAGCCGGCTTACTCCACCCCGGGCCCGGGTCTGGGGGAATGGTGGAGATCGACCCGGGCTCAGTGGTGATTGGTTTGACCGTCCCAAGCCGTCGAGCCAAGCCCGAAGCACTGACCTCCGGCGACCCAAAAGCTCAATTGAACCACGTGACCGAGCTTCCAACAACTGCCGGGCTCAAAAAAAGTTATCGCGACTCCAAATCGCCCAGCTACCCGGCCGATGAGAAGGAGGAGAGGGGACCGCCGCCGCACGACATAACCACCACACCTCCGATCCCATTCCCGACGAGGTCCACCCACTTTCTCTTGTCGGTCATTTCAGTCTAACCCTCCGTCAAAATGGAAGCAACCCTCTCCCGCCCAGCAGCTCGCTGCTGCTGTCTCCTCAAGACCACCACCCCTTCCACATCACGACTCCCCCCCCTCCTAAGTAACCAGCAACAAACCCGCCAAAAGTCCACCCGCGCCCGCCACAAAGCCTCCCTCAACATCCCCCCCCACCCCTCCTTCCTCTCCAACCCACCAGCATCATCCCAGACAGGATCAACAACCCTAATCTTCAACCCCCCCTCCTCCGCCCCCTCCGTCTTCCAGACCCCCTTCAAGTTCCTCCCCAAATCCGATCCCCGCCGCCGCGCCACCCTCGCCAAGAACCTCTTCTCCTCCTCCGTCACCACAAACTTTGCCTCCCAGCCGGTAGACGTCTCCTCCCTCCCCACCATTTTCGACGACCGGTCCCCCGCCACGACCCCCAAGAACCACTCCCTCACAAAAGAGGACGTCGAGGAGATGCGCCGGCTGCGTCTGGCCGACCCGATAAAGAACTCAGTCTTGAACCTGGCGAGGCAGTTTGGCTGCAGCGTCATGTTCGTCATGATGTGCGTCCAGGCCGGCAAGGAGCACAGAGACAAGGTTCACGTCGAGCCTCACGCGGCGGCGAGGGAGAGGTGGGGTCCCAAGAAGAGGCAGGCCAAGGAGGAGAGGAAGAGGAGGATGGAGATGTTGATGAGGGGAGAGATTTGAAAGCCTGGATCAAGGCAAAATCAAGGCAAAATCAAGGGGTGTATATACAAAGAAAGCGAGGAGCCGGTTTCGAAAAAGGGTATCTTAACGGAATGTTTGTCTCATTGGGAGGAGGGGAATGGAAGGAAGGGGAAATAGCATTTCTGTACGATAGGGACACATCACATGATTCTCTCTCTCTCTCTCTCTCTCTCTCTCTCTCTCTCTTGGTTGGGGATATACAAAAAAGGAGGCTTCACTTTTTCTGGGAATCATAGAAACGCGGAGACGACGAACCTTTGATACCACAATACGGGTTGAGTGGGTTGATGGGTGGATGGACGAGCAAGCAAAACATACCCCAGGGCGCAGGCAGTTGTAAAAACAAGCACAAAAATGTTCAAATGAGCAGCTCGGCCACGGCTGTCATCGTGCTGAATCAAATTTGTATAATTCAGTAAATATACTTTGTACCAATGTGCCTCCCCTGGGTGCTGAATCACTTGCCCCGCTGGATACTACCACCTGTAGAGAGAGGTACTGTCAATCTCACCCTGTGCACCACCGCCGCCCTTCCCCCAATGACAGCGCTGATATATAAATATCCCAGACTCTAAATTAACAACGCAGTAACGCCCCCTTTTTATGCTGCCTCCTTCCCCTTGCCCTTGTTTTTACCCCTCCAAGAACTAATACTGTCCTCATCCTTCCAATCGCTGGTCCCATGCCTGTCCAGCTCGTAATCACCCTGCGCAGGAATGACTCGCGAGCACCATCCACACCAACTCCTCCTCTTACCTTGAACCTCCCTTCCCAATACCTCACCCTTCAGCCTCTCCTCGTCCCATTCTGGCACGCAAGCCCCAACCTTGACCCTTTTGACCGAAATCTTCTTCATAACGCCCCCGATACCCTCGACTTCGTGTCTCACGTACCCAACCTTCATAGCTGGGGATGGCGTCCTGCGCATGTGGTCTGACCCTGAGCTCAAAAGTCCCCCCAAAGTATTAGAACCCGAGCCGCCTGTCGCATTGCTAGCCAAGCTACTGAGACTAGCATTGCTGGCAGCAGATAGACCCGACGCCATCGTCGAAGTAGAAGCACTGCTACCACTTCTAGAACCGAGCCCTGCGCGAAGCCGGTCCTGTTGAAGCTGCTGGTCTGCCGCCTCCCGAGCGGCCTCGGCATCATAGTCCGTTTCCTGCTCAACCTCACGGGCGCCGCAACACTGCGAGTTACGACCGCACTGGACCCCGCGGTCACCATCACCGATACCCGTTCCTAAACCACTGAGGACATCGGTGTATTGGTTGCGCCACTTCCAGACGCTGCCACGGAAAACATGTGTTAGCATGTGGAATTTGTAACGGGAGCGTGTGCCAACTATACCTTTGGTAAGTGTTATCTTCGTTTCTGATAGACCTTCCGCACGGGAAACACAGCCAGACCCCAGAGGAGCCGCATTGGCAGATGGCGCGCTGCATATCATCCGAATCGATGCGGACCTCGGGGCGCATTGGGGGCTTGACAAGCTGACCTAGGGGTGCCTTGACGCATTTGGTGCAGAGACGCCGATGTCGATCTCGGAGCACGATCTGAGCAGGTGGTTTGATAGCGCAATTCTGGTATTGATACAGTCAGGGGGTTGTTGCAGCGGTTAAGATCAAGCTTTGCGAACTCACCCTGCAAACGATTGTCCCACATCGTCGACAAGGTCCCACCATGTCTCGTGCACATTGCCCTGATTTGCCCTGGAAATCCGTCCTTGCGGAGGAATCTTGCCCGTAGTACCAGTTGGCAGAGCGCGCTCGAAAGCGTAGTGTGTCTTGCGGGTCAACAGTGACGTCTTCGAGAGAGCATCGAAGCGACGAGTTGATCAGTCCTCTGCGATCCTGCAGCAGAGCGCTATGTAATATGTGGCATGTGCGGGAGAGGCTGTCGAGGGAGTTCAAGTCCAGGTTCCTGGCCACTGATTGCGCGATCCTGGAACCAGTCAGTACTTCCTCACCCCCCTCGATACGCCGCCGAGGGGAAGGGTTGGTGATGGTCTTGAAAGGACGACGTGTTTGAAAGGATTGAAAAGAAAGGGTGATTGCCGGCCTACGGATAACATCCCAAAGCCTTGGTCATAAGGTGGTCCTGATTCAGAACCTCCTTGACGGCATACTCATGAGCCTCCTGGTTGTCCTTCTTATCTGTGCTAACACCTTTCGCCTGGTGAGCTTGAGCTTCAGTGGCATTCCACACCTGCCCATCTCTTTGGGACTCGATGTCCTCGTCGTCCAATTCAACAAAGACAGCCATTGTGATAGATCGCGCTCAGGGGAAGGAAAAGGGGTGGTGTCGGGTTCAATGATGATATCGGCGCGATAGCGATGATGCGGTGACCAGGAGGGTTCTCAAAGACCCGGAATCGGAACGGGAGATGAAGGAGTTGCAGGCAAGGCACAGGGAGGGAACGCACAAAGACAATAACAGGGGAAAAGGAGAAACGTATCACTGAAGAGGAAAGGATAGATGTGCCATTATCAAGCCGTGAATGTAAACTCTGGCAACATGATATAAGTTGATGCCAGTTTGACGTGTACACCAAGCAACGCTTGTAGCTTCCAGGTAGAACGAACCGTTGTTTGGGGGAGGAGCCCGGTAGGGACCCCACTCTGGGTAAACGACCCCGTCACCGGGATGCAGGAGCAGCTAAAACAACCCCACCTTGGCCAACTGCTAAGGATTGGCGGGGTATTTGCCCACGTCACTATCACGACCGTTGCTGCACCTGGGCATGTGACGTTTGCGACTTTGCTGGATCTGAACGCCATTGAGAGATATCTTCAAGACTATGATGGATTAGACGCAAAAAACTCTGCCGGGGCACGTGGCTCATGCCCCGGAGGAACATTGCTGTTGCGTACAGCTGTTACGTACCTTGGGAAATCTACCCCTCATAGCTCTTGCCTAGTTGTTGGCACGGGAACTTTACTATCTATATTGAGTTTTTCGAGACCCGGCAGTCTGGAACATCCTTTCCCCAGTGAGGCGTCCTCTAGAACTACGATCGTCCTGGCGCCATGAACAATCCACGTTGTTCTGCGCGTCGAAGCTTCGAACTTGGCCCCCATGTCTTGATTGTGGCACATGACCGAGTCTCTTGAATTCTTCACCGCACCACTCTGATTCACCGCATCATGGTACAGTTCTTCCTTACCTTGTGTTATGTTGCCAATGATAAGTCATGGCTAGAGCAGGTACAGTAATATGCTGGGCTGGATACCCCCCTCCGTCAGGTATGTCCAAAACAGATGGATATCTCCTCTTACTTGATCGCGCGGAAGGGCCAACATGTGATTTGTAGACCATGCCTACAGAGATCATTCTTGAACGAAAGGTTCTAAAGGGACATCTGGGCCAGCGTTGTCAATTCGGGATACACTACCCGCCATTCTCGCCTGGCGTTGAAAGCCTCTGTGCCTCTCGCATCAAATCGACTAAATCTTCTCATCAGCAACCACTCCCAAAATCTGAATCAACTGGGAGTTAAGCAACGCCACAGTCGATATCCATCACCGTTCATCTTGCTCATGTGGTTACACAGCAGAGATTTGGTACCTATCAGCTTACTGGACACAATCCTTTACCCGCAAACAGCTTACCGTGCAGGTCGAATGCCATGTTGGAGGACCCAGAGCCGTCGATGAATCCTGCCGATACGAGAATATTGTTGCCGGCATGAGAATGCTGTCCCTCCGTGATTGGTCAACCTGACAACCAGGTCCTGTCAGCTCTTCCTCACCTGCAGAATTTGGCAGCATGGTAACACGCACCGCATCACTCGATGGACCGAAACTCACTCACTCGAAAGTCAGCAAATCAAAGCCGAGACCTTCAGCAACTTGAATTGGAAAAGCCTTGCTTTATCGCTAATTTTCCCGATATTTGTCTGCCGTTTATCTGCGGGAGTAGTCCGTTTTGGCGAGGAGCAAACGCTCTCCCTGTCGGCGATCCGTTTAACAAGCCAGCACGTATCCTTGCCATCCAGGTTACTATCTTTATCCCTAGTCGGTTTGCCGTCGATCATATTGATTAATCGGTAGTTACCTACCTGGTGCGTGGGACTCCAGGCTACAAAGCCCCTAACAGTTGACGATAATTGTACACCGATACACTCATTGTTTACTGGCCTCAAGCCTTCCCATCACCATACACTACGGCAGCTCTTATCCAGGCACTGTGCTTGTAGAGACGGATCTCACCTCAGTCCCAACCTGAACAACACTCACAAATCCGAGCTTATCGCAAGGCGCCATGGACCCATGCACACCCCATTCCAAAGCTGCAGTAGACGGTATCTGAGCACACTGGCCTGGAAATGCGGCTATCGCGAAGTGGTACCAGTGCTGCCGTGGCTTTTCAAACCACAAGAGGCGTTGTGAAGCAGGGGTGAAGACAGCTGAACCGCTCGAGCGCAGGCATGGAAAGCTTGAGCATGCAAGATTGGTGGCTGTCAATGCCCCTTTTCAAAAGACAGAATCAATATTCACAACCTGGCAAAACGGCGCTTGACGGGACACGCCTCAGTGCCTGGTTCATCTTTGCGTTTATCAATCTACCGCAGTACCAACAACTGTCACCATCGTTGCCAACAACAGCGATTATTCCGCCTTGAATGCCAAGTGCTGAGCCGAAGGACATGCATTGCAGTGATGCGACAACGGACTCTCGGTCTTCGTATCGGCCATCTTCACAAAAGCTCGCTCCTGTCCGGAGCAAAACAAAAAACGATGGCTTCATTCTGAGCCTCAACAGGACATTCCTGTTTTCTTGTAGAGTGGAATTATCAAAGCACCCAGTTTGGGCCCATTATCATCACCGCAATCTCGGCGGCTTCTAACATCGAGTTCAGCTCCCCACTGGAACACAGAAAAGCGCGCTCGAGAATTCACCATTGCTCCCACGCTAATCTCAGTGTCCAGCGCCTGGCCAGGGCCCCCCTTTTTCCTAGTCCAAATTTGGCAGCCAGCCTAGCAACTATCAGAAAACTGTTAAGCCTTACGAGTTTTGCGAGCGCCAATCAGTCAGCCACCGGCTGTGGCTTGCTGCGCGCGGCCAATACATATCTCTTAATTTTACCAGCAAACAAACATGGCCGTATGGTTATTCATCGCTGATCTGGACCCGACAGGCAGGATACCTTCGCCATCTGTCTCATGAGTCTCATGAATGAGCCCTGTTAAAGATGATCGACCGTAAACCACAGCTGACAGCGATCATCGGTGGACTCTCTGTTCGGATCTTTCCAGAGCTTAATTTTTTCGTCTTGATGGGATCCACAGGCACCAAATGGACCCCTGCTGCATCACTGCCCAGTCGATCCGCTGGAACGAGCTGGTTTCCGAGCTGATGTTTGGTGGATGGGGGTCGTGCTATCCGTGCCGATTGCTACCCCGTACCCAATTTGAGAATCCCTCGCGAGGGTCCCTCTTTCTTGTACCCACCGGCTTTATACGTCTAGATTCTGCCTTCTTGTTCATAATTGCCTCTGGACTTTTATCAGGCGATCGAGATGAATTGTAGAACCGATACCTAGGTTACAATTCTGCCAGCACTGCAGCCGGGCACAGCCGACCCGGGAAGCCATGCGTAAATATAGTTGGTCTGCATGGTATTTCCATTTACACCACGCTTAACGATAAACAGGGGTGGTGACAGAATAGGCTAGCAGGCCTTTCAGCGCGGGCGCCAACCCAGTCTTGGGGAACGCCTGGTACCTTGGCAATGGCATCAGTGCACGAAGGGGAGGGTTGATGGGCGGCACGCTGAGCTGTCACAGCTTGACCCCCTGCTCTGTTTTCTCTTTTGATTGCTACCCGCACCTATACAGGGCTCAACCCCCCCCCCTCCATTCCTTCCAGTGTCACTGGACTTGTTTTTCCTTTCCTTCGTTTCGCTCTTTGAGGTCCGGATTGACTCAAGATCCAACCCAACCTTGTTGCTCACATACCACGAGTTCGAACTTCGAGGGTTGCCTTCCCCACCCTAAGGGTCTCCTGGCGCACCTCGATCCGTGTTTACGACGAAACCTAATCGGACTGTCAGACCTCTTTACTCCGGTGCTCGAGACCAAACAGAGGGAAAGCCTTGCCCTGACATCTTGGGAGGTAGGGCCATTGGTTCCTGCCACCACGAGATAGGCCGGCAAGATGAAGAAATTCCAGTCGTACTTTACGCCTGCTACGGGTCCAGATGATCAGCCAGGGAGTACGGACGGGGAGAAGGTAAAGGGGGGCCGTGGGAAAAAGCAGGGGACCAAGCCGACTACACACCAACTTCAGCCAATACAGCCGCGAGGAAGACAACCACCACCGCCCTCCGAAGCAACATCTGGACATGCCACTCCTCAGGTTGCGTCCGGCGGGGCGAGTATGCTGTCTGTTCCAGACGCGGCGACGGTTCGGTCAGGCTCCAAACGAAGTCCAAGCAGATCCCGAGCCTCGTTTCGACACTCGGTATTCCCAGCAGGTGACCAGCGGAACCATGACACGGGCACCATTATGGAAATCCGAAACGACATGATGGTCAATTGGCTGTACGAGCAGCAACTCCGGAAACAGTACGCCAGCGGAATGGATCCCTACGAAGGTGTTGTTTTGAAGAAGACCCGGGGCAACTTCACCTGCTGCCCCCCCCAGATGGCTGGCATTCCCGAATCGCTGTACGCCATGGTCTCCCAAATGAACGTACGCTGCGCCATGACGGTCAACACGCCCGTTGTGAGGGCGTTGATGGACTCGATCGTCACCAAAACCGATATCGACTATGTGCCGCTTCCCGACGGGCTCCGAGTCCAGATTTTGCCTTCCATGGTGGATCTTCCGAGGGGTCAGTTGCATCACTTTGCGGCCTTTATTGAGGACGTCAGGATGCTGGTTGTGTGGGACGATGAGCCCGAGAAGCTGTTGGACAGGGCTCATACTCTGGAACAGAGGTTTATTGAGATCATTTGGGGGAAGGGGGAGGAGGGCGAGGACGACGAGAAAGACGAAAAGAACATGGCAAATGTCAATGTGGACGAATTGGACCCGAACCAGCTGGAGGGTGCTCCTGAGAAACGGCCCATCAGGTTGGAAAGCGCCATCATTGTGACACTCACCATGATTCTCTGGATCGTATGCTCGGGATTGGGATGGAGAGCATTGGCATACCAGTCTGCAGTGGATGGTACCTATCTCAGATTTGCGCTGCTGGCCGTCTGCCCACTGCAGATGTTTGTCAGTCTGTTCTTCTTCCAGTCAATTGTCAGCAACCTTTTCCAGATCTTTGGCCCCATTTCAGCAGTCGCAAACAACAGCAAGTACTACAGCGGAAAGCCACCCCGCCGGCTCAATCGCGATGCCAACGCTCTTCCTCATGTCACAATCCAGATGCCCGTGTACAAGGAGGGCTTGAATGCTGTCATTCAGCCCACGGTTGTGTCCCTCAAGGCGGCCATTAGCACATACGAAATGCAGGGTGGATCGGCCAACATCTTTGTCAACGACGACGGTATGCAGCTCATCTCCGTGGAGGACGCCCAGGCCCGCCGCGACTTTTATGACGAGCACAACATCGGCTGGGTGGCGCGCCCACCTCACAATCCCAACCCCAAGGAGGAAGGCGAGCTCAAGTTTATCCGTCGCGGCAAGTTCAAGAAGGCCAGCAACATGAACTACGCTCTGCGCACCAGCAATCTCGTGGAAGCCAAGCTCGATGCTATCCAGCGGGGTCCTAAGTGGACCAACGAGCAGGAGACAGCTGCGTACCGCCAGTGCCTTGCTGAGGTTTTGGATGGTGATGAAGGCCGGACTTGGGCTGATGGCAACATTCGCGTTGGCGACTACATTTTGATCATCGACTCCGATACTCGTGTTCCCAAGGACTGCTTGTTGGATGCTGTTAGTGAGATGGAGCAGAGCCCCGAGGTCGCCATCATCCAGTTCCAGTCTGGTGTCATGAACGTTACCAATTCATTCTTCGAGAGAGGGTAAGTCGTTTTTCGGGGCGGGAGGATGAAGACAAAGGGCTAACTGTGCTTCTAGCGTCACATTTTTCACCTATCTGATTTACACGTGCATCACTTACGCCGTTGCCTCTGGCGATGCGTGCCCCTTCGTCGGACACAACGCTGTGCTCAGATGGTCAGCTATCCAGGACGCCACTGCATACACCGATGAAGACGGCTATGAGAAGTATTGGTCTGAAGCCCACGTGTCGGAAGATTTCGAAATGGCCCTCCGCCTCCAGGTCGCCGGCTACACGCTTCGCTACGCCTCTTACACCGGCGATGGATTCAAGGAGGGTGTCAGTTTGACCGTCTATGACGAACTGGCCCGCTGGGAAAAGTATGCCTTTGGCTGCAACGAGCTTTTGTTTCATCCTCTCCGATTCTGGATTGTCAGGGGCCCATTCACTAGTCTCTTCCGGGAGTTTATCTGCTCGAGCATTCCGCTGCCCAAGAAGATGACCATTATGGCTTACGTCGGCACCTACTACGCCATTTCTGCAGCCTGGTGCATCACCCTGGCCAACTACTTTATCACCGGCTGGTTTTATGGCTTGTATGACAAGTATTATCTGGATTCGTTCGCCATCTATGTTTCCATCGTGGTTGTCTTCAACGGTCTTGGTAACGTTGGGTTGGCCGTGCTGCGGTACCGGTTGAGTGAGAAGGGTCTTCTCAGTGCCTGTAAGTTTTCATCTGCTTGGCTTTATCATGCGGCTTGCAGCCCACTAACTTCTTTCCAGTCTGGGAGTGTATCAAGTGGATTCCAATGTTCACCATCTTCCTGGGCGGTCTTTCTCTCCACACGGCCCAGGCTATCTTGTGCCACTTTTTCGAAATCGAAATGATCTGGGGCGCCACGGCAAAGGAACTCGAAAACTTGAGCTTCGGCAGCGAAATCCTGCGCATCATCCGCAAGTTCAAGTTCACGTTCGTGTACTGCTTCCTCTGCACGGCGCTCATGATCTGCGGCACCACCGTTTTTCCCCACCAGTGGCGCATCGGCGAGTTTTACGCCATCTACCCTCTCTCGACCACCGTGGTTGCTCATTTCTCCCTGCCTGTGTTTTTGAACCCGGCCTTGATGAAGTTCACGTGGTAGTTTTGGGGAGAGGCTTTTGGGTATCTTTTTTTCTTCTCATGACTCAGAAAAATGGGTAATCGTTAATGATGTTATTGTTACTTTTCGAGCGGACGATATATACTTGATAGATTTTTTCTTGTGATCTTTCGGACTTCTTTACAGCAATGATTGGGTTATCTCAGGGAATGGGAGTTTTGGAGTAACACAGCTTACGGTGAGCTGAAGATGGGGTGGAATATTAAAGATGGAAACCGACTGTATACAAGACAACTCATATTCTCTTACCACTTGTATTCTTTTTTGATAAATTTCAATTGAGAACCATGACATAGAAACTTGCTTCTTTACATATGCGAGATACAAGTGGGGGTTGGCAGGCTGAGCCCAAGTGTCAAAATCAAAGTTTTTCAAGCATTCAACTTCCTATCTCGGCTGCGGCAAGCTGCGGCAAACTGCGGGAAGCGTATCGAGATACCTGCGTGCTCTTGGGGTGACATTGGCGGCGACAAGAGTGGTGATGGAGCGGAAGGTGTGAGCCCCGATAAGAAAAGATAAGCACCGCCAAGCTCACAATTCTTCGTTGGAGAGGGGCGCCACCCGCGCGGCGCGCACACAATCAAGACGATCAAAACGGCCCCGCATGGGTGCCCCTCCAAAAATTTTCCCCTCCATCATCTGCCACCAGCCAGCCCCTGCGGGCTATTATCCGGCTCTCTTGTAGCAAAAAAAAAATGACTCCAGAATATGGATCTCGTCTTGACCTCGTCCTCCGCTTGCCACTGCTTTTCCCAGCCTCTGGTTGGTCGCTTTCTGTCTGGGGATAACCTCTGGGGTTGACATCTCAGTGTTCTGGACTTGCCTTGTCAGTGATCCCTTGTTGACTTGTGATATTTTCCTGCCGAACCCGATCTCGGTGTGGTGTCCGTACCCATCATCTCAACTCACGACTCCTCCTCGACCTCCTCTCCTCCTCGGCCAAAGTCAAGCCTTTCCACTTCCGACTGCCGATTCTATTACCTATAGGCTTTTTTCCCGCGACGAATTCTTCGCTGGAAACTTCGTCGTCACCCATTGCCGATCGTCGACCGCAGTGTATGTGTTGCGCGCGCATACCGATACATATAGGAAACAGCAGCCACAATGTGCGGTATCCTTGCTCTGATCCTCGCCGACTGGCAGGCCACTGACGCCGCCTTCGACTTACACGAGGCTCTGTACTATCTTCAACATCGCGGCCAAGATGCTTGCGGTATCTCCACCAGCGCCGTCGGCGGCAGGATATACCAGTGCAAGGGCAATGGCATGGCCGCCAAGGTCTTTGAGGATGGCAAGCGCATTGCTGATCTTCCTGGCTACATGGGCATTGCCCATCTCCGGTATCCCACCGCCGGAACCAGCTCCGTAGTCCATCATCTTGTTCCAATGGTGTTGTCTAACCTAACTGACACCCTGGTTGCGCATAGAGCGCCGAGAGCCAACCTTTTTATGTCAACTCTCCCTACGGTATCTGCTTTGCGCATAATGGTAACCTGATCAACGCCCCCGAGTTGCGCAAGTTCCTCGATCAGGAAGCACACCGTCATGTCAACACCGACTCCGACAGCGAGCTCATGCTCAACGTTTTGGCCAACGCTTTGAACGAGACTGGCAAAGCCCGTGTGAACACCGACGATATCTTCAACGCCCTGGCCGAGACCTACAACAGATGTCAGGGCGCCTGGGCTGGCGTTGCCATGATTGCCGGTTTCGGTGTGCTCGCCTTCCGTGACAGCTGGGGCATCCGCCCCCTTGTCATGGGCTCCAGGCCCTCTGCCACCCAGGAGGGTGGCATCGACTACATGTTTGCGTCAGAGAGCATTGCGCTTCGCCAATTGGGCTTCAAGAACTTCCAGGATATTCTCCCCGGCCAGGCCGTTTTTATCCAGAAGGGCGGCCAACCCCAATTCCACCAGGTCACCCCGATCAAGGCCTACTCCCCCGACATCTTCGAGTACGTCTACTTTGCCCGTCCAGATGCGGTCATGGATGGCATCTCGGTCAACGAGAGCAGACGGATCATGGGTGCCAAGCTGGCGGACAAGCTCAAGGAGATTCTCGGAGAGGAGGGCATCAAGGAGATCGACGCCATCATTCCCATCCCAGAAACTGCTTCCACCAGCGCGCAGGTGGTATCGGACAAACTCGGGATTCCCTTCTCCAACGGCTTCATCAAGAACCGTTACGTCTACCGTACCTTCATTCTCCCCGGGCAAAAGGCCCGGCAAAAGAGCGTCCGCCGCAAGCTCAGCGCCATGGAGTCCGAGTTCAAGGACCGCGTGGTTTGCTTGGTGGACGACTCCATTGTCCGCGGTACCACATCTAGGGAGATTGTCAGTATGGCCCGCGAGGCCGGCGCCCGCAAGGTCATCTTTGCCAGTTGCGCCCCGCCTATCAAGTACCCTCACATCTACGGCATCGATCTTGCCTCTCCTCAGGAGCTTATTGCGCACGAGAAGACGAGGCAGGATATTGCCCGCCACATCAACGCTGATGAGGTTGTGTACCAAGATTTGGACGATCTCAAGGCGGCGTGCACTGAGGCGAGCGGAGGCAAGATCACTGAGTTTGAGGTTGGCGTGTTCTGCGGCGAGTATCAGACCGATGTGCCAGATGGGTATTTCGATCATCTGAATGAGCTCCGAGGAAAGAAGAGGGAGGCCGCGCCTACTGCTGGGGGAGAGACCGTCGTTGCGAGCGGCGGGCCAGTAAACGTGGCCAACGGCGAGAAAAGTGTACAGTTCAAGATTGACTTGTCGGGGGTGACACCTGGGGGATTGACTCCTTTGACTGAGGAGGCTGTCAAGGGGACTGCGGCAGTTAGCCCGGATAACAGGCAAGATATTAGGTGAGCTTTCTTGTTGGCAATTCGGCTGTTTGAGAGTTTGACTAACGTGGTAGTAGCATCCACAACTTGGCAACTGATCCCAATAACCGGTAAATGATGTGCTGGTAATGATTTGTGATATGGCATGGCGTGTTTGACGGCCGGGGGGTATTTTGCACGTTTTGCTCGGTTCGATTCGTTGTACATTCGCTCACTTTGGGGGTTTCACCTGGCATGATACAAAAAAAGATACGATACACTATCAAGAGGGATAGAAAAAGACAGACGGGACGGTTGGGGAAGACGATCCATGGGGATGTATGGTATGCATCCGAACAGGGCGAACAGGGCGGTTGGGTCAAGTTTTGATGTTGGGAATGTATCAAACCGCAGAGCAAGCAGGTGTGGGTTTTTGATAGAGCAAAAAAGAGAAGATGCGCAAGATCAAAAGAGACAATCCTATTGTTTGGCATTGGCGTGACACTAGGAAGCGTGATTTCGGTGAGTAGCCTTATTTTGTGTCCGGTGAACTCATTCGAGATGGGGCCAGCAGCGTCACGCAGCAGATGGACTGACCTCGTGACTGGGAGAGCAGGTATCTAGCCGGCCTTGTGGGGTTTTAGGATTCTGGGGTAAGCTCTTGGGCGGCAGGTGGTCAACTTTTTTGCTTTGTCTCTGAAGTTAAATACCTGACCCAGGCAGCAAGGCAAGACTTTGGGTTGAAAGTGAACTTTTGGCAAGCAAGGCTTTTCTTGATTGTCAAGGCAGAGGATACTTTTTCGTTTGACGCGTTCACACGGCAGAAAGGCAAACATTGCTTTTGACTTTGGCATCGCGACTACAGGAATCACAACAGTTGGCGTTTTTCCAACTCAAAGTCGCAAGTCTACCGGAAATACTACTTTATCCACAACCAACCCAATATTAGCAGCCTATCTTGTTTTCTTCAAGCTGAAGAAAGCACCCAACATGACGACCGACTCTACGACTCCTCCTGCCGCCCAGGCAGAGGGTGAGAAGACCACAACAACACCCAAGAAAGTAAACACAACCGCCCCCCTCAGGTCAAAGTAGTACACTGACAGAACGACCAGACCCGGTCCTCCAAGGATAGTAGCAGCGTTGCTACCAGTACCACCGCTAGCAAAAGTGCTGCTGTCAGCGCTGTTGATGCCTCGGACAAGTCAAAGGAGAATGTGAAGGCCTCCCTTCCGTATTCGATCCCCAAGAAGCCGACCAGCTCGGAGATGTATTCGGCTTGTCATTATGACTAGACTTCTTGGTCAATATGGGGACGGACATGATTAAGTCATATGGGAGCAGAGAATTGCGAAATTTTGGGGAGTGCTATGGTGTCTAGGTTGGGGAGAAATCTCGGGTTTTTGTGATCACGACAACAGAGGTGAGGGTAGTAGTAACTCACTGCCATGATAGTATCATCATTCTTATCTTTTTTTATCAAATTGCCACATTTTTTTGTGCAAGGGTGTTAGTCGAGCATGACCGCTATGAAAAGATATCCCTTTATAACAGCAAGACGGCTCTTTCGACAGAAGTGACTGGATTATAAGTTTCCTCTTACAACTCGTTCCATTTATGGAGCTGCTACTTTGCTTGGAGCACCCCTTCTCATCATCGTTCTCAGAAGATCCCCCAGATTGCACGCAGGTCTGTTTACTGGATGTCAGTGACTTCTGGTTGTCATGTTGCTGTCTGGGAAGTGGCGAGGGTGGCAACACTTCGTCACTTGTGCATGGCCATAGGCATAGCATAGCAAAGCATAAAATAAAATAAAAATCAATCAGAGTGAGAGGGAAGGAGCAGACTCACCAGGTATTTACTTTGATTTTCTGGCTGCGTCTTCCATCCGTTGATGAGCCCTTCATGATTTGCTGAGTACCTCTCTGAGGCATGTGTTAACAACACAGGCATTCACAAATTAAAATCCGAGGTCCAGACTTGGCCTTGGGCAAGCCAGGTTGACTTTTTATATCTTTTTGCCGACCCGGTTTTTTTTTTGGATTTGAAACACCGCAGAATAGCAGGCCACCATGGCGCAAGCTACCACAATCGAACCTCGCTGGTACCTCTGCCACTAGTAGCCACTAACAGCCACGTTGCTCCAATTTGAGGGAACCCAATCTTTGCTTGTGGTGCAGTGGGATGTAAAACTGATGTGGCTGTCTGTCTTGGCAAACTCTAGGTCAAGAGACGTTGTTGTTCGGATTCCCTCTGGCTACTTGTTCTTCTGAGGTTTTCCACCCTGCACCTTAGGCATACTTTCATTCATGAATGAAATGAACGGAATCATCTTCTTCCTACTAGAGCCAGATAAAAAGAATCAACGAATAAATGGGCGCAAGGCATCGTCTGATGTACCGAGGTATTGTTGAGCTGGTGGTTGCTCTGGATTCCACAATGGCTCTTTCCTTTCCTCCTTCTCAGACTTTTCCTCCGTCTCCACAGTTCAGCTTTGCTCTCAGGAACTCTCTGACCGTCCATTCACATGCCGTTATCCAGATACACTTGAATACTCTGCATTGATGCGCAGGCCTAGACCACTTTCTGTCCGGTTCTGGTGCCAGCCACCCACACCTAGCTTTCACATCCAGATGATAGAGGCTTCAAGATTCACCCAGCCGATCAATAAACATCCACTTGAGTGTGCCAATCGGTTTGATAGGTGGTCTGACCTCAGTCATCAAGCTTGCGACAGCCCTGAGGGTCACAGGCAGCTGACCCACATTTATGAAAACGGTGTAAGACCATTGGCTGGGCTGAGAGCAACATACTGACATCGGGCCCAGGCACAAGCCATCCCACACCTGGGATTCACTCCAGCAATTGGGAGGTGTGATCTTTCCGCCTATTTGTTGGTTAGGTATCGTCACCGTGTGCCAGGCGTGTGCCACCTGTGATTTTCCAGTTGATATTTTCCGCCACTTTAAGTGGTCGAATCGCATCAGCAACAAGCAACAGGCATCAACAGCCAACAACGGCAGACGGCGGCGCCAGATAATCAAGACAGTTTCGACCATCGCTAACGCCAATTGAGAAAAATGTCGCTCGTGTCGGGCACGCTACTGCTCTTCGTGGCTTGGCTAACGTGGCGTGTGTGGAAGTTCACACTGTCACCTCTGACCAGGCCGAATGAGCCGAGAGAGCTGCCATACACAATTCCTTGTAAGTCTTGTCTGCTTCAAACATTCTCCTGAGTCTGATTACTGACTCCAGAAAAGTCATTGGCCATGCAATTTCATTGTTCATGAACTCGACTGCTGTCTTGACAAAAGGATGGTATGCTTCCCAGGACACTTGAGTCTAGAAGAAAATCACACTGACGCTCTGGAAAGGAACAAACTGTCGGGCGATAACCGTCAGCCATACGCTCTCCAGGCAGCTGGAACATCCTTCTACGTCATATCCCACCCTAAACACATAGCCGAGCTATCCAGGAACACGCAAAACTTCTCCTTTGTCGAGTTTTCAGTCGACATTGTCAAAGCCACCGGCATGAGCCCCGAGGGCATTGCGAAGACCTATAACCTCGACCCAGATGCTCTCGATGCCAAAGTCGACCATTTCAAGCACCCTATGAAGGACAAGCATTTCGAGCATCTCAACCGCCAGCTGCATACCACGCAACTATCTCCGAGTTCACAGAACAACAACTTACCCTCCCTCGATCAGACCATTCTCACATGGCTACAGAACCACTTGACTATCCCGAATCTCCAAGAGTATTCCCTGGTTCAGAATGATCTTGAGGTCAATTTCTATGAGTTCGTCAATACGGTCTTCATCCGCGCAGGCGAGAATGCGTTTTTTGGTCCCGCCCTTGCCAGAAACCACCCCGACGTGGCCCACGACTTTCAGATCTACGACGAGCTCCACTGGAGAGACCTGTATCTGTTTCCTCCGTTCTTGGCTCCAGAATTGACCGCAATCAAGGGGAAATTGACAGCGCAGTTCAAAAAATATCTGGCCCTGCCCAAACAGGAGAGAGACAAGCAAAACCCAAGCTGGTTCACCCCCAATTTTGAACTCGCTCTAGACAAGCTAGAAGTAGGCGAGCAAGACAAGGCGGTTTTCTTCCTGATGCTCTATCTTGCGTACGTACACCATGCCTTGCCCCCAATTTCTACCACACACCGCTAACAATTTCCGGTCTCGCAGAACAAACACCAACACCCCCAAGCTCCTCTTCTGGTGCCTCGCCCATCTCCTCTCCTCTCCGGCAACCTGCCTCGACAAAATCCGCGCTGAAATCAGCCCGGCATTCACAGGCGATGAGCTGACCGACCCTTCCTACCTCCTCACCCCGGGGAACTGTCCCACCTTTGAGTTCTTCTATCTCGAAGTCCTCCGCTTCAGAAGCCACTCCGTTTCCGCCCGCGTCGTAACAGCTGACACCGTCCTTCCTGCCCCTGGCTCGTTTCTCTTGCGCAAGGGGGCAAAAGTGTTGATCCCGTACAGGGTGTTTCACTTTGATGAGACCATCTTTGGGAAGGATGCCAAGTTTTTCAAGCCGGAGAGGTGGGAAAGCTTGCCGGCGTCGGCGAGGGGGGTGGTGAGGGCTTTTGGTGGGGGAAAGAGTATCTGCCCGGGGAGGTACTTGGCCGAGAGGGAGGTGAAGAAGGCGGTGGCGTTGATGATGAGGAGGTTTGACTTTGAGGTTTTGGCGGAGGGGGGCCCTGGTAAGTGGATGCCAAAGGGGGATGATAGTAGGCCTGGCGTGGGGATGATGGGGATTGAGAAGGGGGGTGATTTCAAGGTTAGGGTTCGGAAAAGGGAGGTAGTCTGATGGCGGTGATTTGAGCAGATGGTCTTGCGTTAGCCGAGAGCTTTAGTAATGGGTTGAGACATGGCCTATGGGCCAGTTTGACCATGGAGTTAGGCTTGCCATTAGGGCATCGTAAAAGAGCAATGCTTTCTACAGGGGTCCTTTTGTTTTACCAATAGCTTGACAACCATCTTTGCTTTTCTCAGTCATACACTCGCAGATTCCCTATAAAGTATTCCACAAACTTCCGCAATGTATCCATAATGTATCCCCCAAGACTCACACTCGTCTCATACCTGTGCCGCCCTTGAGGATAACCCAGACATCTTAACCACTCTTTTGGACAGAATGTAGAGTCCGGCGTGCTGCCTACTCAGGAAGTGCCGCTCACTGATGGCGCTCCTCAGTTTACCCTCTGCTTTTTTTGAGGACGACCTTCACTAGGAGAATCCTGACCATCTTCAGCGCTGGTTTCTCCGCCATCGATGTTGTCCTCAGGATCACCGTCGTAATCCTCATAATCCTCGTCATCATCCACAATCACCAGAGCAGCTCTGATTCCTCTGTTCCCTCGACTCTCGGCGGCCTCGTACCACCTACCGGCCATCAATCGTCAGTCAATCTGATATATCTCGGATCCCTTGGCCATATAAAATGTTACACCCGTCATCAGATGGTCTGTTCTTCAACACAGAAGGGAGGCGAGAAGAAACAGGGGTGGAACGTACCAAACAAAACCTCAGAAGGAGCTTCGTCAGCATCATGATGTGGGAGTGTCAGTTGGAAATCGTCCGAAAAGACCAGGAATGAACTCGGGGACGAAGCGTTTCGTACGATGAGAAAGTACGAGTCTGGTCCTGGCTGTAAACCAAAAATAGTTGAATCTTGATCCGGCAGCCTTTGTGACATGCACCACCTCCCACAGTTCTGGAGTCGTCTCACGTCTCTAGAGACTAGGGCAGTTTGCTTGAGATTCGCGCAGGTGGCTGTATCGTGCAGTTGGGCTTCCACATACGCGCTCTCTGGCAACCATGTTGATACGCCCCCTTTTCCAAACCCACCTTGCAGATCGGCACACCTCTCTTGAGCAGAGACACTTTGGGAATACGTGACAGGCATCACACGTGGCCACGTAGTCAGCCGCTGCTCTGTAAGACGCAGCTCCTTCTTCCTGTGCCAAGATGGATGGCAGTGGGGTCTCGGTTACATCCCCAGAACTTTTTGCGAACATACCTTCGTCCAGCTGCCCAAATACATCCATGAATAGTGCCTTAACCGTATGGAAGAGTAGGTCTTCGAAGTTCAGTTCAACCTCTTCTAGGCCAAGCTCTGCCGCAGCAAACTCTGACCTCAACCACTCGTCTTGAGCCTTGATAGTCCCAGACTCCTTCAGGTATAGAATATTCAACTGCAGTCGTCGTCTTACCCCGACAATTTGGACCTCAAGTCCAGCCATCTGGGGACAAGCATGGACGCATACCCTGAGTTGTCGGTTGACCAGAACTGCGAACCTCTCTGTAGATACCTGTTCCAGGATTGATGCACGTTGAAACCGTTGAATCTCTTCTTCCGCGGCAGTGTGAAGCGGTTTATACTTGCACAAAATGTCACAGTATTCGTGAGAATTCTCTAAGGGTCCATAGCTCAATCCTTTAACGGCCCTGTAGAAGCAGGGGTTCTGTGAATCATGCCACAAATAATTCGCATTATAGGCCCTGATGTACTTTATCCTGATCAGCTTTGTTACCTCGTCTCGTTCCTCCGCGATATGATGCCATTTTCGTGAAAAGATCCATTTCATTAGGTACTTCTTGAGTTTCTCAATCGTCTCTCTGCTGATATGTCTTGAGGCACTGCCCATTTCGGCAGACCGGGATGTAAACATGGTACTCAATTGCTGGACCACAGAACGCTCCGAACGAAAATTCGTGCCCGCAGAAGGCTTGGAATGAGCAGCATCATTTAGAACATCCCACATGGCCTTAGCTTCCTCCTCCACGCTAGTCAAAGCTTTCTGAGGAAGGCTGTACCCAAACATGGGTTTTCCTTCAAAACCAGTGCCGCAACCAGAGGAAAGGCCCACGGGTGTATCCTGGTGAAGAAGACCGTATAGGTAGATCAAACCCCTGTGTTCAATGTCTGCAAACAGATCTCCACGTCTTACTCCGCGACCGGTACTGAAGCCTCTAGAGCGTTCCCCACCACGAGTCTGACATCTTGTTCGCAGTTTATCGGAAAAGGCGTCAAGGACTTTTCGACGTCACGCCGACTCCTTGTCTCAACTCTCCTAACACTTCCAGGCTACATGCGACGGAGACGGACCAGTGGGTCTTCTATCTGGCCTTCAAAGTGCCCCTTGAAAGCCAAGTCAAAGGCCCTGAAATGCAGCGGATGTTGAAGGAGGGAGAGCCGCAACTCCCGAAGATGGCGGCTGCAGAGTGCACACTGCTTTCAAGACTGACGATCATAAACTTCTCGCTACCGCTTCTGCCTTCCTGAATCAAATTCTGCGGTTGAAGTGTGGCACCACGAATGACGAGTTCGACGAGACCGTAGGAATCGCTGTCTATCACCTCGGTGGTGCGAAAACGTATGTAGCCTAGATTCGCTTTCAACTCTTTCTGCGAAGATGTGCCCTCGGCAAGGTATAGTGCATCAGTGCCGTCCGCCTTATGCTCTACGCTGATTGCCACCTTGAAGCTGCTCGGAGATATTTCAGACAACTGTATTATGGCATCGCACCTAAAAAGCAACGGTGTTAGCGTCGCACACCGAAAACATCAATCCAGTCGATCCAAAAGACTCACCAGCTCCGAACTAACTCGGGGAAAGCAAACACGTTTATCATATCCGTAGTTTTTGGTATCAGTTGACAGGTTGATGGTCCTGGCTCGTGTGATGGATTCGAGGCTGCAAAGAGTACCGATGATGCCGGTGTTGCCCGGTGGTCGAGACATCCTGGTCCTGTTGTTGCAGCTTATGCTGGTAGCCGAGGAGGATCGAGAGACGACAGTTCGATAATGCAAGTGCGAGGAATAAAATAACAAACGGGTGCTCAGGTGATTTGAATAGAAATCAAGAAAGCCGTTGTAAATCGAAGAGAACGAGTTACGAAAAGAGACTCGTGTTTTCTAGAATGAAGGGAGGTCGAAGGAATAAGAGGAAGCAGAGTTGTATTCCTCCACGGGTGTAAGAAATGGAAGGAATTCACAAAAGAGGAGTGAAACGCAGCAAGTCGCAGGCGAGAACAAAATTTGATCAGTTTTCTGAGAAGGCAGAGCAAACGGATCGATCGTACCTTCCTCAACAACCGCACCTTCCCAACAGCGCGTCTGCAAACACATTGTGGACCCAAAAAGAGACACTGCAGCTCTGTATTGACGTAATTCACCCAAATAACACTTGAGAGACACTTGAAACGAAAGGCGGCTAAGAGACCTTAGAAGGTCTACTGACGATCCTTGAATTCAATCAAAGATGGCAAACCTCCAAACATATCAAATTTCATGGTCCAAGTACATAGCATCGCGCTTTGTACTTTCTGTACAAACAAATCACGGCCCCAAAAAGGCATCAACCCCCAGGTATCAAGAAATCATAGAAGAGGCCCATCCAGCCAAAAAGATCGACCATGCTGGGATTCGAACCCAGAACCTTTACCAGCTGGAGATTTAACTTGTACACACATGTTGAAACCGGAAAGTAACGCGCTACCATTGCGCTACACGGCCTATCAGTACCACCATGGTAAGATCTTCAGTTCAAGACCATATCTCTTACAGACATATTGCAGCGCGAAATCTTTCTTCCTCTTCACTTCTGTAACAAACACAAAACATACCTGGAAAAGACAACTGCAGAAGCGATCGGAAAAGTCACAATCAATAAAAAGATATTGGGACTCGGATACCGGGAGTCGAACCCGGGGCTGTTGAGAGATTTCTAGACTGAATCTAAACAGACACTTCTGAGAAGTGAGAGTCAACTATGTTACCGCTACACCATACCCGATTTTGGAGAGTGTGGTTTCCGATTTGGATGCGAGTTGTGGAGGGAAACGGGGTATATCAGGTAATGGGAACTGGGTTGTGTGGATATCATGACTCAAATCAAAGTTCTCTATCACTGGCAAGGCAGGCTCCCCCTGCCAACACCATGTTCTTTGATTCTGTCCAGGGATGCCCAACTCCAAGAAGTCCAATTCTTGTTTCATCAAAGACCAAAAGAACATTGCCAGCACCAGTGCATATGTTATTGTTGCGTGCATATGTATGAACGTGTGATTGTCACCCCCAAAAGCTTGCTCAAGATCTCAACAGTCATGCCTACCTAAGATAGTTTGAGGACTCATCATCGCCAACTTCATCCTCTCCCAGATTCCCACAAATCTCCTCAATAGCTTTTATCAAATCCACCGTTCCATCCTTGGGTAATCCCCCTCCCTCCTAGGCCTCCGATCCATATGCCTCATATGCTCTTCCGACGGCGGCAACCGTTCCCAAACATCCTTATACACCCCCCTCGGCACAACCGCAAACCTTTCGTCAATCCTAACCTTGTTCTCCTCCGTACACATCAGCGGAAGCGGACCCTCCCCAGCATCATCCTCCTTCAAGAAAAAATCAACCAACCCTTCCTGTTGACTATCCAACAGCTGCCAGTACCTAGGCGTAGTCCCCGCCCGGCTAGGAACAATGTAGACGTTCGGCGGCTGAGCAAGATTCTGTTCTTCAGCCTTCCTATCAAAAGTCACCACACCTCCTAAAATCCTGTCCTCAGCCCAGTAACCAACCAGGTTTGACACCCCCAAGGGGTAAATATCACCATGTAAATAGTAAGGGTGGTGAAACATAGTAGGAAGCGTCTCATCATCCGGGTCTTGCTTCCAGTGGGTAATCGCCTCGATGGAACGATCTCCCGTTCCCTGGTGGACTTCGATACCAACATCGAACAGAAGAACCCCTATTTCATTCAAAGCCATAGCAACGAGCTCAATGAGGCGAGTGTTGAAAACCTTGCTACCAGGCGTGGATTGGACGTACTTGGTTGTCAACTCACGGGGAAAAGACAGGAGCTCAAAGTCAAGCTTGTCCTTATACTCAAGGGCAAACTCTAGAGCGCCGGGGCAGAGTTCAGGGTGGTGCTCAATGGGGTGGTTGCCATAGACGGCGGGGATGCGCTGGTCCCAGGCTACGTCTTCAATGGGAAGACCGTCGATGATTTGAGCGTAGGTGAACTGAGCTAGCTTAGTAGAAAGGACGTTTCTCATGGCGCGGATGAACAGAGTGTAGTGGGCTGTGGTTTTCTGTCTCGCAGAGAAGCCAAGACGGGAGTTGTGGTCAAGGTGTGCGCGCCGCTTCATCCTTGCTGAGAGTGACTTCAACGTAGCCTCGTCCATTTTTTTTCGTTGTTGACGCGTGCAGGCCTATCTGTGTGTGCTTCTGTTGTTGTGTAATGGTAGGAAATGAGGACGGAACGAACACTGCAAGGTTGACTTGAGCAGGAGATGAAGTTGGAGAAAGCAGGCACCCTACATTGGGCCTGCGCCACATGTAAATAGAGGTTGGCTCCCCTTAAATAACCCGCGCCGTTACCCAAGCACCCGTTGGTTATAAGCACCGCCAGCATAACTGCGCTATTATACATTCGTGCATATTCTTATAACTGATTCCAGCTTCAGGCTGCAGGGCTGTGGGGCCCTAGATCAACCTCGTGATGGTGGTCGTTAGGGCGAGTTGGGCCGATGTCACACCATCGCCGCTAGTTTACCCCTGCCGGAGTATGTGGACCATGCTATTTTGGATAGATTTTAGACCAGAAAGGGCTCAGCTTCGTCGAAAGGTACCGGCGATATCAGACGCCTTTGGTTGAACTGAAACCATCAGTTGGGACTCAGTAGAGCAGACAACTGGTGGTCGTTGGGACCTCTCTGTTGTGATGAATTGAGGACCCGGTCTGGCTTCGAGATTGTTAGCCACGATGAGCTTCAGAAGTCAACAACGTAAATTAATGTAACCGCAACTCCGTCCGCGGAGCCTTTGACAGGTAGAGTTGCTTTTGAGATTGAATGCATGGCGTTAATGGGACATGGGAGTATCAGATAAAGGTTGCTCGGGACGTGACAGCGAATATACCTTGCTTCGTTTTTAAAGTGATTTTGGAAAACTGTGTCGCGTGGTATGTGCTGTAGGAAATCGACCAAATCCCCCCCTACCCATCAGACAAGCACAATGTTGCCCATCCCACTTGCCTCCTCTCCCCTCATAACCCCCTCTACAAAAGCTTCCCCCACAACCTCCCACCTATTCTCTTCTCCATCACCCCTCAAAACATACGGGGTCCAACACCCCTTCACAACACCAATTTTATCCCCTACTCGGGCATACCGCGGGAACAAGCCCCAAATACCCCCTCTCAGTTTTCACCAACCTCCTCCCTCTCAACGGCTTCCTCATCGCCACTCTAAATCTCTTCAAACGTCTTTTTCGATTGCCTCGACTCCAAGGAAGCCATAGTCAACCTTCCCTTTCCTAGTGGCCGCATTTGCCTCGGTGAGTATGTCTGCCCTGGTAGAGAAGGCGACCTCCCAGTCGTCTCGTCGAGCAACAACGAAAATATCTCTGCAAAAGCGTCCGAATAGGGGTGCATGCCGCTCGAATCCTTCCCAGCAACCATTGTGTGCCAAAAGGCCGTAAAGACAGAGCCATGAGCAGGCGGGTACATCGTGTGAAAGTTCCTGGAAACGAATTTGATGCATCTGATCCAATCTTTGTTGGCCGACAGAGGCTGTACGATATCCGGATCTGAGAAAACCGTGCTCATCACAGCAATGGTATCAAACACCCTGCCTTCAGTGTGTAGTTCGCTGTTGTTGGACCCAATGATTTGGTAACCAGCCGAATGTTTGGGGAATTTATACGCCTTTTCCGACCCAGAGGCGTTGTACACGTTTGCGGTCGAGCTCTCATATCCCAGCGCAGTTGTCTCTCGAGGCTTGCTCCAATCAGGAACCCACGAGGGACATCCCTCAAGAGGCTCATGGTCGATCGAGTTGAGCATGGACTTGAGCGGGGCCGTGTTCCGCTTAAGCAAACCGACCACCACATCGTGATACAGATTCGAATACTTGTAACTGTCGTGGTAGCTAATCTTGATCCAGCTGTTCTTGATCTCAGCCATTCCCAGCAAGCCATAGATTTTGTCTCGGGCGTCGTAACAAAGAGATTGCCGAGCGCTCCTTAGAGCTGGACTGATTAGCCACTCCTCTGGCCATGGTTCTTTGGTCGCTGGATATCCTTCGCGATTCGAAAAGAGTCTCAAGATCTGGGTGAAAGGATCAGGGCCCGGAAACTTGAGATAAGCCATTGAGTAACGCCACTCTCTTGAAGAGTGAGGCAGGCGCTGGCGAAGACGTCCCAGCTCATCATTGTCCTAGCTTTGTGCTCTCCGCCACAGGCTAGAGTGATATCCTGAGACAAGATCACCTCCTGGTAAATCCATAACCTCTGGAACCATGGTCGTGTCACCAGATCCCACACACCAACCCAGGTTGCCGAATCTGCGGTTGGCAGGCAGAGTCTTTCAAAGTCCTCTGGACATCGAATCGCCGATGCATGCTGTATCAAATCGGGAGCATCGCGTAGAAAGTCGAATGCAGCTGCCGCCTGCGCCTTTTCGTCGTTGTTGCTCTGATCGATGCAGATCTGATCTATTCACAGCACCACCGAGTGTCCAGATGGTCTCAAGTGCTGAAGAACACCGTACAGTGACTTGGTAATAAGCTTCTCATGTCCATCGACGTTGATGGGCATATCAAAGGCACCTGGTCCCCATGTGTAGCTGAGCGCGGTGTACCAAGATCGGTTTAACCAGGTCATCCATCGACAGGCCAAACTTGTTTTGAGGCACGGTAACATGTGCCGACTTCATAAGCTCCGACTTCCGTGTGACTTTCCGGTGACTTTCTCTGCATTCCAGGGAACAGTGATGGAGGGTGTAGCATATCGAGTCGTCGTTGCTGCCTGGTTTGATTTCCAGAACCCGAATTTCATACGGGTCAAATATAGGTCGATAAAGTGTTCCGGGTGAGTCGTTCCTGGGAGATATCTTCTTCTTTGATGCCCATTGCTGTAACCGCGGCTTCCGGGTACCTATCGGCCTCTGATTCTATGCCAGGCTGTTGCCCGAATCTCGCAGGCTCAAGCATGGGATTGTCCCGCCATTCCGAGCAGCAACCGAGTCTTAACTCGGAAAGATCATGCAAATGTTGGTACAAGCGGTCGCCTGTGAGTTCTGGCATGTCCAAGTGTTTCTGAACTAAAAGGCCACTGGTGAAGGTTGTTTGAGGATTTTCAACACAGCCAGGCAGGAGGCAGGCAACCAAGCTCTGGCCAGGCAGTTGGGTCGCACCTACCCAACATACAAAATAACTGCTGCACTCACCCCATTACATCTGCACAACCAACCACCACCTTCTAGAATTAAGACCACATAGAAAAAGGAACACGAATCAAGGTTAGCAAAAAGAAGTAGAGACTGAGAAAAATGCAAAAGATGATGCGGTTTATGTGGATCGAACACATGACCTTCAGATTAAGGATTGAAGTGGACTTCAGTCTGACGCTCTCCCAACTGAGCTAAACCCGCTTTTCATATCATTGGGCGTCGGATATTACAACCATGGTATTGCAAGCAGCTTGCTGCTGAACCTGGTTCAGTCCAATTATGCACTGACTTTTGGCCCCAAGGACCAGAAGCAAGCCTCGGAATAGCGCCATCCCCTTGTTGACATCCAGTCCCTTCAGCCGCTAGAAACACCAGTGAAAAGGGGGGTAAAGAGGGGCAACTCGTTATTGTACAGAAGCTCATTATCAGAGAAACTAATACAGACACTGGCCACCGCATTGTCACAAACCCGTATCGTTCTGTTTCATTACCCATACAGCTGCAGGGTCCAAAGCCCAAGCCCACAAGTCGGCAGACAAAGAAATTCCTCCCCATCAACTACCGTCAGCACGCTTGGGAATAGCGTCATAGACACGGTCACCAAGACCATTCCCCCAACTCCCGTTCCCCCCCTTCCCCCATCTCCCAACCCCAATACCTCGGAGAAAAGGACCCAAACAGATCTCCCAAATCACGATCCCCAAAAGCATGACATCAGCCACTCCCCTCTAAACCAAGTGGAAGCCACACAAGTGGAGGCAAGTACCTCGCACAGTGTGCGCCCCAAAACCACACCATTCGACCAGAACGTTCACGATGTCCCCTTTCCCCTCAAAAGAGCCTCTATCATCGTCATCAATCATGACCAAGTTTGGCAAGTCCTCTATTGATGATGTCAGCAAAGAAGTACATACACATGCGGAAAGTTGCGTTGAGTTGTGGAGAGCCACACAAGCTTACGTACAAAGTAAACACTTGATTTGCCGGGCATTACTTTGTGCCTTGGCGTATTCGCCCCCTCCCCTTTTCCATCCTTCTCAGCCACTGGTGACTGGGCTGTACCTGGGCTAAACTTCCAGAAAAAGATCCAAGTCACCCAAGACAAAAATTTGAGATGAAGGCTCACAGAAAGACAACCAAGGAAAAAAGAGTGGGAGTTTTGACCCAAAGTCAAATTAATGCTTGTTGTTGATGTTGTCAACCTGGGTATCAGGGAACAGAAAGAGAGAAGCCTCGGAATAATCTATGTAACATGTGTAGTGTGTGTGTGTGTGTGTGTCGTTCCCATTCCCTTCCCAAAAAAAAACGATAACGAGCGCTCAACCTCGCCATAAACCAACCCTTCCTTTATCCCAAATGCCTAAACCAAAAACGCGCGCAAAATGCCCATAAAACCACTTATTAGTCTATCATAAACGCAGCCATCATCATCCTCAATCCTACTCAGAGACAGCACCGAAGCAGGTCTCCATGATAATACCGGTGATTTGATATGGGTCGGCGTTGGAAGCGGGACGGCGATCCTCAAAGTAGCCATAACCCTTGGCCGCGCATTCCCTTGGGATACGGATAGAGGCGCCGCGGTTAGCGACGCCGTAGGAGAAGGTGTCGATAGAGCCAGTCTCGTGACGGCCGGTAAGGCGCTTCTCGTTACCCTCGCCGTACACGGCAATATGCTCGGCGTGGCGGCTCTCGAGCTTCTTGATGGCGGCCTCGATGTGCTTCATGCCGCCCTCCTCACGCATCTCCTTGGTGGAGAAGTTGCTGTGAAGACCGGCACCGTTCCAGTCGCCGGGAATGGGCTTGGGGTCGAAAGAGACCTTGGCACCGAACTCCTCGGCCACACGGTGGAGGAGGAAGCGAGAGAGCCAGAGGTGGTCACCCATCTCGATACCCTCGCAAGGGCCGACCTGGTACTCCCACTGAGCGGGCATCACCTCGGCGTTGGTGCCAGAGATCTTGACGCCGGCATACAAGCAGCACTTGTAGTGAGCCTCGACGATGTCACGCATGACAACCTTGCCAGCACCGACACCGCAGTAGTAGGGGCCCTGAGGAGCAGGGTAACCGTTCTTGGGCCAGCCATAGGGACGATCGTTGAGGTCGAGCAGAGTGTACTCCTGCTCAAGACCGAACCACGGCTTGTGCTCAGCGTGAGCCTCCATCAACTTGGCGCACTCGTGGCGGTGGTTGTACTTGTTGGGGGTGCCATCGTTGTTCAAGCACTCGGCAAGAACACTGTTTACTGGAGTTAGTTATGGTTACAACCTCTCGAGTTCAGGACTTCACATACAGAATGTTGGGGGTACCCCTGAACGGGTCGGGGAAGACAGCAACGGGCTGGAGATAGATATCTGAGTTCTCGCCGGGAGCCTGGCCAGTGGAGGAACCGTCAAAGTTCCACATGGGAAGCTCAGCGGGAGTATAATCGGTGTCCTTGGCATCAAGGGTCTAATAGGAGCGCCATGTCAGTGTCTGGTGTTCCATCAAGATCTAGCTTCATTGTCCCAAAGATGTGGCATGCACAGCCCGGCAACGGCGCTGAATTTGGCTTTGCGGTGTGTCGACAATTCGTGATCCGGGATCCTCGTGTTCATGCGATATGCGGTGCGGCGATGTCCGTCGGCTGGCGGTGCAAGTCTGGCCGGAGCAAGCCAGGGACCGTCGGTGTAGCGGCGAGGAGTTTGTCGAGTCACAAGCGGTGTCGTTGCTGGGATTGTCCATGGCGGGGTTTGCCAGCGAGCATCCGCAGTTAGTGGGGTGAAAATCTTAGTGATTTTAGCGGGGTGTGATTCCGCTTCTGCATCAGCTAAACGCAAGAAGGGCGAAATCGGAGTGCGCGCCGAGGTTTCCCATAAAATTCGAGTGGAATGTGGTGAGCCCGCCCGGTAGCAGTTGACTTGGATGCGGACCCAGATCCGGAGGTGGACACCAGATCACCAGGCTAATTCCGCCAGGTGGTGTGGGTGGTTTCGTCGTTTTGGGTTCGTCGTTGGTTGACCCGCCGAGCCGCAGCATGCCCAAAAACCATTGTTTGCCGGTTGTGCCGTCATACGAATGACGACGGACAAGAAGAAACATAGGAAAAGTTCGGGACAAGAACATCAAAAGAATATTGACATACCCTTGATTTTGAGCGGACACCGCCCTCACTGTCGACCCAGATGTACTCGGCAATGATCTTGCCGCCCTGAGGCAGACGGAGGAACTTTTGCAAGTTCTCCGTGTAGGTGATATGTGATGGGTCGGCCTGAGGAAGCATGTTAGCCTTCCCGTTCATAGACAGAGTCGAATACCATAACGACGAGATAACTCACCATTTTTGTGAAGTTGTGGGGGTTGTTGTTTTGAAAAAGTGGTATAGGATCCGGCGAGGATGAGAGTTGGTTTGTAGGTGAAAAGTGACAAAAGTTATGCAAACTCGATAACAAGAGAAGACAGAATGTCGATGCACAAGGCGATAGTGGAGGAGAAAACAACAAAAGTAGGTTCAACGGGCAGCGGGGGCTGAGGCTTTTATGGTAAAAAAGATTGTCGTCTGAAGGTGGACTTGCAAAGCGTTCACGGTGGCAGGGCAGTGCGAACAAGAATTACAGGAACATGCGGTACCTTGCTCGAGGTACAGTACAGAGGTACCTGGAACACGCCGAGGCGGCAGCAACCCAGGAACACCGTACAACAAGGGGTCTGGGAGTGTGGGGAATGGACAGATGGGAAACTGTGTGTCCTCCCAGTGACACAGCGAGCATCTGAAAAGCCAGCCGAAAAGCAGCTGTGCGATGGAATCGTCCACGGATGCGTCCTTGTGTCCTCGACGGCCGTGGCCTGTCTCACGAAGACCTAGTGGGGTGGTTGGTGGGGCGAAACCAGCGATGGCTGGGCGCGGTACGTACCGGCCGGGCGGTAATTACACACATTACCAGTTGGTAATACTTCCCGTACGCGAGGCGTCCAGGTTAAAAACAGCGCAACGGTTTCTCTATCGGCGGCCGCTGCGCCCTTTGCGTTTCATTGCCGGGCTACACATTTCGCGATGCCGCTTTTTAAGGGTTTTTCTTACGTACATTTGCAACACTGTTGGTGCCAGACGAGAGAAGGTCGTGTACACTAGACAGGTCCAGATCGGATGGAAGTTGGCAAGCTTGCCCCACGTTTGCTGGACTTTGTTGAATCCAGCCATCTTGCCCTTGTGGGATCTTCCTCGTCGGGTCTCGTATGTCCAAGACACACAGTCATCAGTCCTCGTGGTCTGTTTCCACTTGTTGACCACGAGCATCGATGTCTTTTTCCAGGGTTCTGTTGATGCCCTGTGACACATCTTGGAGGGACCACAATCCACATGCTGCCCCGCAAACTTTTGGAGTTTCTTTCACATGGCATCGCGGTCGACGGCGGGACATCCGTGGGTCTGTGATAGGAAGGCTCGGCGACCCGGGTGACCGGGGTGGGTGACGCCGAATATCAAAATTCGGTGTTGCTTGCGGTCCGACTTCAGCCATTGAGCCGGTACCGAAACGCTCCGTCTACAACTGAGACATGAGGCAATATTAATCCTCAAGGCTGGAAAAAAGAAAAGAAATTGGAAATGGAATCGCTGAGGCCTTTTTCCCCATCGCAGCGGCATCTTTCCTGCCGTGTACTAAACCCTGAGAAGGTTTGGGTTGAACATGGGGCTGAAAGATGAAAGTGCTGGGTTCTGGAAAATCATCCGCTCATCCTGGCTCGTTCATCGGAAGACTATCACTCCTGCTCCGGCCGAGTCTCCGGGATCTACTTCTTGGACGCGGGTTTCCGGCTCAACAATGAACAGATGTTGCTGTCATTGTGTAGGGTTGCGAGCGGAAGATGATGAGAGGGCTAATGTAATAGGTGCACAGTGCATGCTGAGATGGGGGTCAGTTCTGTCCGGTTGTCGACATGGAATGAGTGCGTTGTTTGAAGTCTTGGGTAGGCCGAGACCTTCTGTTTTCTCCCCATCAGGAAGCGTATCTCATCCCCACGATTTCCCCTGGCGGGAGGTGGTGGGAGAGAATGTGTGGGGTTCGCACCATCAACCTCCGGAATTGCTTGTTGTATGGGTACCGTCTGGAGTTGAATTCTAGACATGTAAAGTTGAAAGGCACTAGGAGAAGTGTCTTTATGCTGGTCGAGTCATTAGTGCGCATCAAGTTTCGTCGATTCACAAAGACATCCGCTAGACATCAAATCAGCATCTGGTTTCCTATTTTTCTCCTTGAAGAAAAACCCAGATCTATCTTTGTTTTGACCCTGGGGCCATGTTTCAATCTAAACTTTTTCTCCGGGTGTTCTTTCATCGTCGCATTCTTGGCAATGACCTGCGGCTCCTGGTGGCTCCGGGGCATGGCAGTGCCCCAAAATCGACGTTCCCGCCGAGCCATGCACGTGTTAAAGATCTGCTGAACATCAGCGCCCTTTGGGTTGCCTCTTGACATCATCGTGGGTTTGGGTCCAGTGCCGTAACCTGCTGCCGTCGTTCCTTAGCGTCATAACCCCATTTGAGAATCTCCATGAAACAGCGGCCTTCAGAGCCTCGCTCGTGAGGTGTTGAATTGCCCTCGTATTGTTCTGTACTTACGGTAAGCCACGTCTGTCTTGTAAGTGTGCTAAGTCCCACAAACGCGCGTCTTTTTCGCGACGCGGTTGAAGTTGATGAGTGGGTGTGGAGATGGTGAAGTCTGGATGCTGGGCTCAACCCGACCCCACAAAGAATGAAGCGGCAGCCACACCAGCGGCAGCTGTCTTTGTGGGTGTGTGGCTCGTACCTCGACAGCCTGGCAGCTCGTTTCTGCCCATTAACGAACCGGGAAATTTCGAGGTGCATCTCGACAAATTTCAAGATTCTCTGCCGTGCAACAGCACACAGCTTTACCGCTTCTTTTCTATCCGCCTTTACCGTAACCTCAGCGGCATACAGTTACCCAATAGATTCCTCCTTGCCGCATATTACATCTGCAAGCCGGACCGCAACTCGCGCAGCATCCCATCCGCTTCCGGGTCCAAACTTGAAGTCTTCCACCACCCCTGTTGAAGTTTTGAAGATGTCAGGTAAGAATAATCCAATTCAATCATCCAATTCATGTGGCGAGATCTCTTCTGGCCAATGGCCGTCCTGAACGCCGCATCACTTATCGTCCTCCTCCCATTGGTCCCAGCGCCTTTTTGACTAAGTTCTTGAGTTTGGACCACTTCAAGGCTGGTCTGGGCGCGCTACGGCCGCCGGGGGTCCACTTCGGACTCCCCGCGGTGCCGCATCAGACGGACGACGGGTGTTACATCGCATGCCCAGGAACGCCTGGTTCCTATCATGAACATTCAAATGAGAAGAACATCTGCTCAAAAGTCACCGGTACTTCGTATGTTTGACAGTTAGTGCAAGGGGAAATTCCCTCAAACTAGACATGGGACAAATCCTTTCTGCATTTGTATTTCTCTCTGCCAGATCCGTTGTCTTGTTGCATGTGGTTGACCAGATGGGCATGTGCTGGCCAACACAGTGTAGAACTGCCGGTGTCGGGCTGCCTGGGCTTCAAGGTGTCGACACACGTCTAGAAGCAGCAGATTGGATACTCATCAAGTTTGGCATCAGCGGAGATGTACATTTCTGTGCCTTCAAGATTGCTAATTAGTTGAACATCAAGGTTCAGCCAAGTTACGGACAAGACTTCCAGAACAACCATTCAGACTTCTGTACCATGTATGATACATGTAAGAGTTGCGCCAATGAACACAACTTCCCCACGCTCTCCACGACAGATTGTGACAACCGCTGTGGTGACACGTTGACACCGAATAGGTCGCTGTGCTCCCGCACGCAACAAACGCCTAGAAACCATAAAAAGAGCAACGCTAGCAATCCTCAGCTCAGGCCTACATGACACGGATCTTGACAACCAAATATCCCGCAACATAGCAGCTACGCCCCATCTCCTTGATATGCTCAAGCAAGTTCAAGGGCTGGAAATATCGATGTATGTGTAGGCTGTTGATCCTCGAAATCCTCGATGGGATCGCTGGAGTAATTCGGAATGCTTCGAATATCAGCCCGGCCATCAACGGCTCGCTTCCTCGGCCGACCTCTTCTCTTGGTTGCAGCTCTGGCAACTACTGGCGCTTTGCTTCGTTCCTGGAGCTGTGAACGGCTGCCCATAAAGAGCTTTGGTGGGGCAAATCGTGTTTGGTCTTCAACTCCTTGGACCCCTGACTGTTTGACCCCCACAGACCGCGGGGGTGCCAGAGCTGGCGCCGCAGACGACAGGTCAACAGATGCGGGTAACGATCCCGAACTATTGCTCCCCACGTAGCCCGCAGATCCCGATGTATGAGCCCTACCTGGTTCCCCACGGGGAGACTCCTGGCTGACAGATTCCGTACTGGTCGTGTTCTGGCTGTCAGGCTCGGCGTCTGATAAGTGTCTGTATCCCTGGTCATCAAGGACATTGCTGCCAGGCTCCTCACTGAGGATAGATGCACAACGAATGGACTGGCTCTGGGAACCCCCGTTCTGTGATTGGGGAGTGCCTTGACTGTTGTCGTCTATGTGACTTGCAGAAATTCCCGCATCCGACTCAATAATGCTACTGCTAGCAATGGCCCCGAGGCTTGGGACGTCTGATGAAGACCATGGCTCAACAGAGTCAGACGGCTGGCAAATATCAGCTGTGTACAATGGACAGCCTGTTGCCGCAGTACTGTTGATTTCCATCTCCGGTGGCCCCTTGGTACACGACAAGCTTGAAGACCTAGATGGCTGCAATGCTCGGGCGGCATCCCGCGATGCTTGGGTGAACGCCATGGACTCAATGATATTGCTACTATCATCACCGAATACAAATGACCGCCATACCTCGTCAGTCTCGAGGGTCTGTGTCGTGATCTGTTGGTGTGGAACCTCACAAGAGCGTTCCAGAGATAGTGATTCTTTCGACCATGAATTGCCGCAGGAGTTTGCGATGTTGCCACTCGATATGCTGCTACTTAATATGGGCTGATGGTTTTGAGGGTCCGGGGTGGTGATTGTGTTTTCGCCGCCATGATGATAGCTACCGGATCCCCAGAGTTCGGTAGCGTCGACTGTGGGGTTATCCATCTGGCCAGACGCGAGACTGCTGAAGCAGCTGTTGCTTGTGTTCTCGTCCCCAAACTTCCTGGTGAGATTCAAGCTGGAGCTACTGTTCGTAACGTTGCCATCTTCGAGGCGGTCTGCCTGGCGTTTATCAAGATTATCTCGATACATGTTCCTCTCTCCAGGGCTGCTGAGCGTATTCAGACCGCTGTTATCTGTGAAACTGTCGATGGTGTTCGCCGAATATGAATAACCGTCGTACTTCTGGGTTCCTTGAGCCATCGCCAACAGCTGCTCGTATCGATCAAGAGCCTCTGAGGTATCTTCTGAACCATGACTGATAGGTTGCTTCGTAGAATGGTCAAAGGCAGTACTGGTGGATTCCTGCGAATATGGAAATGAAGGTAGATCTTCTGAGAAACCTGCCCAGGACGATTCCGTCTCTTGCTGATGCCTCTGGCTGATCCCGGGGCTGATCTGCACTTCCGGCGACCGCTGAGTCCCAGCACCCATCTCCTTGTTCGAAGTCTCTTGGCGACGAAACCAGTTATTCCATTTGGAATTCGATTGTTTCTGGGAGGCTGGAACATTTGGAACCATCTGACCTACACGTGCGACGGTACTATTCGTGTCTTGAGAGTCCGGGTAGTGTTGTCGAGCGAAATTGCTAGTCCTTGACCGTGAGACATGGCGACCTAAAGGCGATGAGGATGATGATGGATCAATAGAGCCAGGAACCAAAGGAATAGTATACTCTCCTCTGATCCGCTCATTTCTATCCATCTGCGAAGATAATGGTGTCTTGGATAATGAATGCCCACTCCTCTGACGCAACCGGCTAGAGTCTAGGAAGAAGTTTAGTTCGGTATCAAATATTCCAACAATATTTATAACCCACTTCTATAGGTATGTTGCGAGGATGGTCTTGCCGGATGCGAAGTCTTCTCAGTGCGCGCCTGGCTAGCTGTTCTGATAGTGTTCCATCCGCTGATGGCCGAACCTTCAGCACCAAGTCTCTTCTGTTGACTTCCCACTCGAATCTTGACGGCATCACGGCCAATGGCCGGTACTGACAGGTCAAGTTTGCGCTTTCGGGTATCGGCATGCGAAGGCGCATTACCTGGTCCATGTCGTACTACTGGTGCATGCAGCCAAGGGTCCGGTCGTGGAGGAGGTTCGGGTCGTCGGCGGCGCTTCAAAGGATCCGGCGTTGGATCTCGACCTGTTTCCTAACCCAGGTCTGCGAGAAACTTCAGCCTCATCTCCTTGAGCTTCTCTTCCCCATACTTGGCAAGCAGTGTTTCAGACCCCCGGTTACGTGGCGGCTGTTCAAGCGGTTGATGGGTTGCTGAACCGTGACTGTCCTGTCGAGCTGGGACCTTGAAGAATGACCGAAGCTGTTCGATGGCTTCCTCATGGCCTGGGCTATATTGGTTCTGAATGCCTGAGGATGATCCCCTTCGGCCCGGCTGAGGCGATGGTTGATGTGCAAGTATCACTGTTTGGCGAGATGACGAGCGCCTGCCGTCGTTTCTAGCAGCCTCCCTTTCTTCGGCTTGGGCTCTAATGCGAGCAAAGTACTCCTTCTGGCGTTGCTTAGCAGGGTTAACCTTTCTCAGTCTGCCGCGTTTCGAACGATGAAGATCTCCATCAATCCAGTTCATCCTGGCTCTTGAGAGGGGCGTTCCATTCCTCCCGTGTGTTTGCACCAGAAAAGGCCCAGGCGAGGATGCCGACCTTCGCTGTGGAAAGTATGGCATGACGAAGTGGAAGCCGCGGCGGGCTGATCACGAGTGAAGTGGATTGAAGAGAAGGAGCTGACAACTCATATAAAATTGGGCGTCGACAGAATTGGGATGGTACCCATCATGGTTGGAAAGTGGAAGTTGTCACATCCTGCCGTCGGGTCCCATCTCACCAAGATTTCCAGAGAAAGAACTACCCCTGTCAAGCGTGCCTTCCATAAAGCTTCCAGAACACAGCTTAAACTGCCGGCCGGGCCGTCAACGTCAACCCCGCATCTCCGCAACCACAACCTCGCTCCTTCAACCCCACCATGAGAGCTTCAACAACAACCACATTGAGGACATTGCGACGCCTCACGTCTCTCAGCCGCCATCCAACCCAAACAATCTCTTGCGCACAACTCCCTCTCCCCTCGTTCTTTCGCAAAATGTCCTCTTCCCCCCCCCCCTCCGCCCAAACGACGCCCGGCACTACCCTCCTCCGCCAGCCCGTAACCCTAGCCTGCATCCAACTCCCCTCTACATCCACCAAATCCGACAACCTCTCCCACGCCGCCACCGCCGTCTCCTCGGCCGTCAAATCCACCTCGGCCAAAATCGTCGTCCTCCCCGAGTGCTTCAACTCCCCCTACGGCACCGACCACTTTCCCTCCTACGCCGAGCCCCTCCCCGCGGACCCCTCCAACCCCTCCCCCGACCTCAACCCATCCTTCCTCGCCCTCCAAAACATCGCCCGCGACAACAAAGTCTACCTCATCGGCGGCTCCATCCCCGAGCTTGTCGTTGAAAGCAACAACAACGAGAAGAAATACTACAACACCTCCCTCATCTTCTCACCCGAGGGAAAACTCCTCGCCACGCACAGAAAAGTCCACCTTTTCGACATTGACATCCCGGGCGGGATCACGTTCACCGAGTCGGACATCCTGTCGCCGGGGAATAAGCTTACGATTGTGGACCTCCCCGAGTACGGCAAGATAGCCGTGGCGATTTGCTATGACATTCGCTTCCCCGAGTTGGCGACCATTGCGGCCAGAAAGGGATGCTTCGCGTTGATCTATCCCGGTGCTTTCAACCTTACTACTGGGCCGCTGCACTGGAAGCTGTTGGGACAGGCGAGGGCGGTGGATAACCAGCTGTATGTGGCGCTGTGCAGTCCGGCGAGGGATATGACCGAGGGGGTGTACCATGCTTATGGGCACAGTTTGATCGTGGACCCGATGGCGAAAGTGCTGGAGGAGGCTGGTGAAGGGGAGCAGGTTGTTAGTGCGGTGTTGGATGGGGACAGCATTGAGAAGGCGAGAAAGGGGATTCCATTGAGGGATCAGAGAAGGTTTGATGTTTATCCTGATGTTAGTGAGGGGAAGGTGAACTATGACGAGAAGCCATAGATACGATGAATGTGTGAGAAGATACGAGGTGTAGGTATATAATGACATGATGACACCAAAATCAAGAGTTTCAAGTTGCAAAACAATGTATGAGGAAGACCCATTCTTTCTTGTTGATGCAATCGACCTTTATGAGAAGCTTCTATGGTTCGCTTCAGATACCCCTTTTCAGGAGGCTTTTACCGCACCCACTGCCCTCTACCCATTTACAGCAGCAAAGGCTTGACCGTTTGCTGCCCTCCTTTTCCCGGTGCTATCTCCTAGTAAATGTTTGGAATATACCGGAGCCTCTAGTCTCTAAACCACAGTCACCCTTCTTAAATCGCCTATTGGAGAGCCTTGGCGGCAAAGGTAGGAAGGACGAAGCTGGCCTTGTGGATCTCGGAGTTGTAGTAGCGGCAGTGCTTCTCCTCCTCCTCCTTGGTCCAGGAGCGGAGGGGAACCTTGACGTTGCGGTTGGCGTCCTTGGTGCAGACCATGAAGCCGATCTGGCCCGAGGGGTAGGTGGGGATGGTGGTGTAGGCGTACTCGGCCACGGGGAAGATCTCCTTGCAGTCCTGCTTGAGCTTGGTGATCAGGGGAAGGTGGAGCCATTGGTTCTCAGCTACAAAACAATAATAGTCAGCCAACATGGTTCTTGACATGCGCGGGTTCGACTAGCAAGGAGATTGTCTTGTAAGAGTTAAAGCCAAAAAAGAAGAAACCCGCAGCATTCGGAAAGTCGAGAAACGCAAAGCTACCACTTGGTAGGCTCCTGAGGGGCTTGGGCAACATCAGTGTTGCTATCGGGCAAAGTTGTTGTCCGACACAACAAAAAAGAATATACCCCCCAGGCCTCGAACTTTCCCAGATAAAGGAGACGTACAACCTTGAGTGGTAATGACACCGCCCTCACGGAGGGCGTCGTGGAGAAGCTTGAAGTAAGGCTTCTGGAAGAGAGACTCGGCGGGACCCTCGGGGTCGGAGGAGTCGGTGATGATGACGTCGAAGGTGTTCTTGTAGTCATCAAGGAACTTGAAGCCGTCGCCGACGTGGACCTTGACCTTGGGGTGGTTGAAGCCAGCGGACATGTGGGGGAGGTACTGCTTGGAGAGGCGGATGACGGCCTGCGAGATGTGTTGGCAAATTGGTTCTGAAAAGTTAAGACACCGGAACTGAACTCACCTCGTCGATGTCGCAGAGGATAGCCTCCTCAACACAGTCGTGCTTGACGACCTCACGGAGGACACCGCCATCACCACCGCCAATGACGAGGACCTTCTTGGGCTCAGGGTGGGACATCATGGCAAGGTTGGTGATCATCTCCTGGTAGGCAAACTCATCACGCTCGGTGGCCTGGATGACGTTGTCCAGGACGAGGACGTTGCCGTAGTCAGTAGACTTGAAGATCAAGACATCCTGGTACTTGGACTTCTCGTGGTGGAGGACCTTCTCGACCTTGAGAGTCATGGCCTGGCCTATGGAGAGAACATCGAAATTAGACACATGATCTCTTCTTCAAGGGGGTACAGAAGTTTGTTTACTTACCAGGCCACATGTTGGAGATCTCGCGGAACCAGCCATCTATTATGCAAGCCACAATGTCAGTCTCGTTTCATGAGTTTTCGCAGACATCATGTCGGTAGTTGTAACCCAACACAATTTCACTCTATGAACCGGCCCGTTTTGTGAAATGGTGCATTTCATGATCAATAATGCCACGCGGCAGAGCTGCGTGAGTGAGGCGCACTCTATGCCGGCGGCAGAGTCTGGTGATGCCGTAACGGAATGAAGCCATTAAACTCTGAAACTCTTGTGATCAACGCCATGACGAGGTGAGAGACGGGTCGGCATTGGGGCATCTGGCGGCACCGAACATCGCAGGGCTGACCGATATACCCGATGATTCCGATTGCCCACCACATGGAGAAGGCGTGGGCACCGTTTCGAGGTGTGAATATTGGTGTGGATGGCGGGGTCGTGGTCGTTCAGCCCCTCCATGAAGGAGAGTACAAGCGTGAGGTGAGGGCCAGAAGGGGAACATCAGAACTTCTTACCCTTGATGGTAGAGTGTGTAATGTCACCCATTTTGAGAGATTGGTGGAGGTTACGAGTGGTCTGGAAGGTATGAAGTGGCCTGGATAGAAGACGCCTTGCACAAACTCGAAGTGAAGCCAACTTGAAGGAGGGGCAGGCAAAAAGTGATGGTGGAGGTGGGGTTTATCAACAACGATACGGCAAACCGATTGTAGCGAGCGGGTGCAGAGATTTTTCTTCAGGGAGGTATGAGCGAATTACAGGGTCCAAACTTCGCGGTGTGGAGAGCCCAGCTTGAGGGTTGGAAGTAAAAACTCAAACATAACCCTGGAAAATACTCATTCTGACGTCTGAAATCTGCCAACCTTTCATCCGTAGCTATCCGTGGCTGTCGTCGCACTATCTTATCGCTATCAAAAACAGGCAATGCTTTTGAGGCAGAGGGGTAATGAGGAGGGGTCACTAGCAACAAAATCAACTTGCCATAGACAGACTCCCTGAACTAGAGCAAAGCGGAGAAGGAGATGTTGTGGTCTGTCTGGAAGCTTCATTGTTATTTCAGTAAGTTGGGTGTACTTGGACAACAACTGTGCGACGCACGGCGTTGAGCCGGAGAGCGAAAGCGATGGCCGGGATTGAGCCGCTCAGAGGAGACCTCTACCTGCCGGACTGGACGGCCCCGCTCCGGCGACAGCTCGGACCTTTGCCCAGCGAGGGCCTGAGGGGTCAAAAAGGCAGGACGCTAATGAGGGCTGAGGAATGTCTGAGCGCCCGATCATTGGCACCATCGCGTTGAAGATCAGCAGATGATGTTTGCAGCTCACGGAACGGCGCGATCACTCACCACTTCAACTGCGCACGAGCTGCCGTAAGTGGATGGTGACAATCCGAGGCACAGAGCTTGCGGGCCCCGTGGGCCGTACCACCGGGGATGTGCCGTGCCGTGATTTGTATGATGCTCACTCCTTCACGTTTGGAATAATAATGATGATGTCGGATTGGGGGCCCTTCCTACCCAGCAGACAGCTATCGAGTAAATTATGGCCGAGGTAGTTGGTGTCTTTTGTCTCGAGCAGGCTGTGTAACAGTGACTCGGCCTCATTGCCAGACACCACATGTCTTTGATGCTATGCTGTATACAGATCACCACAAATAGATTGTAGATTCGCCGAGGTCAGCTTGATGGCTCGGGTCCCTGCACCCCTCCGAGACCACCCTCCCGCTGCTCCCAAACTGTTCAGTGAGCCAAAGACCGGTGAGAATGTCTGCGGCCATGCAGTCGCCCGAAACGCACTATCAAAAAACAAAAGTGACGCCGCATGCCCACACTGCGGAATCGGGCGTAGCTGCAGAATATATTAATCGGTATATGTTGGCGTTGCTGCCATGTGGCTCTGATTGGTGCGGCGGGCTGTAGATGTTTCCAGGAACACCGTGGCTTTGGATGTCGTCAAAAGCTTCCTTTGCGTGTGTCATTGAACACGAAATCATCATGACGACAAACTCCATTCCCGTCTCACTGAGGGCTGATCTGTGCCCTTCTTGTCAGTCAACCAGTAGGGCTAGGTAGGAACTTTTAGTGAAAAGTGTCCACCCAAGCCCTGGTGAAGTCCATTCTCGCTTGCCCCTCATCTCATGGATGATTGCGAAAGACGGAAAAAAGAAACGAAGTTTTGAAGCTACACAGGTCAACTCCACAAGATGCTGCGCACGCTGGAGATGGTCACGTCCATCCGCCACCGGAGAGAATGTACCGTAGGCATCTATCTGGCAGTTCCCAGTCAGTGAGCCTATCGACAGCTTGGTGAGCCCAAAGACCAAAAACAATGACGAACATCTGACACTTGAAGCGCACAGATCAGGCCCAAACGCTCGGGGCGGTTCGCGTGGCATTTTGTGGCAGTTTGAAAGGCTAGCAGGCCACAGGGGCCTCTTACAAGGTGAGTGGCTCGGGGAAAATGTGGTAAATCTGGAGACGAAGTGAGCCCGAGCCGTCGACCTGCATCTGCCCGCGGTCCTTCATTGGTGCATGTGAAGTCAAAGGACCCGCCCACATCTTCAATTCAACTCATTGTCCAGCTTCGGAGCTAGCGGGGAGAGGCAGCTGCAGCCCGGGGCGCAATAAAAGGGGTTTCCGCCGTTCTTGGTAGGAAAAAGTGCATTACCGAGATACAGGACACGCGCATAGGCGCAAGCGCTCGGTCTTCGTGTTCTGGTGTCTTTGAGTAAGACTTCTTAAAGGGCAGCGAGAAAAACCATCAGTTCGGTACCGTCAAAGTTGGCTGTAGTGTAAAGGCATACGGATACCTAGAATTTAAGGGTTGAGCATGCTGCCCAGTTGTTGCGCCGGAGCGGGCCCTGCCTCCGCTTCCGGTTGTTACGGCCGGTGTTGACAGAGCAGGCCTTGATAAGAGGCAAGGAAGCGAGCTGAAATCCGTGGCGATGGCGCCAAAGCTGGCGACTGATGGAGCCCTTTTTGATGACAAACTGGAGGTTTTAGTTGCGATCAACCGTTACGGATTGCGGACCCGACCTTGACGGGCTTGGCCACTCCATCGGATCTGCTGGTATTGGACATTTGCGAAATGCACCGATGATACTGCGCAGCAAAAGAAGAGGAATTCCAGAACACACGGCCCACCCGAACCACGAGGACCACCGCGTGGCCAGTGTGCAGTACTCGGTAGGTGGAACAATGAAAGACATTGAGGAATGAATACTCTGTACCTCTACTCAAAAAAGAAGAAGCACGAGATGCTGAGATAGATGCAGGCAGTTGCAAGACATGAACCCCTGAACAAGTGCTTACCACTTTTCGAGGTGTGTCTGGCGTGCCTTGCTAGTGTACCGCGCTCTCTTCAGCACGGCCCACGCAGGGCCCCTCGAGGCGAGAAGAATGGGGTTGCATGGATGGACATGGGTGCATCGATGCATGGAAAGATGAGCGCTGCAGAAGAATTAATACGGGGGGAGGTCGCACCTGGCGCTGAGCCAAGGGTCGCCGGCCGTTCTGCTGCTCTTTTTGCTGCTTCTGCTGCCCATCCCCTCGGTGCACCTGATCGATCCTCTCACCTAAAAATCCTGTATTACGATTATTCCTCTCAGCTTCCATTCTTCTATCCTTTTTGTTCTCGCTGCCGGACCGCTCGGATTGTCCTCACTCTCCCGTCATAATCCCCCCTTTCTGTCAACCCGCCGTGGCCCGCTTTCCCCATCCGTCACATCCCGGCTCACTCCTCGTCAGTCCAGCTCCAGTTTCACCAGCAACCCCCAGACAACAGCAGACAGCATTGTCGAGAAGCGCCAATTGCCCATCGGAAGCCTGGCCGGTCGATGGTAAGGCGAGGATAAGGCGCCATTGAGATCGAATCTCGACCACCGGCTCGCTGCGACGTCATTACGACCTTCTTACAGCGCCATCAGGCGTTTCATGTCCTGTGGACCTCAGCTCCCCTTCGTGCGCCGCCCTCCGTCATTCGCTCGCAGCACGCCCTCGACAGCTAATACTCCGAAGTTCGACAATCGTCACACGCCGAACGACCTTTTTTGGTTTTTCCTTTTTGATATTTCGCATCGATTCGCCATCACAACGACCACCCGACTGATATAATGTGTTTTGGAGCTCGTGAAAAAGGCGACGAGGCCGGCGCGGCCAGGTCGCGTGAGTTGGACAAGATTATTCGTGCCGATGAGAAGAAGATGTCAAAGGAGGTGAAGCTGCTGTTGTTAGGTACGGATGCTTCGGCCCGGTCTATTGCGCTGTCTGCAGCTATCCTAACTGTGTCGAACAGGAGCGGGCGAATCCGGCAAATCCACGGTGCTCAAGCAGATGAAGTTGATCTACGCGCAGGGGTTCAGCAAAAGCGAAAAGCTGGAGTGGAAGCCAGTAGTATTCCAGAATATCGTCCATTCCTTTCGATTAATCTTCGACGCCATGAACGAGCTTAACATCCCATTTGAGAACCCAGATAACGAGGTTGGTATCTAACTACTTGAGTGTTTGGCTCTCCCCCGCTAACGCAACATGCGTAGAAAAACATGGCGCACATTATGGTGGACTACGATGTGGTTGCGGATGAGCCACTGCCAGAAGACTACTTGGAGCCCATCAAAAGCTTATGGCAAGACCAGGGCGTGAAGAGTGCCATCGCGAAGGGCAACGAATATGCCTTGCATGACAACCTTGACTAGTAAGCAGCCTGCGCCGTCGCCTCTGTTGTGATATTTTGCAATTTGCTGACCAACCCGCTTGCAGCTTCTGCGGCGATTTGGATCGTGTTTGGGCCAAAGACTACGTACCAACTGATCAGGATTTGTTGCGCTCAAGGTTAAGGACAACGGGCATCACTGAGACGATCTTCGACCTCGGTCAACTCACATATCGCATGTTCGACGTCGGCGGCCAAAGATCAGAACGCAAGAAGTGGATTCACTGCTTCGAAAACGTCAACTGCCTGCTGTTTTTGGTAGCCATTTCAGGTTACGACCAATGTCTGGTGGAAGACAAGGACGGTGTATGTTGACCCCCACACATACCTCAATACCGTTACCAGAAAAAAACGGAAACTAACGATTGAACTAGAACCAAATGAACGAAGCCCTGATGCTGTGGGAGTCCATCGCCAACTCTCACTGGTTCAGCAAGTCTGCGCTGATCCTCTTCCTGAACAAGATGGATCTCTTCAAAGAGAAGCTGGCCAAGAGCCCGATAACAGATCACGGCTTCACCGACTACCACGGCCCACCGGACGACCCGAACCTGGCCAGCAAGTACTTCATGGACAAGTTCCGGGCGCTGAACCGGAACCCAGAGAAGGAGATTTACGGACATTTCACCAACGCGACCGACACCAACTTGCTCAAGATCACCATGGGTTCCGTGCAGGATATGATTATCCAACGGAACTTGAAGCAGCTTATACTGTAAGGGGCGAACCACTTATTTGCATATTCGATGTTTTCAACGCTTTTTCTTGACACACAACATCGCCTCTTCACTATATCTCACACATTTTATTTACGAACAGTGCGCGCCCCTTGTAAAGGTTTTCTCGGTGTCCGTCTGCAAAGAAGAAACGGCCGGAAAACGGGGAGAGGAGGCAAAAAGACAAATGGTTGTAATATACCTCACTACCCTTGTTTTGTTTCGCGTCCTTTTTTGTTTGTTTTCGTCATTCATCCTTGTCATTACTTATCATGATACTGGGTTTCAAGGCGGCTTGTTTTTTTGTTGCTTTTTTTCTTTCTCATGCCCTTTTCCCCCCGTTTTTTATGTTTTATTGGGGATACAAATGTGACCTAACCAGAGTTTTTTTTTACTTGATTATGATAGGGTCTGAAAAAGGAAGAAGAGAAGAGAACATGATAGCCTCCGTTTCTTCTTTGCGAGTTTTCCGCGACACATTTCTTCACCGTTTCTCTACATTTGAGCCGAGACCGGCTGCACCCGCTGCTGCATATTCATGCAGATCTCGACAGACCCCGGCTCTTATTTTACCCTCCGCGTGGCAGACACGGCACACACACGATTCCCGCCCGTCCGTCCGTCCGTCTACGAACCGAATTGTTACTTGCCGTCCGAACGGGTTCGAATGACGACATTGCTTTGTCCGTTTGGGCAGACTTTTTGATTCAAGGTGTATATGCTTTTTTTTTGGGTAGGGGCGGGGGGGCGTGTTGGTTTGTTTATACTTTTTTATATACCTTTTTGGGGGAACAAGAGGACTACGATGGGTGTGATGATGGGGTATTTTGTGGCTTTCCATGGCGTTCCTTGTTTCTGCTAATTTTCGACTTACATGCGAGCAGAGAGATGTTGGAATAGGGGGAGACTTTGAGGTGATGATGATGGTTGTGGTGCTGGGTGTTTGGATAGGAGAGGGAAATGTGTTAGTTATTGCATAGTGATGATGAAGATGGTGATATGATTGTGAGAACAAGAGATGAGAATGTTTGAAAGAACGAGATGAAAGAAGATGTGAAGGTGTGAGAAAATGAGACAAGTGGTCGTTCGAGCTGAGGAAGCTGAGGGGGAGGGGGAGGTCTCTTATACCCGGGGGTGGCTGAAGTGTGAGTTGGGGCTGTTATTAAAACGGCTGGACGGCAAGGGCGGCGGGCGGACGTTGATGAGAAGTGGGGAATTTACTGCTGTGAGCCAGGGAATGGATGTGACCCCAGTGGTGGGATGGGAGAGGAGAGAAGGTTTGTTGATGTGACACTGCATGAACGGTGTGCATGGAAGGGGGCGGCCGTGGGGGAACGGGAGGATTGGGGTGATAAGCGGTGGGCCAGATAAGTTCTAAGAGAGATAGAGAGAAGGTTGAGAGACTATTTAATCGCTTTGAGAAATCACATTTTGCTGGCTGCAGTTGACGCCGTACAGATACATTTATCACTTTCTTGTGGGGGGTAAGATTTTGGAGCGAGGAAACGGGATATTTCCAAGCCTTTTTTCTCGGTCTTGACATTTTTTTCTGACAAGAGAAAGGGGTTACATTCCAGATGGACCCCCTTGTTCCCAACCGAAACCAGCTTTCTCTTCGGTGGTGTGTTTTGAGGGTGTGGTGCTTCATGCTACCAAGACCACCACACACGCCATCTTGGATAATAAACCAGCTCAAAAAGAAAGAAACGAAGACAGCCAAGGTGCGGCGTGGATGGTTGGGGAGATACCTATGCGAGAAATAGGGGTATTGCAGATGTTATCAAGATACCGGTCAATCTGGTCGAATCTTGAATGGCTTTTTTTGTTGTTTCTTTTCACATGTGAACCTTGACGGATGAATTGGAACAAGACGATCGACAAAAGATAAAACAAAAGATCGACGCTCCCAACTACCGAGAGGAGGTTGGGCGCTGTGGAGCGGGAAAGCCGGTGCCTCCGTCCGCGGGTGCTGCCGTTGCAGAGAAGGATTCCCAGGCCTGGAAGCAATCGCCGAAGCGTTGAGGAAGAAGGGGAAAACTCACCGAACATTTGTGCCGCGCCTATAAGACGCCCAGAAGTCAATGCTGCAACGTTGGCTGCACTCGGCGCAACCGGGGAGACGCAAGTTCAACACCCGGTTTTTTGACGCTATTTCTGACGAGATAACGGCGATGTTTTGCCAAAATTTGGATGTTGTGAGTTGTTTGAAGATATCCACCTGGATATATCCACTTTATGCCAACTTGACCGTTGGATGTTGGGGTGACAGGTGGAGTGGGCAGACAGGAAGTGGAACATCGTTACTTCGCTGGCTTCTTGCTTTCTTCTTCCCCCCTGAAATTGACAACACAGCAACAGGGAAACAGGCAGAAATCAGGCATTTGACTTGTCAAACAGAGAAATATTTTCCAGCGACAAGTTTGAAGGAAACGGTGTTGGACCTGGCTCCGTTTTGTTCGATGCAACGACATTCATGTAGGTCAAGCTGGAACCAATGTCTCGAAACTGCAGGACGAATGTCTTGGGCGGTGGGATATTTCTTTTTCTTACTCGCGGTTCGGTGTGTAATCTGTACCACACAGTGTGAGGTTCAAAGAAGATGAACCGCGGTGGGTAAGACATGCAGATTTGTTCGGAGAGATCTCTTCTCGATGGTGGTGGCGGTGGCTCGCCTACCTCTATCATGCAAGATTGGGCGGTCAAGATCACCGATTCATGAGATTTCTGTTCATCGAGGGGATGCCATGCCGTCTGCGTAGGAAACTTGGTTCATCGATCCCGAGTTGACTTGCGGTTCGCTGCAAGGCATGAGATTTCGGTAACGGCAAACCAGAGTGTGTCACGGACATTTCATCAATCGTGATCGGACGGAGGAACGTGAGCCGCACGTGGCTCCCATGCCGTGAGTGACACCCATGTCTAATATCATGAACTTAACACTGCTAAATTTCCCCTGGTGGTGAGCATATTCGGTCGTTCGATGTTTGGGCAGGATCAAAAGGGATTGCTAGGACCAATCTCCTGCCGTCTGCCGAGCATCTCCAAGACATCTGTCGTCGGCAGTGTATCCCGGTTGCCGAAATGCGTGATACTACTCCGTAACGGACAAGGACGGCGACTGGAGACAGATTCAAGGGGTTTCGGTATTCTCCGAGGCAGGTTAAGCCGGGCGATGTGGGATCGTTGGAATGGCGCCAGCGACCTCGGCAGAGGTAGCGCAACGATGGCAAGACAGGAGAAACAGAGGAGGATTGTTTCAGTGGTATTGGATGTTATGTAAGCGGATGTGGCATCAGGCGGCAGTGTAGGTAGAACTCAGATGGAAGAGTCAGTTCTAACACGGGTTAGCAAGCTGTAGAATGATTATAAGCCTGTAGATTTAGGTAGACAGAGAGTTGACAACAGCTTTCGGCGCAAACCGACGACAAGCGGAGGGAGGTTGTTGCTGAATTTCTTCGGATTTGCGGTCTCAGCCCAGCTTGTGAGCCGGCCCGCTCCCGGCACGCCACTAATGGCCCGCTACGGATGCACGACCGACGCGCCGCGGGCACTGACAGGAGCTCAAAGCGCAAGGCGATGCTTCATTCCGAGACACAAGCCTCAGGTCTGAACAATCAAGCATTTTGCTATTCCCAAAACATTTGTAGTTAGTGGGGATCGTTGCATTTGTTTTGCGACTGAAGAATCTCATGAAAAATCCCACCGAATCTGCGCCTTTGTGAGGCATGCTTAACCCTAACCCTCAAGCCTTGCCAGCCAGCGACAACCCGAACATGCAGTAAGGTATTTGATGTTTGCGAATGAGCATTTTGTTAAAATTCAACACTCAGAAAAGATGGCAGTAAAAAGCAACCAGTTTCTTCCTGCGTGGTAATATGAATCGCACTGGGTAATATTCAACCTTTGAAGTCCAGGTCTTGGCACTATTTAAGGTTGATTGCCGCTGGCAACGGTTGGCTGCAGGTGTAAACAACAGTGGCAGTCACAAAGGAGGGGTCAATCTTCGCACCTGGCTTCGCACCTGTCTTCGCACCTGTCTTCGCACCTGCTTTTACATCACAAAACCACCCACAGCATCATTTGGCTGTAGTCAACCCTCAATTAAAGGTGTCACATATGCATCTCAGATCTCATCCGGTCCATTTGCTAAGCCTGCTGTTTTAACAGCTTCCCCTGTTGGACTTTTGATACTTTCAAATGTAAACAAACGCCCAATATCACAACTCACAACTTACCACAAGCCCTTCATATCGACAGTCATTTCAATTTAATCACAACTCACAAACCAAGATGGCCTCCGCCTCTCTGCTATCTCACAAAGCGGGCGGCACCAGCCAACACTCTGCAGCCCTCCTACCTTCAGACCAACCACCATCATATCAAGAAAAGAAAAGTTGACAATCAAAACTGGCCTTTTTCAAGACGAAAAGGGGCCTTCTCATTATCGTTCTCATACTTGTAATAATAGGTGGCGGGCTGGCAGGGTTGGCAGCTCTCCCAAAACACAATGACAATGGCTCCGAGGAAGCGTTGGATGGGGGGAGGATGATTCAGAAGGATGAGTATTTCTACGGGGGCTCAGAGCCGGTCTACCCCTCTCGTAAGTGGATGACTTTTTCTTTTTGGCGGTGACATGATGGAGTGAGAACTGACAGATATGGCATCGATAGCGGAAATGACTGGTTCTGGGGAGTGGAAAGAGGCTTTCAATAGAGCCAAGGAGTTTGTGGGCAAAATGACACTTGATGAGAAGGTATCCTACCGCCACGTCTGGATTTATTGTGACGAACGAAACTGACAGGAAGCTCAGATCAGCCTCACTTCAGGAACCAACTCCGAGACCTCTTGCCCTGGCTTCTTGCCTGCCATCTCACGCCTAAAATTCCCGGGTATGTGTCTGGCTGATGCTGGACAGGGTGTCAGAGGAACAGATTTTGTTAGCAGCTGGCCGAGTGGCATTCATGTTGGGGCCAGCTGGAACAAGGAACTCACTCTGGCAAGGGGCAAAGGTATGGGTGGTGAGTTCAGAACGAAGGGCGTCAACATTCTTCTGGGACCTGTAGTTGGGCCAGCTGGACGGGTTGTCAGTGGTGGAAGAAATTGGGAGGGCTTTGCCAGTGACCCTTATCTGTCCGGCGTGTTGGTTGGTGAGACTGTCAAGGGGATTCAGGGAGTTGGGGTTGTCGCCAGCACAAAGGTATGTTATTATCTCGAAACTTCAAGTTGACGCTGAGGCTGACGGCATATTCAGCATTTCATTGCCAATGAGCAAGAGACCAATAGAAACCCCAACAACGGTGTGGAGGCTGTCTCGTCAAATATAGATGACAGAACTATGCACGAGATTTACTTGTGGTAAGTGACGCGGAACTAACACTGCTAAAGAGCAAGCGTTGACGACGAAACCGCAGGCCCTTCCAGGATGCCGTACGCGCCGGAACGGGAAGCATCATGTGCTCCTACCAGAGGGTCAACAACTCGTACGGCTGCGCAAACAGCAAGACGCAAAATGGACTGCTCAAGACTGAACTTGGGTTTCAGGGTGGCGTTGTGAGCGACTGGGGAGCTCAGCACGCCGGGGTTGCCACAGCTGAAGCAGGCATGGATATGGCTATGCCAAATGGCGGTGACTTTTGGGGCTCACATCTCGAAGACGCCATCAAAAATGGAACGGTGCCCGAAAGTAGGCTAGACGATATGGTCCTCAGGTATGTCGGGTGCATTCTCTCCGTGTGTGTGAAAAGTTGTTGACCCAAGCAGAACAATCGCTTCTTGGTATCAAATGGGCCAGGACAATGACTTTCCTACGCCAGGTGTCGGTATGCCCAAGGACCTCACCAAGCCACATCGCATTATCGATGCAAGAAACTCTTCCTTCAAATCCACTCTATTTGATGGTGCGGTTGAAGGTCACGTCCTGGTCAAAAACATCCGCAATGCCTTGCCGCTCAAGAGCCCCAAACTGCTGTCTATTTACGGCTACTCCGCCAAGAACCCCGACGAAAACAACCCAACAGATGGCCTCTCTCCCTGGCTGATGGGATCGGGATCCTTTGACTACCAGGAGTTTGGTGCAGGCTTCTTTGGCTGGTCAGGCGCAACACCAGGAACGACAGGCATTGCTTTTAACGGAACACTGTACTCTGGTGGCGGATCAGGGGCAACATCTCAGTCTCTTGCCATTTCACCGTATGACGCCATCCTTCAGCAAGCCTACGAGGACGATACAGCCCTCTTCTGGGACTTCCACAACGGCAAGCCGGCAGTGGATCCTGTCTCCAGCGCGTGTCTGGTATTCGGTAACGTCTGGGCTGCAGAAGGCGCAGATAGACCTGGCCTTCGAGACGATTACACCGACGAGCTGATCCTCCACGTCGCCAGCCAGTGCAACAACACTGTTGTGGTTTTCCATAATGCTGGTATAAGACTCGTTGAAGAATTTATCGGCCACCCCAACGTCACAGCAGTGATCTTTGCCCATCTCCCAGGACAAGCATCCGGGAAGGCGTTGGCATCTATCCTCTATGGAAAGGAGAACCCTTCAGGTAAACTGCCTTATACTGTTGCGCGCAACGAAGACGACTATGGAGTCATGCTCAGGCCTGACAAGCCGGAGGGCATCTTCAAGTATTTCCCTCAGAGCAACTTTACCGAGGGTGTGTTTGTCGATTACAGGCACTTTGACGAAAACAAGATCAAGCCTAGGTTTGAGTTTGGGTTTGGCCTGAGTTACACTACCTTTGGGTATTCCAATCTTGCTGTTGAGAAGGATGGCAACAGAAGCTTTGAGGAGTTTCCCAAGGGGAAGACTGTAGAGGGTGGTCAGGAGGACTTGTGGGATGCACTGGTTAGAGTGGAGGCTGAGGTTGAGAACAAGGGGGAGGTGGAGGGGAAGGAGGTTGCGCAGTTGTATTTGGGGATTCCGGGGACGAGAGAGGAAAAGGTACCTATGAGGCAGTTAAGGGGGTTTGAGAAAGTGTTGGTTGGGGTGGGGGAGACGAAGAAGGTGGTGTTTGAGCTGACGAGGAGGGATTTGAGTGTCTGGGATGTGAGGGCGCAGAAGTGGAGGTTGGGGAAGGGGGAGTATAACGTCGAGGTTGGGGGGAGTAGTAGGAATTTGCCTTTGTCTGGGAAGTTCACTGTGTAAGACGGTTTTTTACAGATTGAAAGATGGGATGGCGCTTTGGATTTCCCATTGGGGTTATGTACGACATGTGTATGAGTTATGAATGTGAGCTATGGAGGATGTTGGACTAGGGTTCAATACGACTACAAGATACACGAGGCCCTCGATCTCTACGTCAGTTTCCCCAAGATCGCACTTCGATGATGAGTTGGAGCTCAATGGCCATTGAAGCGGATCTTCACCCCGGAAATGGCATATATCCGGCCCGCACCGATTTACCCGGCAGCTCCTCCCCGATGCGACCCCCGTCGATCGTCACCCGGCCACTTGAGGCTCAATGCGGGCCACATCTTGGCTCCTATCATGAATCACGGTTCGGCTGAAGAGCTTCCATTTTGGAGATCGTCGTGAGGGGAAAAGAGGAGTACGCGTGGTGCGCCGTGATGGCCCTCTGCATGAACAAGAGTCTCGCGCAGATTGCAGTGCCCTTGGAATCTGCAATATGGATTTCATTAACCTTCTTGTCCCGCTTCCGTGGCGCTGGTAAAGGTGTGAATGGGGAAAAGAAAAAGCGGAGGATGATGCTGCTTTGCTGCAGGGGTGTAATTGAGGTGATATAAAGTGCATATATTCCCCCCCCCTCGTCCACTGATTCTAGAGTTTGTTCGCCTCAGGGACAACCTCAGTTTTGGCTTTCCCTCGCACACAAGATGCGTCTCTCCACCTCCCTTCTCGCCGCGGCGGGAGCTGTCCCCCTTGCAACCGCCCAGCTCCACGAGCTCGCCGTCAAGGCTGGCCTCCAGTACTTCGGTGCTGCGACTGACACCCCCGGCTTCCGCGAGCGCGAGCCCTACCCCGAATCTTATTCCCAATACGACGCCATCCTCGAAGACCCCAAGGAGTTCGGCCAGACGACTCCCACCAACGGCCAGAAATGGCTGTTTGTCGAGCCTGAGCCGGGCGTTTTCAACTTCACTGAGGGTGACTACGTTGCCAATTTGGCCAACAGGACTAACAAGATCCTCCGCTGCCACGCCCTCGTCTGGCACAGCCAGCTTGCCCCTTGGGTTGAGACCACCGAGTGGACCAAAGAGGGTTTGAGGGAGGCAATTGTCAGACATATCACCGAGGTGGCTGGGTATTACCGTGGCCGGTGTGCCCATTGGGATGTGTTGAATGAAGCCCTTGATGAAGACGGGACATACAGGAAGAGCGTGTTTTACAATGTGCTCGGGGAGGAGTACATCCGGCTTGCCTTTGAGACTGCTGCCAAGGTCGACCCAGAGGCGAAGTTGTACTACAATGACTACGGAATCGAGAGGCCGGCCAGTGTCAAGACTGCGGGCGCGGTGAGGCTGGTCAAGATGTTGAAGGATGCCGGGATCAAGGTTGATGGCGTGGGGATGCAGGCGCATTTGCATGCGGACAACCACCCGAGTGAGGCGGATTTGATCAACACTATTGGGATGTATAAGGAGGTGGTGAAGGAGGTCGCGTTTACCGAGTTAGATGTGAGGATCAAGGTGCCGGTTGATGAGCAGAAGCTGCAGTGGCAGAGTGAGTGCTACCAGAAGGTTGTGGGGGCGTGTGTGAAGACGAAGGATGTTTGTGTGGGTATCACGATTTGGGACTTTTATGACCCTTTTAGCTGGGTGCCGCATGTGTTTCCGGGTAATGGGGCGAGTTTGTTGTGGTTTGAGGACTTTAGCAAGCACCCTGCGTATGATGGGATGGTGAACTACTTTGGGGAGTTGATTGAGGCCCAGGGTGGTAACGCTACGTGCTCGTAGAGCCTCGCAGTAGTGATGGAAACGACGCTATGCTACAAAAGACTCTGTTCTGGAAAATAAAAGCAGTGCGTTTCTGACCAGAAACCGTGTCATGTCTTGTACCAAATCCAGACCAGCTCCACGACAGACTCTTCCCTCCCTTTAGACACCCTCCCAGCCATCGGGGAATCTCTTCTTGGGGAGGCGCTTCGTACAGCTCCTTGCTGAAGTGGACGGTGGCCAGAGCCGTTTTCATGAACCATGGTCCAACTGTTTCCCACTTACTGTTGGGTATCGTCTGTAGTGCTGGTTGGCATATTGGAATAGATCTGTCGTGGCAATCAGTCCAGGTACCTCCAAATTGCTGTTTTTCGACCCTTAACATTACATACGACCATACGCAGCTGTAAATACGGGATCCCGTCCGCTCTCCCCTAGTCAAACAGCTGACGGCCAGACCAGTACTCAGGTGGGTGACCACTGGGGAATCCCTGGTGTTGTATGTTTTTGTCTCCATTTTTCGACTCCACTTGAAGTTATTGTGAGGTCTTGGCATTGTTGATGTGGTGGTGTTAGGTTGTATAGATACTTGGGAGAATGTGAGATTCGGTATGAGTAGATATTTTGTAAAAACTAGGTGTCATATATTTTGGTTTTGAGACCCCTTCTGTTGCCGATCTTCATGGACAGGACTGTGTCTGGGGGTTGTAGGGGTCTAGGGCCTGGCAACGGACAGGTCTCGTAGATCTATAGAGATCTGTTGTGGTGAGCTAGAAATCCGTATACAATATCACAATGCTTGAAATTTTTCAGGAGCTTAGAGATTCATTGAGAAGGGTTGGGGCGTTCAATCGTTCAAAATCGGGTAGTCATCCTAGGGGGGTTGTATGGGCCCACAATTAGGAAGATTTTTGAAGCTCAGGGGCTTCAGGGGGTGTTTGTCACCATGTAAACAAAGAGGAAATACAAGAGTGTTTGATGTATGCTAATCCGAACCAATGCAATATAAAAATGAGAAACTTTTATGAGTACAACCGATCTGTTCCCTTTCCAAAAGAGTGCGCTCTGCCTTTTTCATGCCTTTGTATTTGCATTCCAAGTTCCAAACGTCATCGAGTCAATCTCCTGCTTTGCTCCCTCATGCAACACATTGGAATTAAAAGTATCGCCAACATGCTCAGCATTATCTGTTGTTGCAGTTGATATGTTCATCCGTGTCTGAATGGGGGATTCCATATCTCCGATGCTTTCTGGTCAGCTGGTCAGTACCAAGCGTGCGTGAGGCTGAAGTGATTCCTGTGTAACCAACCGAATGTCATGTTTTTCGCCTTTTGTTTTCCACCGTACATCACGTTCGAGTTCCAGCTGGTGCCAATCTGCTTTGGCCGACGCAGGATTGCGTTTTGGATCTTGGCAGCAGATCCTTTTGGATATTTCCAGGCCAGTGTCGCAATAACGAGTCCCATTAGTGCGAGCACGGCCGTAGGCACACCGACCGCGATTCCGACAACATCTGAAGTCGCCAGCCCTGCAGGTGCGGAGCTAGGCTGGTTCGTGGTGTTGGCCTCCGTGTCGATGGCGTCTGGTATTGGGGCCATTGTTCGCAAGTGGGTGTGGTCATCAATGCCTAAGGAACTGTGACGTCTGCAGCCACCGACAAGGCTCCAGATGCTGCCTTGAAAGTGGATGAACGCAGAAGAAGCAGTGAGCAGGCTCTCGACCCATGGAGCGCACCTGGACGATAAATATGTGGTGTCGTGTGGAACGACTGCTTTGCTGACCATTCAGAAGATCTTCTGTACGTAGGAGCACAGAGACTTGACGTGGGAACATCGGTACCAATTAACAACGTCTTCATGTACGGTAGATTCTGTCGCCAATCAGCGGCACTCACATGCACTGCCACGTCCTGTGCATGGAGCCCAACCGAAGCCTAGCCTGCTCCGACTACATACATCACGGCATTCGTATCAGGTCAACTGTTTAACTTGCCGGTTAGACGGAGTCCTCTTATCTGAGCCGATCATGTATAAATATGTTGTGGATCGGGCACAAGCCTGTGCAGTTTTGATTCCTGACACATGTGTCTGCTTATCATTGTTGGCTTTCCCTGCCTGTCCCACAGTACCTCCAGAATGAGCAATATCCCTACTAATCTCAAGAAGAAAGGAGTATATGGACTTGCTGAGATGTCAACAACCACCGCCACGACCGTCATGCAGGAGCCCAGCTCTCAGTTCCGCGGCGACGGTAAAACATGGGACGGGTCAATAGTCAAGGTCAAAGCGAGTGATCCTGTTTACTATATAATCTACCCATTCTAGGTGTTTCTATCAATCCTAACCTAGGCCGCCCCTTAGACCTCACCAGATGCTTCTAAGCATAGAGGCAACGACGTCAGCTCATCTGTCAATTATGGCGGTCATCAGAAGGTGAAAAAGAGAATCAAGTTTGGTATGGCCCTTCCTCAGTTTCCTCAATTAAACCCCATGTGAATGAACACTTATCTATCTTACCTATCATGCAGGTGCCTGCAATGAGAGTGAGCTCAAAATGGCTTTCAGTGCACCGATTGATCCGAAAGTCTCCGAGTCAACACACACTGGACATAATTACAAATCGAACGTTCTTTATGCTGGAGCTGAGCAGGAGGTTGATGAGCTTGTTTTTGAGTAAATGTGAAAATGTGTAGAAAGTATTGGATACCTGGCGTTCAAGATGGTATTAGGCGGTTTTTGTCGATAATTTGTTGAGTGAATTATGGAAGTCATTTCCTATGTCCAGTATACGAACAATGAAAGGACATGATATCTTGATCTTACGTTACATGTGGATGATCGCGGCATTTGGCCACGATAGCCTGTGTACAACATAGATAGGCACCTGAGGGCATGTCGCTCAAGATGATTATATCTTCGTTATCGCACAGCCGGATCCACTACCCACTATTTATCTGGTCGTACGGCGGACGGATTTCCTCAAATCGATGCCCAGGATGCAGTCTCTTTCCTCGACCCTCGCACTTGAAACAGTAGTTGAAGAAGAGTAAATCGTGATAGCATGTACGGCAATGAAATCGGATCCCATGTATCAGCTTCATCCCTTTTCTGTTAGAAATCCACGCACCATAGCAGCTTGCAGAGAAGATTGGCGTACCCTGAGACAACTGTCACAAACATAATCCTTGTGCATAAGACCTGCACTCCACCAATGCCATTCGGACTGTGGAAAGACGTTTTCTCCTGTCTGCTTTCCCTCCAGAAGTGGCAGAAGGTCTCGATGCCCATGGTATATCGCAATACGGGCTGGTGGCCATTTGTTGTCGTCAGGCATTCTACCCTCTCTCAAACATACACCTCGCAGCTTTTCCACCACTTTCTTCTCCCCAGCCTTAGCCGCCCAGTGTAAAGCAGTCCAGCCGTCATCATCTGTCTCAGTAGGATCAACTTCCGGATGCTGTTCAAGCAGTTTCTCCACTACAGATAGCGAGCCACCTGATGCTGCAGCATGCAATGCGTTTCGGCCATGGTTATCCTTGGCGTTGGCTTTGTACCCTAACTTGAGGAGCTTCCCAACCATCTTGTCCTGTCCGCCCAGGGCAGCAAAGTAGAGGGCAGTACGCCCATACGCATCTTTCTCATGTCGCATAGAAGGCTCTTGTTGCCAACATGCGTCAAAGACTATATCCTCGCCGCCGAATGAAGCAGCATTTAGTATGGAACCGAAAACAGGGTGTTTGTTGTAGAGACTGGCACCCTTTCTCAGCAAGATTGTGGCAATATCAGAATGGCCTCGTCCAGCCGCAAGTGGCAGGGCGGTTATTCCAAGCTTGGCGTGCAAGAAAATGTCAACGGGAATGTCGAAGTCCACAAGCACTTGTACTACTTCCGTATGCCCTTCGCACGTCGCATAGCGCAAGGCAGTTGAACTGGCGGGGGCGCCCTTTTCAAGAAGCATACGCACAATCTCGTGGTATCCGTTGAACGCCGCCACAGTTAGTACTGTGTGTGGTTTATCCGGGGGGGCATTCCAATCTGCGCCGTTTCTGAGGAGCACCCTGACGATGTTTATGTGCCGAGCCCACATCAGAGGAGGGTATCCGCAGTTGGCGAGGATATTAACATCCGCACCATTAGCCAGTAATAACTCAACCACGCCCAGATTGTTCTGATATACAGCAAAATGGAGAGCTGAAAACCCATTGGCCTCACAATCGTTGACTCGGCAGCCAATATCCAGCGCCAGCCGAGCCATTCTCTGGTCCGAGAGAAAGGCTGCGGCATGGAGTGCAGTGTGCCCTGAGACCGGCGCGAGATTCTTGAATTCTGCACCCTGATCAAGTAGAAACTCAACGGCGTCGTGTTGCCCCATCTGGATTCCCCAGAGCAAGGGAGTTCCGCAGCAAATCATGGGCATGGGCCATTCCAACTCTGACGTTACTTCGCTATCATGCGCTTGAAACACTGTCTTGAGGAATACATTGAGAGGACCCGTCGCGCAAATTTCCATATCGGCATTTCTCTGCAGGAGCAAAGTGACAGCAGCCAGGTTACCTTTGGCCATGGCATGGTGCAAGGCGGTGTCTCCGTGAGAACTGGTTTTATTCACATCTGCTCCGGCCAGAAGAAGAGCCCTCACCATACGTTTGCCGTCGTAGTCTGCTGTTTTCTCCTTGGTGCCATCACTGTCTGGCCACCAGGAATGACTGGGGTCGGGCCTAGCCTTGATTTGCTCTGTCCTTCCAGTTTGCGGGATATCCGAGTTCTTGACCTTGCAGTGTGGAATATTTGAGTTGTGAATATGATCATGAAGGAGAGAATAAATTAGGAGATTGAATTCGCACATGCAGGCCGCCTGAAGAGGAGTGTGTGTGGTTGCTTCCGTTTCTGTGGGCGCTTGGTGCTGAATAAGAAGATCAACCATGAGCTCAAAACACTTATACGCGGCCGCTTTCAGGTCGTTGTGAACTTGTTCCACGTCCCGATCCAAATCGTCGACCAATCTTCGTGTCGAGCTGACCCATTGTGCAAATTCCGATGAGGCCGACAACCGCTCAGAAAAGTCCAGAGCGGAGGGTGTTTGAGGCTTCTTGTGGAAAATGTTCCGCAACGGTGTACCCCAGTAATTGTAAATCCGGTGTAGCCATGTCAATAGAGTGCTCTGAGTCCCATTGTCTGGGACAGACTCCAGCACCAGTTCCGAATCCTGTCTGGACTCTAGATACTCGAGTACATGTCTGTACCAGTTGTTGATGGCATACTCAAGAAGCGGCCGTCTTTGGAGGTCACATTCCAGTACTTTCCCGCCATCAACTTCGTCCTCATCAGATTCATGTAAGGTGTGGTCATCCGTATTGACAACACATTCGTTGATATACTCGAGACATTGATTGGCCATCATGAGGTGAACCACAGCCAGTCCACCACACCTATCCGCTTTGTTCACGAGGTATTCCTCCAGGCTGGAAAAGGCAAAATCCACGATTTGCTTGCCGTCTCGGTCTGGAGACTCTGGAAAAGCCACTAGACTGCCAAAGCTATGGCGAATGGAGACTGAATTCTTTTTGTTTGTCTGACCCCAGTTGATCAAGTCCTCGAATTCGACGAATCTCAACGGCCGGAGGGTGCACATGAGCCATTGGAGAGATAGATAGGCATTGGGCATGACGCATATTCTTTCCAAGGCTTTATCGTAGAAAGCATTGATCTCTTTCGGGATCTCATTCAATGCATCAAGTACCTCCTCCTCATCGGGGGCTGGGTCCCTTCGCCGAATGAATTCGTGAAATTCAGGATCCAACAGCCGTAATTTGACTAAACCGAAGCTATTGATCCAGTTCCAGGTTAGCTTTCGATCACTTCTCAAAACTGCTTCTCGGTAGGTGGTATTTGGTGCAAAACAGATTGTGTTGAGCCAGTTGGTCATCTTTGCATACTACCTAGGTAGGTAGGTATATGGAGATAGACTTACATTCCGTCTGAATTGTCCACCAAATTTTTTTTGATGATCTCAATCCACTCCGGATGTTTTCTTCTGATTATTCCCCAGTTCGACTTTTTTAGCTCCTGGTCAACCATCAACTCGATGCCGTTCGTGTGGGCGATCCCTTCCACTGCAACGTCGAATCCCCCTTCACGATCGTGACTCAGGTCCCAGCATCGGTCCTCGAGAGCCGTGTCTACATGATCTCTGCTCACGACAAGGATATGGACAGGATCATGAGATTTGAGGCACTCAAGTAACTCGAATAAGACTGCCAGCGAGTCTTTTCCATTGGGTGACTCTGTAAGAGAATCCAAGCCATCAATTACGAGGTACACCTGCCCTCGTTCCTCGGCTAGACATCGTATCGCATACTTTAGGAGCGTGTAATCAAGACTGCCGGTCTTCTTGAACTCTTGCCGCACTTTCTGCACTCCCTTGGGCAACTGGGATAGGCCTTCGCATAGTTGTCGAAGCCATGATCTTAAGAGTCGTTCTGGAAAGGATTCTTGGCGGCTTTCGCCCTCAGAAGGTTTGATACAAAACTCGTTAGAATCGAGGTAATAGTAAGCGACTATCGGGACTCCATCGGTAGCTTCTTGTTCAAGTTCTTCGATGATCGATGCACTGAGGTAATGTTAAAGAACTTCCAAAGAAGTGTACATGGAATTGCGAGTAACAAGCGACAGCAAGGGATTCGTTCGACTTACCACAATACAGTCTTCCCGCAAAAGTGCTTTCCATGAAGCCAAAGAAAGCTTTTGGGACAAACTTTCCATTTCTTGAATGCGTCCAAATTCAGAAGCCAAGACACTGTACCCTCGGTTCGGCTTTCCAAAGCTCTCTCATGTGCTGTGCGATGGTCGAACTTCGACAGCCAGTCAAGAGGTTGTTTGTCTGCAAGAAAGTCTGGGTCTTCATGTCAAGCATTAACACTCCAGAATTAGCAGATAGAAACATGAAAGCTCTCAAGGTCAGTAAGTGTAACTTACCATTCGGCTGTGCACCTGTTCGATGACCCTTTGTCACGAGATTCATGACCCCTATCCGTTGGTATCCCATGTTGCTGTTGGAGTGAACATTATGACCACTATGCTGCATCTGTCGAGCCTGGAAATTATCCTGCCAATATTCGGGACCTTCAGCGGACTTTTAGGGTGTCAGACCCAGCATAATGCCCGGTATTTAGTATACAGGTGTCAGGTGTGACTTACCAAGGTCTCCTCACACTCCAGTCTTTCGACATCTTGATCAAGCGTGTTACTTTTTGGTTGAACTTCAGAAGAGTGTAAATTGGCCGAGAGCAAATGTGGCGGAAGCGAAGGGGAGCTTTGGGGGGTGGATGGCGGGGGCGAGGGAGGGCGAAACGGTTGAGATGGTAAGCTCAAACTTGCAGCCATTTGGACTGATTACAATTTTCTGAGAGTATGTGAGAATAAAGGGGAGTAAACTATAATCAAGAAAGCAGATTCTGGCCCTCATAAAACATTGGAATGTGGTTGTTTTGTCTGATCAGGCGATGTCCAAGATGTGACAAGTTCGAGCGATTTGGAAGTTTCCTGTGGTAGTCACAAAGGTGAGCTGCCCTGTTGTCTGCCTTGGAACAAGGCAACCCCCAATTTTCCTTCTTTTATTTCTGATTGGCCTTGAATGGCAAGGCATAATAATGTGGCTGCATAAAATTGCATCTGGCTGAACGTGAGGCATCCAACTTCTCGCCGATTGACGTCCCATTCTGTGATGGGTCGCCCAAGGGTACGGCGCAGCCTTTTCCGTCCCTCTACATCCATTATTAACTTATATCGACCCTACATTCTTCACTTCCTAGCATCGATTTCACTTTTCTAGGTATCCAGGAAGTACTGTCCAGTTCTCCACCATTTTGTCACCATTCACCTTTCCTACAAGACACCTCACATTTTTGTTATTAGACAGCCTTGTGGTTGTCGAGTAGAACTCCACATCGACGACGACGATACAACGACCGTTCGAATTTTTGACTTGGAGCTATGTCTTCTGAGGAGACTAAGGTGGTTGCCACGCCTGAACCTGGCGAGCAGTGCGATGTCAAACACCTCAAACGCAGCTATGTGGATGGAAGCAATGACCCGGTGGTTACCGAGGGTGACTCGGATCCGGTCAAAAAGGAGGAAGACACAAAACATCAGTCATTTGCCCTAGTGTCGACACAAAACTTCGATAAGGATAACAATCGCACCGATACAACGCTTTTGATCAATTCCAAGCACATACTCGCCGCTCTCACAAGGGTAGTTCGTTACTATCCCGACCAAGACGAGGAATTCGACAAACCCTCTGAGCTGACATCACCATTCAATCTTCTCTATCATCATCGCAAGGAGCTTTCTGAGGAGGCTGCTAGGGTAGGCGGTGACGGTGCCCTCCATCTCAACCTTCTCCTGAGCTACCTTGACAAGCAGAAGTGGGCCGAGGCCGAGACACTCACAGCTCGAGAGAATCCTGTCATTACATTTGATCTACTTTGGTTCGTTTTTAAACCCGGCGACTTGCTATACAGGATGGTAAACGGCGAGCCTGCTTTGTACTGGCTTGTGAGCGTGTGCTATGACGAAACGCCAACAACAGGAGATTCATGGAAATACCTCGAGCTTGAGTGTCTATATCAAGCACACGACGGAAAGAAAACGGGTGTGGTGCGGGAAAGTCTCAAAATATACGAACACCAGGAATTTGCGGGCGATACCCCCGAGAAGATTACAAGCCTCTCAGTCTTTCCGCTAAAGTACCACAAAGACAGAGAAGGAATAAAAGAACGCCTTGTGAAGCGCGGACAACGATATTTGGAGCTTGTGCAAAAGCAGGGCCAAGCATATCATTACGAAGGTCTATGCAGAAGGCTTAAAACACCTCCTGGGGGCTCATACTTTTCCAGCGAAGAAAAATTTATTGGCGTCTGGCTCCCAGAAACAGTGAGTTGCCCTCATATCCGCTAGCAACCCAGCTTTGCTAAAAGATTACCATAAGGCTACCGGAAGAGTCGTCTTAGACTGTTCAACATTCATGGAAGATAATCCTTTCCACCGCGTCAATGTTTCCAATTGGAGCATCTCGAAAGGTCAGTAAACATACCATATGTTACCATGATAATACTGCTTGCAGCCTCTAAAGAGTCCAGTGGCTGAAGCAAGAGAGTCTAGACAAAACAACCGATGGCTTCGATGACCCTACACTACTCTGTCTGCCATATGTCTATGGATATTCTCTGGACATGCGATGCTGGTGTATGTTCTCTGTAGACAAGGTGAAGACGGCCGACTGGAAACATAAAGACTTTGATTCGGTTGTCCTTCCGGATGGATATAGGAAGATCATCACATCACTTGTTAAAAGTCACAAATTCGCCAGTCATACCCGAGATGAGACTGCCCTCAAAGGCAAGGGTCTGATATTTGTTTTGCATGGCCCTCCTGGGACTGGCAAAACAAGAACAGCTGGTGAGTTGCGCTTCACATGCGTTCTGTCAAAGTATTTTTGTGCCGTGGCAGCCATAGAAGTTACTCCGTACTGACAGTCATGACAGAAGCAATTGCCGAGACAACCTCAAAGCCGCTCTTGCTATTCCCAACCGGAGAACTCGGGGGTGATCTCAGAAGCATTCAGTCAGAGCTGAGGCGGCTAGTTAGATACGGCACTGCATGGAAGGCCATTCTACTTATCGATGAGGCGGATGTATTTCTGGAATCCAGACAGGTTGACGGACATGTGTCGTTGGAGCGTAATGCTCTCGTAGCAGGTAAGCAGAGGCTTTTCCCCAAGATAGCTTTGGTAAAGCATCCATAAACACGCTAACGCTTTTCCGTAACGCGAACAGTTTTCTTGAGGCAGCTCGAGTATTTCCAGGGCATCATATTTCTGACCTCTAACCGCGCCCAAATGTTCGATCCCGCAGTCAAGTCCCGCATCAACGTTATGCTGCACTACCCCTCGCCCGACAAAGAAACGCGAAAGGTGTTGTGGGCACAACGGCTAGGACCAATATTGAAACTCAAATCCTTGCCAAGATGCGAACTGGATCTAAATTCAGCAACGGAGACACTGTCGGAGTATGAGATGAACGGTCGGGAGATTTCAAATGCTGTCAACTCGGCTTTGACCATAGCCAAAGCTGATACGCTCACCCTTAACATGGACCACCTTCGGTCTGTGGCAAAAATATGGAAAGACTCACAGGAAAAGAGCGTCGAAGTGGGACCAGTTGTGGACGCAGTTCAGGAGATCAAAAGGATTCCGTCTATCAGTGAGGTTCTTAGGACACTTAAAATCCCGCTTTGGGTCTGGAAACTATTCGTTTCAGCATTCCTTGCTGGCGCTCTATTTCAAGGGTCCCTTAAAATCTTTAAGGCAAGGATAAGGTGGCGAGGGCGTCGAGCTCACAGGTGAACTGGTCTTGGGAGAGGATAGTTGAATATGCACTGAAACTGTAAGAATATGTGTTCTATAACAAGAAGGAAGATTATTAAAGGGGTAGATATGTAATAGGGGGTCTGTCAGGGGAAAAATCTTGAGAACCTTTCCTACAAATGTTCACGCGCAGTCATTGATAGAAACCAGATTTCAGCATCCCACGATATGTGCAGAAGTTGGTACATCTATGGAGATAGGTTAGGTGGGAGGCTGACGTTGACAGAGTGCCCGCTGTCAGGTCAGTTGCTTGAGACGTGAAGGGCTTTCACTCTTTGCGTATAGGCATTTTCACAAGCGCGATATGCTGTTTGGTGGACTTTCTCTTGCCTATTTTGGCTCTTGATTAGTAGGCCAAGATGTGAAAGTGGCGCGCAAGAATGGATGTCATGGGCGAATACGTTTCAGCAGCAAAAACAGTCAAGACCTGCCTATCTTGACGTACACGATGGAGAAACCAAGATCTCGGTATCACGATTGCCGATTTGAACAGCCGGAAGCAACATGACGGGTGCGGATGCAGTAGCGCTTCCCCGGCAAAATGCATGCAAACCAAGACTCCGGGGAAGACGGGAAAAGGCTAATTTCCACGTGGTAATCATCCACTTGCGCTCCGTTCAACATCTACAACTTAGCTTCGAGATGTTGATCTTCGACTGGCGGGAAGTGGTTCGACCGGGGAAGCGCACGAATTGCTTTTATGGGGAGAGAGGTGTTTTGTTGCGCGCGCATTGACGATCGATAGATCACCGTTGACCAAGATATTGACTGAACCGGGAACCAGGACAGCTACGATCACATCAAAGATTTATGCGCGAGGATATGAAGAGGGGTATGCAGGGGGTGGACTGCCGGAGGGAGGTAACTTAGCGGAGACTTGATGACAACAAAGAAGATGGGTATAAGTATAAGGGAAGACATGCGTTGGAGAATGGGTAAAGCTTTAGACAGTATCAATCAGGATCTGGATCAACATGTTGCTAAAGTCTGTCATCCTCGCTCTGGCAACGGCCACTGGCATCAGCCAGGCCAACCCAATCGCCCCCCGTCAAGGAGTCAGTTACCATTCTCATCGAATATCTCTTCATCGTACCTTACCCTTCATGCCAGTGCACCTTCCTTCCTTCACCTGTTTCTTCCTTCCTCTGCTCCTTCCTCGCACTGCTCTTTCCCTTCCAGAACTTATTCCTTCCATTGCTCCTTCCTCCCGTAGCTCCTTGCTCCCTGGGCACCTTCCATCTATACAGTTTGCAGGCGTCGTGCCTTCCCTTCCTCGCATTATCTCATGGCCTCATACCACTTACCCCTTAACACATTTACACATTAGCACTTTGACATTTTAGCACATTCACACATTACCCTTTTCTACAAACACATCCATCTTCATTAACAACGCTCAACTAACCACCTTATCACAACCAGCCTACCGGCAACGGCCCGTTCGCCCCCGCGTATTACACCACCGACTCCTCCCTCAACGGCCACACCCTTTACCTCCCCCGGAACGTCCCCCAGGGAGCCAGAATCCCCGTCCTGGTCTGGGGTAACGGCGCTTGCTCCGCCAACGGCCTCGACTTCCTCAACTTCCTGACTCAAATTGCCTCCCATGGCGTGTTTGTCATCTCTTCCGGCTCGCCCGGCGGCCAAGGCTCAACCAATGCCCAGATGATGACCCGCGCCATCGACTGGGTCACCAACACCGCCACCAAACAGCGCTATCCTTGGCTGGAAACGTCTCGAATCTCGGTCTCGGGGATGAGCTGCGGTGGCGTTGAGGCGTACACGGCGGGAGTAAACGACAACAGGGTCACCACCATCGGGATTTACAACTCGGGTCTGTTGAGTGAGCAGGAGAGCAGGAATGTTGTGCCGAGAATCAACAAGCCAATCTTCTACTTTATGGGAGGCCCCAGTGATATCGCTTTCAACAACGTGGGTGTTTCATCGCGAATGAGGGTTGGAAAGAAGCTGACAGAAGACCAGGGCGAGAGAGACTACCGACTTCTTCCGCAATCCACACCGACCTGGAAGGGCAACTTGAACGTTGGGCACGGCGGAACCTATGGTGACCAAAACGGCGGCAAGTTTGGTGTTGCTGCTGTCAGGTATTATCAGTGGGTTTTGAGAGGTAACGCGACTGCTGCCAACTTCTTCACCAACAATCAGGAGGCGAGCCGAGATGGGTGGAGTGTCGAGAGCCGAAGCTTGGGGAATCTGAGGGTGAATCCCATCTAAGCTGTTTCCATAGCTACAACTGAAGAGTGGTCCGAGCAGTGGGCGTTGGAAGGTCTCAATCGCCTCGCGATATGGTCGTACTGAGGTAGCCAGGCTACTCCTTGGTACCGGCCATATCGATTTCTATCTCGAGATTGTTTTGGAAGAGCTCCTCTATTGTCGGCTAGAAACGTCGGAAGTGTTGAAGTTGTCCAGCTTTGGCTTAGTGTGCCGAAGATCACGGTATAACAGTGAAAGTAGCTAAGACTCCCATGACTGGGTTTCACATCGAATGAGCCCTCAAGTTGGTGACATTTTCTTAAGTTCTTTTTTAGGCACCTACCTGGAGACATAACGCAGAGTTTGACTAGCGGCCACTGTTGGATGGTATTTCGGTTAATAAAGGCATTCATGACCAAAACAGTCCTAGGGTCAAGAGGAACTCGTGGATGATCATCTAATGTCAAGGTAGAGGAGAGCTCATAAATTAATATGTAATTAAGGAAGTGTAGGATGTGCTGAATGCAAGGCTTGCTGACAGCGTTAAGTATGCATGGCCGTTGCCGTTTGGCCTTCGGAAACCGATGGCGTAACTGGACACGCTTTGGAGCTGCCTGCAACGCCGTAGATGGCACTTTTATAATGCCGATTATTTCCATTTTGGTATTTGTCTAGATTTTCGGGGTGAAGAAGAAACCTCCATCCCGTCATCATACTTGTTCTAGGCACCTCATCCCCCTTTTCGGATTTCGAGCCAACTTCTCGGATTAGAAGAAATCTACCTCTAGTAACCTCTCTACCTCTTTCTTCAGGGAGCCCTTCTCTGGGCCTAAACTCTGAACCGATTTCAGTAATACTGAGGTCACGGGGACAGCCGGCCGAGGTGCTTCGTCAGTAATTGAAGGGGCAGGTAGACTCTCTCCCCTGAGGTAGCTGATGGGAGACGGAGCTTGATATGGCCATTGCCCCCGAAATGCATTACTCAGACAGAGCCGAAGTGCTTTGTTGTCCATGTGGTCTGCAGCAGGGCACACAAGCAAATGCATCTACCCAGCCAAGATGAATGTATGTATATGATGTCGAGCGCGGACATTCTGGACGTACTATCGAGGCTACTGTGCGTATGTTCAGCTATCCTGGCGGCTATAACTTCAGGGAGCTTCAACCTCTACTGCGGACCGTACCTCTTCTGTTTCAACTTTTGTGCCGTTTGTCTTGACACGATGGGGAGCATCTAAATTACTGGTCCTCGGTTGCGATTTGGCGCAATTGCCCCGTCACCCATGCTATCCCGAGATACCGTTGGCAGCAACCGACGTTACTGGCTACTTGTGGGCCAAGATGATTGGACGTGGTCGGCTGTGGCGCTTTGAGCTGTTTCCCATGCACGAGTAGGAATCGCCGAACGACTTGGGTTTTGCACCAGATATTGGGCGCTCTCGTCTATGAGGGCAAGCGACGTTCGATATTTTTCTCCTGCCGTAATCGTGCACAAAGGGCGCAAAGCGTGTCTATAGGGATCTCGTTTTATCCTCTCACATATTTTGTTTCAACAGCGAGACCCCAATTCTCGAAATATTCCTGGGATAAGTACCATGGTAGGATCCCTTTCGACATAGGAAAACGCGGCCGGACGCTAACTGCCGCCAATCCGCCTTTAGGCTCCGAAGGGACTCCGCCGGATCGCCCCAGCGCACGACGTCCCTGACAACACGACCATCGAGTACGTTGCACCGATCCAACGACTAAAGGCCTGTCTAATAGCATAGTATCATCGCAATCCACGGCTTGGGCACCGAGTCGCCGCGGACATGGGAGTTCAAGAAGAAAGGAAGAGGCGGGGTGGTGAGCTGGTTGTCGGACAGCGACATGCTGCCGGCAGCTCTACCTGAGGCCCGCATATTCACCTACGATTGGAACGCAAACTTACTCAAAGATGCACCCGTACAAACGCTGCTCGGCCATGCTGACACGCTGCTCAAACTTGTTTCCGAAGGCCGCGGTTCGCAAACGCGACCGATCATCTTCGTTGCTTCTTGTTTTGGGGGCCTTATCCTGGCTGAGGTATGTCCCGATGGATTGACGGCGGACAGCGGTTAACATCCCTAGGCTGTTAATCGAGCAGCCCAGGTAGGCAGCGACTACCGACATATTCTGCTTTCCACTGTCGGGGTCGTTTTCCTCGCCACTCCGTTCCAGGGCAGCGATGCCGCCCAGCAGGCTCGGTGGCGGGTGCTGGTTGCCGGCATTATGGGAGAGCAAGCCTCCGACCAGCTCATACAAGACCTCGAGCAGAAACACGACTTCGTTCGCCAGCGTATCCAGAAATTTACCGAGATCGCGAATGCCGAGGCGGTCCGACTGCCCCTGTATTGCTTCTTTGAAATAAAGGAGACAGAGATATTAAGAGCCATTCTACCACGAGGTTGGGCGAAGACGCTGACTGAGCGTGTATTGAAGAAGATTGTACGTTAATTTTATCGCGATTCATAATGTAGCTGACGCAGGATAGCTTGTGACGGAGTCCTCGGCTTGCCTCCATGGTTTCCATCGTCAGGGGCTAGATGCAACCCATTCGGGCATGAACAAATTCGAGGGTCCAGAATGCCCCAACTTTAAACTCGTTAAAGATGCGATCAAGCAATTCGCTGAAAATGCACCTGCCGTTTTAACGCGGCGGAAGAACTGTGAGTTAAACCATCCCCTCTGAGCGGCTGCTACGGCTAGGATCCTGCTAACATGATGAAGTACCTGGCAAGCGGCACTGGATTGTCCCGTTTGGACGTAACAAGGAATTTGTCGGCCGTGAAAAGATTCTCCAGGACCTTCTCGGGAGGATCCATCCTAGTGCAGATAAGGATGACTGCCAGCGGACCGCAATCGAAGGCCTGGGAGGGGTGGGAAAGACGCAGGTCGCGCTCGAGGTTGCTTTTCGCGTCAGCAACGAGCACCCGAACTGCTCGGTCTTCTGGGTTCCCGCTGTGGATGTCACCAGTTTTGAGAACGCATACCGTACTATCGGTCAGCAACTTACGGTGCCCGGGATCGATGAAGTGAAGGCAGATATTAAAGCACTTGTCAAGACAGCCTTGAGTCGTGAAAGTACGGGTAGCTGGCTTTTGATCATCGACAACGCTGATGACAGAAAGCTACTCCTTAGCGACACTGCCCTTACCGACTATCTTCCATTCAGCCGGAAAGGATCTATTCTATTCACAACGCGAACACACGAAGTCGCGGTTAAGCTAGTGGGGCCTAAGAGTCACATTATCTCAGTTGAAGAAATGAGCAGAGACGAAGCCTTTAAGCTATTGCAGAAAGGCTTAAAGGGAGATCAGATACGTGATACGGCAAGCACTATCGCGCTACTGGAATTTCTTACCAATCTCCCTCTAGCGATACAGCAGGCGTCTGCTTACATGGCCGAGAAGCAGATCTCAACTACACAATACCTTGGACTATGCAAGTCCAGTGACGAGGATATGATCGAGCTACTAAGCCGGGACTTTGAGGACCGACACCGATATCAGGGCATTCAAAACCCTGTCGCCACAACTTGGCTAATTTCGTTCCGGCATATCTCAGATCACGACCCGCTGGCGGCGGACTACCTCAGGTTTATGTGCTTCCTAGCTGGGAAGGATATTCCGCAATCTCTGCTGCCACCGGCCGGGAGGCTAAGGACTGTTGACGCTATTGGGACTCTGAAGGCGTATGCATTTATCTCCCAACGGAAGGAGCCAGATACTTACGACATCCATCGGCTGGTCCAAATATCGATGTTACGCTGGTTAGCCCAAAAGGGAGAGCGAAAGGAATGGACCGCCAAAGTGCTACAACGGCTTGATAATGTGTTTCCCTATCCGGATCACGGCAATAAAGAAGTATGGATGAGCTATCTTCCGCATACGCAATATGTTTTGGAACTGCGGGAGAGGGCGGATGACGAGGAGGCGCCAACAGGTCTTCTGTCCAAAGTGGGCCAGAGCTTTTATAATTTAGGAAAATATAAGGAGGCCGAGCAAATGTATCGGCAGACGCTACAGCTATCTGAGAAGGTGTTGGGTAAGGAGCATCCCGACACACTTACGAGCATGAACGACCTTGCGCTTGTGCTCTATAGCCAGGGGAAGTACGAGGAGGCCGCGAAGATACATCGGCAGGAGCTACAGCTATCTGAGAAGGTGTTGGGTAAGGAGCATCCCGGCACACTTACCAGCATGAACAACCTTGCGAGTGTGCTCAATAGCCAGGGGAAGTACGAGGAGGCCGAGCAGATGCATCGGCAGACGCTACAGCTACGTGAGAAGGTGTTGGGTAAGGAGCATCCCGACACACTTACGAGCATGAACGACCTTGCGCTTGTGCTTAATAGCCAGGGGAAGTACGAGGAGGCCGAGCAGATACATCGGCAGACGCTACAGCTATGTGAGAAGGTGTTGGGTAAGGAGCATCCCAACACACTTACCAGTATGAACAACCTTGCGCTTGTGCTCTATAGCCAAGGGAAGTACGAGGAGGCCGAGCAGATACATCGAATGAACGCGGCAGCTAAGAGTATCTACATGGGGTAAGAGCATCCCGACACACTTACAAGCATGAAACAACCTTGCGCTTGTGCTCC